TTGGCGGATGGCAAAGCCAGCTCCATAAATGCAGTTTCTCTCCGCAGCAGGCTTACCCTGATGGCTGCTATGTCGATGTTATACCTAGCCAGCTCTTTTGCCACAAGGGCAGTTCTTCTTTCAGGGCGCTCATTTGTGCCAGTATCCAGAAGGGTCCTGGCATTCCATGCAGCGACCATAAGAGGTTGTATGGTTTGTTTTTGTTTGGATCTGTGAATTTGACTGTTTTCGACCGCATAAGGATGACCTTACTGGGTGTGGTTGCCCAGTCAGGTTGGGTTTTTAGGCAGTTTATGTTTAGGGCACCTTTTCTAGCCCCCTTCCCACGTGGGGTGAGCAGAGTGGCTCCTCGAAAGGGCTGCTCAGTCACACAGACAGGACTGGATTGCACTGCTGCCTAGATCCCAGTGCATAAACGACCACCTTATCTGTGCCGCCCAAGTGCAGAGTTGTGACTAGAGACTCCCGGCAGTCATCTCTGCCTGTCCCCGTCATCACTCGTCCGTCGCCATAGGACTTTTTGGGGGTATGATGAACTGGATGATGGCTGCGAGTGAGTTAATTTACATGGTGAGGCAGGAGCGCAGGCTGCAACCACACATCTTGGCTTTCCCTTTTCCTGATCCAGTGGTGAAGTGTTGCAATGACTGGGGAGAGAGAGCTGCAATGAACTGCCCATAGCCCAGTTTGTTGGGTTTCGCCTTAATAGCCTGTCCATCAGGCATTGCCTTCGTCCGCCAGTGTAGTCGTTGGGTTTCCACGGTGGTCACCTCTTCCGCCTATACCGCTGTTGGGGGCTTGTTGAAGATCTGTAAGCATGTCTGCCTGATGCGGGGCTCCACAGCAGATTTTTCGTTCGGGGTTTACTCCCGTAGCCTTATACCTACCAAGGTTAATCCGCAACGCACTGGGGCAATGGCTGGTAGGCGCCAGAGCCTGTCCACATGCCAGTGGGCCTATGCGCCTTCCCTCTGGGGCCCACTGGTACTCTGAGATCCCCTGCTGGTCTAGCCTGGGCGCACAAGGCACCCAGTTACCTTGTGTTGCCACGAGGAGGGACAGCAATAGTCTTGGTGGTGAAGAGGCTGTGTACTGGCAGGGGAAGACTTATGCAAGTTGCCTCCTGTTCGCCACGAGGGCTAGCCAGCGGAGGCAGCTTAAAGTGAGAGAGCAAGCAGTGCTTGCACCTTAACACTAGACGCATTTCACCACCCTGTGTGCGAATCACACACACATATACACAGCAGGGCAGCCACACGTCTGTGAGTCAGCTGGTTGATTGAGCTGTGTCGTGTCACCCAGAGGATGGTTTGAGTGTGGAAGGAGCTAATTTTTTTACATAATATATGTACTATTGTATTTTATGATATGCTATGTATCAATTTTATTGTTTATCATGGCAATAAATCTGGCAGCTCATCCCTTTTGTGTGCAGTATTCAAAGGTACTAGTAAAGCTTCATCAGCTGTGATGTACCAGATTTAAACAATGTAACGTTGCTGTCAGCAGTTCAGTAATTATGAGGGAGGTGGCCACCAGCGGTTCAGTAATTATGAAGGTGTTTCTAGACACAGTTTTGTACTCGTGCATTGATTACTTTCTGTTCTATTCATTTTCTTGTGTAAATGCTTAGTTTTCTAGATAGAGGCGATTTAAGATATAGGTTAGGTTAGGTTAGGTTAGGACAGCACAGCACAGCACATGATTTCAGCCTTTTTTTATATTTTTTTCCCAACATAATACAGTATCCCTTAATAAAATAAGTGAAAACTGGATATTTTTAAACTCATTTTCAATGAAAAATAGCTGATGGTCATTATCGGAATAATTACCTAATAAGCATTTGCTCAAGATAAAATGAATAGAAGTGAAAGAAAGCGGTGCTACTATAGCGTGTGGTCTACAAAGATATCTTTAGTGTGGTGTGACCTGACCTGACCTAACCTAACCTAACCTAATCTAAATTTACCTAAATATCTTGTAGACTGCACGCTAAAGTAGCACCAAGTAAGCAGCGTACAAAATTGTCTTAAAACTCCCTCCATAATTACCGAACCATTGACGGTCACCAGTCTATCGGCCTAAATAAATTTGGCTAATATTGACGACTATACCGCAAACGCATTACCTGTATTAGTTTTGATGTTTGCGGTATAGTTGCCAATATTAGCCAGTTAGGTTAGGCTACAGGTTAGTGTAATGTTAGGTTGGACTTTTAAATAAAAACTTTTTTAACACATTTGCCATAACTATGAGTGTGTCCACTATATAACACAGTGAAATTGCAGCATTTTAAAATTCGTTTTCATGAAAAATCAATGACAGGAAAGTTGTTAATTATCATAAATTTAATTAGTGCTAAAATAAATATTTTCTCACGAGCGTATTGAGTGCCCTACCAAGTATCTTTCTCAACAGGGTGCTGAATACTAATAATGCATACACAGTGGCTTCTATTTAGCTCTTTGTTAGGATGCCAACCCTTCAAAGGTATGCCCTTCTTCTTCAAGTATCCTCTGCCATCTACTTCATCTGAAGAAATTCATCCAGTATTACTTAGTTACTAAAATTATAATAAGGATAATACCTACCCCTAGCATCTTCCATGGAAATCTTACTCATTTAGTCTATTTTTTAAATATATTTGCAATACTTACGTTTATTTATTGTGAGTTGGTTCGTGTGTTAACCATTACATGCTAAGCTCTCTCGTCTTCTCATGGTCTTTGGCTACTGAAGGCGGCCTGACGTCACAACCCGGCGCCGCTATCTTCTTTTACACAGTATGTCTGTACACTGCGCTGCCCCTCCCAAATTTTGCTTCATTATTCCATCATGTTCGAAATATAGATGTATTCAAAGAGACAGGAGAGATTCTAAAACATTCCATCGGTAAGTGTTGAAGTTGTAATTAAGTTACATGAAGCAGGAGTAGATTAAATAAGGAAATTGACTCTCCAGTCATGAGTTTAACTTTCAAGCCGTAATTACCGTATATTCATGGGCGTCTGCAGGGTTTTTTCCAGGGGGGGCATCAGTTTCTTCAAAACAGGTACATACAGTACAGCCACATAATTGTATCACCAAATTATTAGTCACTAAAATTATCATAGGGTTGACCTTTTCCATTAAAAACTGACGAAAATAAATAATTTGATATCAATACTCCTGAAAAATCTATGGGTGGTCAATGCTAGCTGTCTGTCATTATCAAGCAACGTAATTTCAATGGTTAAATAAATTGTGCAGGCGGCGTTTATCAGCTCCAAAACGATCAATCACGTCTTCAGTGAAGGCTGACTTTCTATCTAACACCTGGCGGTGTATGCTGAGCATGCACCTCCCTGCGGCCACTCATATCTATATTTTCTCGATTATGTCAACCTGATGGGCATATGAGAGTACCCAGAGGGACAGGAGAGTTCTATAACATAACAGCGCTAAGTGTCGAAGTTGTAATTAAGTTATACCAAGCATAAGTGCCAGTTCAGTATTGGCACTGCTTTCATGTCTTCCAGTTCCCCCAAAATACCGTGCATAGTTTGGTCCCCCTCCCCCTTGGCGGTGATGGTTAAACTGGATTATGCATTGTGATGAGCCCATTGCTTTGCAAAATAGGGCTGCAAGTTAAATAAAAGATACCCTTTGAAATGCTTTGCTTTGCGCCGACTACTGCACCGGCCTACTGGCTTCAAAGAGCCCTTCACGCAGGATGACGTCATGCTGCCTTCATATATTAAAAGCTCCTTGGCTATTTACTGTACAGGGGTACTTTGGATTACAATGGGGGAGGGAGACGCAGGCCGCGCATCTTAGCAATGGACATGGTGCGGTAATGCGGATATTAATAATTACTCCTGATCCTGTGGTCATTACTGAAAATCTAAGTGTGTGAAGGAGAGCCAAAGGGACTAGCAAATGTTTCATAAAATGTTGGAGAGACGTTGAAAATGCAGGGGGCGATATACAGACATTTAAATTGCTGGGGCAAAACTGAAAATGCTGGGGGGTAATCCTGACATTTAAATTGCTGGAGAAAATAATGGGGGGGGAGCTGATAATGCAGGAAGACAGAAAATTTGAAATTTGACATGCTAAATGTCAGCATTAATGTATGCATCTAATCTGAAGAAAAAGTAAATACGTGGAATGAAGGTAAAACTGAATTCTGGTTTTGATCAGGTCTATGCTGGACTTTTGGGGCTCCTTCAATCCGCTACAGTACCACCAAGTCGAATAATATCCCTCGACGAGAACCACATAAAGACTTACATTATACACAACAAGTGGTCAGGCACACACCAGCAAAGCAAACAATATGCCATGAGTTTAGTTGCCAAATAGCGATACATACCAATAACTTTAATGTTAGAATCTGATTTTTTTTTAGCATGGATGCAAAGATTTTTTCAGAAACTAAATTTTCAAAACAACGTTAATAATATCAACTAGTTTGTATTTGGTTACGTGATTAGGTTTATTGGGGACAGTGGTGTTGGTGTAGCGTCAACACGTCGGGCGTGTCTCCCCGTAGAGTATCATATTCCCACGCATGCCACGCCACGCCACTTCCCTGTTTTACCTCCAGTGTGACTTTAATGTATTCTTGCTTCATTAGTAGCTTTGCACATCCTCAGCTTTGTATAAAATTCAACATTTTTATTTACTAATTCTAACAAGGTAAAGTCTTGTAAAACAAATGCCTTTCTAATTCAAGATAGTTTTTCACTTCAGATAAAAATTCGTCTTTCGTCATTTACGGGAGCTGGGATGGGAAAGTAGGACAACTAACACCCCGACGAGTCACCAGGTTCCAGTGTTTGTCTGGAAGTCAGTGGGTGAAGGTGTTCTGCTCACTATCCCTTCCCTTGTGACTGTCATGAGCGGTGTAGAGGACCCTGGATACTGTAGCTTGATTTCCTTTGTGTTTCTGTGTTACATAATGCGAAAAAATATTATCTTAATAAATAAAATATGACATTAGTGTTTCATAATTTCAGACATACTTGAAGAAGAGGAGGAAGAAGAAACGAATGTCAAATATGAAATTAAGGAAGCCAGTGAAAAATTGGAAAATAACGAAGCTGAAGACAATAGTGACGAAGATTTCAAACAAGCTGGAGACGAAACGGAAGAGCCTTTTGCTGATGACACCCAGATCAAAATTCAATGGCAGTCAGGGTTTCAGAGGAAGTACTCAGTCACGCATGACCTAGGGCGGGGGAGGTTCAGGTAAGCTCTACATCCCAGGCCACATCTGTCGTCATCGTTTCACTCAAATTAATTGTAAATCCAGATATAAATAGACAAATTAATTAAAAGTCAATAAACTTAAAAGTCAGAAAAGATCTTATACTGCAGCATAATTTACCATATGTGTACAGCAGTGTCAATGTTGTGTTTAGTACGAAAGAGGAGAAGTATCAGTCATGTGAGAACACCAACCACGTGGAAAAATTTGTCAAGGCATGACTGGGATGTTGGTGCGGCTACCCGGGCATGACGTTGTGGCCAAGTCAACAGCAGGTGGCGGTGAAAGTTCCAACCATGAGTGACTCTCAGCCGCTTGCGTCAAAGTTAAACTAAAGAGTAACCTTAGTGGCCAAACTCGTTTCCCAGCCCGCCGCACCTGTTCTTCTTCCCTCTAGTATTAAAATGTCATTTTCTCACTAATTATACGAATGACATATTTTTCATTATCAATGCATTAATGTTAGAAATATAAATTTACAGGGGCGGATATAGGAATATTAAAAGGGGGGGATGGGGTCCAAGAAGTCTTAAGTGGGGGAACTTGGCGAGCAAAGCGAGCTCACCCAGCTGAGGGGGGAGGGGCGCTGCTGTAAGCCAACCCCCCCATAATTTTTTTTAAATCTGACCGATATCATGAGCATTTTGAGGTCATTTTGAAACCATATACACTTGATATTAAGAGATATTTTGAGGTCAATAGTAATTCCTTTTTACTATACAAAAACGCCTGTGAGTACAATACTGCATTAAAGAAAAAGTATTGGAATTTTCTGATGAAAAGAGGGGATCTGGACCCCCCCCCCCCTGGATCCGCCCTTGATTTGGAAGTGAGCTATCTACTTATGGAGTGGTTCAGCATATCAAATAACCTTTCTGTTTCTTGACACCCTCATATAACCTTACACAACCTACGCTCCGTCAGAGCTACACTTTAATAACAGTATCTTCGAAATGTATTTTCCTGGGATTAACCTGTGTTATCTTTCAAATTCTGGCTCCTCCACCGCGCAAATGGTCTACGTGACGTGATCCCTTTTCAGTGTGGTGAAGCGTTGCCAGAACTTGCGTCATGGTCAAGAAGTGGCAGCCAAATTCGTGCGTCGAGGTCGTCAGGACCAAAAAGAGACGGAGGCCGAATTCCTACTGCTGCGACGTCTGCGTCATCCATCCTTTACACGGTCATACGCCCTGTACACTGCTACACCCAAGTTTGACATTCTTGTTATGGAATTGTAAGTATAAGGTCTTTAATGGAACAAAGAGAAAGTCTGGAAGATGTAACTAATGGCAGCTGACTCATCAAGGTTAAATACGTGATGTAGTCATCCTGACCTACAGTGGGGGAGAACAAACGAACAATTGGTGGATTGGGGAGTGTGATTATCTTTCCAAGGGCCGTGGCTGCGTGGCATGTTTCATTTAGCTGTTGTTGAGCTTGCACGTTGCTGTTATAATATTATTATTACTGCGCTTCAACAACGAAGGTCTTTAAACGCATTACAAAAAATAGTGTTTACACGTTTTAACAACATTAAAAAATTATGCGAGATAAAACTGCACATAATAAGTTGTCGTCATTCAACTAGCACCAATGGAAAATGTAACACTAACAGGTGGCAATCATCATGGGTATTGTTTAAATGCATGTGAGATAAAGTGTTTGCTGTAGTAAGTGATAGATGGTCAACCACAACGGTTGACATTACATTGCGTCCCATTTAAAAGCAAGTTTAAGGGGTGGATCATTTTATGTTTTTATGATATATATATATATATATATATATATATATATATATATATATATATATATATATATATATATATATCAATGGAAACGTGGAAAAGATATAATACTGAAGCACCCTAGCTTTCGTCTTTATTCAAGATCTTCAGTCTAAGCCTGGTCACTCTAAGGTGTTCCAACGTTTCTCTTTTCCTGTGTGGTTTTATCAATAATATATATATATATATATATATATATATATATATATATATATATAAAACAAACGTGTGTTTGGTAACACTAATTAACGGGGAATGGGTCACTTGATTGTCAAATAATATACAAGTAACATAAGTGATACATATATGATATACTGTATAATAACAGTATGGGAAGGTCATGCTACAGGGCATTTCAACATAGTAACAGTACAAAAAGGTAAGATTGGCTGGAAATGAACATACTGGTTGATTACGAGTTGTTGATAATTTTTACAATGGTTGGGACTGGGCTGTTCTTATAGCGATGAGTACATGCTCGTATGGGCTGGTTGTGGTGTCGAACAGCTATTCTCGGACGAGGGATCTTGGGTGGAAGTAGGAGCTGGTGTCGAGGATGGTGCTGAAGCTTCTCACCTAATTTGCAGATGAGGTCGCGGTGATGATCATAGAGAGCCAAGAGGGTCAGTGTGTTGAAGTCTTCTTGATATGTGGATTAGGAAAGGGAGAGAATAAGCTTGTATGCCCTCTTCTGCACTTTTTCTAGGTGTTTCCGTTGTGTGGCATTTAGGGAGTAAGACCAGGCAGGGGAAGCATAGGTGAGCTTGGGATGTATGAATGTTGAGTAAGCACTGGGGAGCTTGGGCGCACGAACTCCAAGGGACTTGAATCAGTGGAGGAGGTGGAGACGAAAACCGGAGAATTTGGCATTTGTACTGACGTGTGTTTTCCAATTTAGTTTGTTATCTATAGTGACACCGAGGAACTTGGTGGAGTCCATAACCTGGAGTGTGTTGGGGCCTAAAGTAATGGAGAGAGGGGGGGGAACAAGGTCAGAGGAGAGGTTGATGTGCATAACCATGAGCTTGGTGTGGTTGATGGTGACCTGGTATTTGGTGGCCCAATTTTGGAGATTGTTCAGTATATTCTGGAGGTTGGTGTAGTCGGGAGCTGAGTTGTTCACACTTATCCCAATGGTGGAGTCATCGAAATTTTTCCGGCTAGCAGAGGTTTCTCTTTGGGCATCATTGATAAGCACGAGGAAGCAGAACGGTCCATCTTGGTGCCTTGGGGGATGCCACAGGTGAGTGACTGAAAAGTGGAGACAGCCCCTCGGAAGCGTATGGCTTGGTGTCTGTCACTGAGGAAGTCTGTAAGCCATGTTGTAAGACTTCTCTGAAACCCGAGATCGATAGTTTTGTTGATTAAATTGTGGTCGACTAGGTCAAATACTTTGGTGAAGTCAATGAAGACGACAGCCACAGACGTCTTTCGTTTTTCCAGATGGCGGCATATTGCCAAATTGCTGAGGATCTATGGCTCCTGCAATATCAGCATAAGCCCAGTCAATAACGAAATTGGCAGATTAAGCTGGGTATTGGGGTGATGGCAATGGGTCGTAGCTCATTTAAGGATTGTGGGCTGGTTGACTTGGGCACTGGTGACAGATATGAGGTATTTCAGTCAGCTGAGCATCTTGCTTGGCTGAGGGAAGCATTGATGATGGAGCAGAGGGGTTTAGCTAGTTCCTGGGAGAACTCCTTGTAGAATTTCATTGGTAAGTCAATGGGGGTGGTGGAGCGCTTTAACTTCAGTTTGTCCAAACGTTTGCTACTTCAAATTCTTCCACTAAGTCAGTAGGAAAGGGGGCTGGGAGGTAAGCAGGGAGATTGGTTGTGTCAAGCCTGGGGAGCGTCTGGCAAATAGTTGTGAAATGATTGTTTGATTGCTTAGCTGCGTCTCCATTAGTGAGATGGCTAAGGAAGGGGAGTGGGTGTGTTTTATTGTTTAGTCCACAGAGTTCTTTTAAGTTTACCATACCACTTACTGATGTTGGCCTGCCTTAGGTGTTGCAGCTTGGTTGGGTAGTGAGACTTTTTTGTAGCGCATATTTCACGAATGACTTGGTTGTGAAGGGACTTGTGGCGGTTATGGTCATTGAGATAAAAGGCTCTGTCTCTCTGCTGCATAAGTCTTTTGATCCAGGTGTGATCCAGGGCAAGTCAGCTGGGTGTGAGCTGACGGAATTCTCAGGGAAGAAGTGGTGGTGTTGGTGAAGTTTATCCATTTGGTGTCCACGTCATCCACATTAAATACCCTATACTTCAGTCCAGGGGTGGTGAACTATCCACTGTCCGAAAAGACCCAGTGCAGTGTCAGTAATCGGCCTGTAGGTATTGGTGTAGGGTCTCTGCACTTGGCTGGTGGTGGGAGCTGGAGACCAAAGCACTGATAGGTGTGTGCGTGCTACACCCGATAGGAGGTATTGCTTGAGGTGATTCGTACTGGTCCGCTAAGTAAGTTAAGATAGGTCAAGGGGATTTTGATCGTGTGTAGGGAAGGTCACAACTTGTGATAGTAGCAGCTGGTCCTGGATATCAGTGGCGTCAATTTCGTTATAATCCCTGCATAGTACTAGCTTGGCACATGGGTACCTAACTCTGAGGTGGTAATGAAGTGATTGATAAGAGTGTCTCTGGTGGGTGAGCGAGGCTGTGTGTTGAGGGTTGGCACATGGTATAACACGTACTCTTAATGCCTCCACATCAGCTGGGACTAAGACATCCATACATGACAGGCATAGCTCATCTTGACAAAAGAGGGCAACACCCCCTCCACGTCCATGTGAACGCAGATGGTAACTATGTTGGCAGCAACTGACCGGACTGTTGTTGCCAGTTTTTTAAATTTATTGGCTAAGGAAGTGACATTGGAGAGCAGTAAGGAGGGGAGAGTGTACCATATTCAGAGAACTTCAGTGTATTGGTATGGTCTGTCAGGAGTGGGTTGTTATGGAACCGAAGGTAAGCACTGGGAGGCTTTATTCAACTTAATGCAACCTCAGTTTCCAGGGCCGGATTTACCTACTTGTGGGCCCCAGGCCAAACTCATCAGTGGGCCCCCAAATACCAATATCACAAAAAATAGACACAAAAACACACGTAATATAACACTAAAGTCCATTTAATGCAACATGTAAAATATCATTAGTAAATAATGAGTGTCGGGTACACAATATAAAATATCACTGAGCTGAGGCTGAGAAGATACTGACTGGCTGAGTTAGCTGTCAGCAAACCAACGGTAACCCTGACACTTACTGAACGTGAATCGATCCTGTCCTTCACATGTCATATACCTGTACTATATACTCCTAAGCTTCAATTCCAAAGTCACCTGTCTCCATTACTGATAATCACTCTCATTAAAATGTGTGATTACACACGAATGAGTGTTTTATGAAATGACAATATGGTTATGTATTCTTCATTAATTATATTTTATTGACAGAGTGATGGGCTTACCACTGCTGGATTGGGTGTTCACTAGGGAAGAAACAACAGAAGCTGAGTGTGCTGTGCTTGTAGTGCAAGTGATTAATGCTCTTCAATATTTACACAGTTGCCATGTAGTCCATCTTGATCTAAAGGTAATAAAATCTATTAATAATAACCACATTCAAAAAGCTTTATTTTTTCAGTTTTCGTTTAACCAGAAAATTTCATATCAAGTTTAACAACATTTCCAATTTCATAATCATGTTATCTACAAGTTTGATGATAAATCAGATTATGTACAGAGATTCTGTTAAAATGTTATATTTCATGTCACTATTCACGGAAATAGTAATGATCGATGATTTAATTTAGTTTAAATTTCTTCCTTGAAATATCATAGGGACTGTGAGAGAGAGAGAGCACTCTTTTACTTACACTCTTAATCTAATGCCATATTTGATCACAGAGTTAGTCACTGTTTATCTTCTTTTTGTAAGCTCATTTAAAATTCTAAGCTCTCGGTCATAAGAAAATATTCCTGCTAAGGTATTAATAGTGAACATTTAAATATGTACGTAAAAGATTTGATATATTGTATTGCAACACTAACGTAGCTTATCTTTTTTCCTTAAATATATCGTAATTGGCTGCCTTCAGAGTTTACATAGTAATGGGTACAAGTTTCAACACCTTCATACAGTTAATGTACAGTACTTGTACTGTATTTTTGAAAATGTGGTTTCAAGAGAGTCAGTCGTTTGAGAAATTACTTAACATTTTATTCCTGGATATGCTAATAAGACAAATGTCATGTTTCATAGTGGACTAGCTACTTTGACAAACTTAGTCAAGCATTAATGGATATCAATAAATTCATCTGTGGTAGGCAGTATCGATAACAATCTTAAGCCCGGCTACAGTATAGCTGGCTATTTACGTACCAGTATTTAACCATTAAAATTATATATGCAGGATAAACTAAATTAAGAGTATTTACTTTGTAAAGCTGACCTACTTCACAATCAACAAAACATGACCATTTTTATGGCTACTTTCCATGTTTGCATGCATTGCCTACATTTATCTGATGACAGCTGTCCATTCAACCTCTCTCATCAGGTTCTTAACTGTAATGTAATTCCATATAACCCCCAACCATGTTATTCTTGGCTCTCCCCTCCACATTTAAACTCGTGTATCTCTTGTCCTAATTGGTCTCCTGCATTCCTTGCACACGTCTACACCATCCCATACCTACCTCTACACAAAACTTTCTCAATACTTTCAATACTCTTTTTTCTGAACAGTTTCATTTCATTCATTGTCACATTTTCATGTCCCCCTCACCATTCTCATTTCAGTTCACTCAACCTTATGTATCTTATCCTCTTTAGTTGTCCATGTTTCACAGCCAAACAACATCACACTTCTTAAGCTACAGTAGTTGCATACATACAGTATTTACTTACATAATGCATGATCTCTTGCCCTCAATAAAGGTAGCATCTCCCTAAACTTCATCCAGCCATTTCTTATTCTTGCAACTGAGTTAGCTTCAGCACCCCCTCTAGCACTGATCATATCACCCAGTTAACAGAACTCATTCCTTTAATCTAGGGATAAATCCCCAATGTTAAGTTCCTCCAGCCATGCTAAGGCCACATGATTATCTGCTCATACAGCAATTTCCTGTAGTCTGCTATCTACGCCACTGCACCGCTTGTGTACCTACCTTTCACATTAATTGCGCATTATTATATTGCTGCCAACACCTTTCTTACAGATATCACATGACCCTTTTTTCCACTTTCCACCATGGGTCTCTCACCCAAGCCACTAATCATACTTTTGTTTTTGCCACATTCACTCTCAAGCCCTTTGACACATCCATACTTCCATTTCTTAAATTTCTCCACTGCCTTTTCAATGCTATCTGCTATCAACACTAAGTCATCAGAATAAAATAATTCCCAGGAGAGAATATATTTAGCACCATGATAAACAGAAGGGAACTCATGACGAACTGGACCCCCTAATGAACCCCTACTTTCACCTCAAATTCATCATTTTCCTCGCCGTTTATTCTCACAGCAATTTTTGAGTCCTCAAATAATGGCATAACCTCTCAAACAAGACATTTGTCAATTGCAAGCTTTCGCATTGTCCACTTTACTACTTTATGTTTTACTCTGACAAATGCCTTATACTGTATATGCAAAGTACAAAAAACTTGCCTCTGTAATCCCCCTACGTTTTACTTTTATCCTCTTCGCCACTTTCATAACCTGATCTAGCAGCTTCAGACCCCTGTAGTTCACAATTCCAGTGCATGATCTTTTCCCTTGTAAATATCATGATCACATTCTTCTGCCAGTCGTCTGGACAAGTACATTTCATCAAGATTGCATCGGTCAAATCAATGACCATCGATACACCTACATTATCTGATGCTTTCACTGTTTCTTCAAGTATTCTAGAGCTTCTAGCCACCTTTCCATTTTTCATTCATTCTCTTTTATTCCCTGGGCATGGTCCCTGTACTGGTTTTGCTACTCCCAGGCTGCCCTTGTCCCATTCGTATTCTCACTCAAAAGTTGATCTTAGTATTTTCTCCAAGCATCCTAAATTTTCTGGCTGTCAACAATTGTTACCACAGTTACTTGCCACCTAATAACTTCAGAACCATAATTCTCACAGTTACCCTTTTCACCTCTAGCACTTTCTCCACTCACTTTTCAGCAATCAAGATCCCTATACCATCTGTTCCAGATTCACAACCCCTCCTGTCGATTCTGTATTTATCTTTCTTACCAGAGACCAGCCATGGTGAACCATCTTCCCACCTCATTTCTTGCACACAGCTAACATAAGGTTTTCTACAGTAAAAGGTCTTCACAATTTTACCTGCTCTTCCTTGCATCTTACCAGTGTTCAACTTCCAGCTGTGAACCCAGCTACATCTGGTTCTTTCACTTTAATCACAGGCAGTTTCCTGTAACATTTTGTATGTTTAGAGTTAAATTTGTTTTTTTGGTTGATTTTTCATGTTTGACAGAGTTAACAATGCTGTAAAATGCATAGGTGTAATGAATGTTGTTAAGTGAAAGGTACAGCATTGCAAATTCTCTTTGCAATACTTTTCATATCATTTGGGAGGCAGTTAAAGTGCTGTGTACTGTATATAGCATTTAAATGGATTTTTTTTACCTATGATATTCTTTCTACTTTGCTTCAATGTGTGTAAAAAAAAATTCCCTATCTTTATTTTAATGAAGAATTGTTTAAATAGCCTCAGTTTGAAAACCACAGCAGTTAATGCAGTTTCTTTTTACAGCCTGAAAACTTGCTAATAGATATCCTCAGAACTTCAAATAACAGTGATTCATGTGATATAATTAAGGATGAAGTGCAGCCCGCGATCCGACTTGTTGACCTTGGTAGTGCAAGACATTTAATGTCACCAACTCAACTCGCCAATAACACTGATGTTTCAAGTTCTGCTAGTGGGGACTTTTTTTCTAAAAGTGACCCAAATGCTTCTGACAATGATACCTCACTGTTGAGAGTGCCATCCAACCAACTTCCAGCACTATTTGGCACCCCAGAGTTTATGGCCCCTGAAATGTTGGGAAGAAATGATGTTGGTGTCCAAGCTGACTGTTGGAATGTTGGTGTGCTTATATATGTACTTGTCAGGTTAGTGGAATATTTTCATACAAAATCTAGTTATCAGCTGTAGCCATCTTAAAGTATACAATATTTGTGACCACTTATTAATTACATATACTGTACTGTATAGTACTTGAATGTGAATAACAAGACTCTTAATACAAACCTTGTGCATAACAGTGGGCGGTCCCCTTTCCTTGGTACATCAAACGAAGCCACTTGCAAGAATATCCTCTCCGGTGATGTGCGGTACCCAGTTGAGCATTTTGCTTCAGTGACTCAGGAAGCCTGTGATCTTACCCGCGATCTTTTGGTTCAGAAGCCTACAGACAGACCAAACCTTCAAGACATACTCACTCACCCTTGGTTTAACATGGTAATGTGTTTAAGCACTGTATTTGACTTTTAAACTGTATGTCAAGTAGAATCTATAACTAGATATTGCATGTAGTAACTAGAAACTTCTCAGTTCTCTCTCTGTTATCTTTTTCTATGCACCCATGATTTTTTCCTGTTATGATACATGGTGGTCAGACAGGTGCTAATACCCTGAATTTTAGCAGGATGCTAGGTTATTAAAGGGTTGTTCCTCCATTGGCTACACCCACCAGTGTATACAGTAGGCTCATTTTGTCCTGAATGTACAAGTCTGTGATTGTAGTCTTTGCCCTTCATATTTCCATGTACACTCTCCCAAAAGAGTATCCGCCCCTTTTCTTATCAATACACTGTTACAATGGACAAATATTTCCAATCACTAATTGTGATTCCTACCTTATGTTGGTAGGCCTGCCTTCCTAGTATCTGTGAAGTTGCCAGTTATTATTTCTGATGTTTGTTGTAATTATGGCGAATCACTGTAGCAAAAATATATACATAGGGTAATAGAAAATGGAAAATTTTATCATAGAAAATGGAAAATTTTATCATAGAAAATGGGACATTTTATAATAAAAAATGGGACTTTTTATCATGGAAAGTTTTATAATTTTTAACTATGTTTACAGAATGAGTGCGAGAGTATCTTACCGATCCAGAGTCTTGCAGATTTCTCCTTCAGGCGTTCCAAGCTAGCGTCTTCCATGCAAGAAATACCTCTAACTTCTGCTATGCCTGCTACATCACACTAAATATTATGAGGCTATGAATAAGACTCTTTGTCCTGCTTGAAATCTGCATACAGAATATGGTACTGCTGTGTTTACTCACATTTTTTGTACATTACAGTTGTCTAAAATTGCTTGTTCACAATACATTATATGTGATTTTGACTGCTTGCTCAAACCGTTAGTACACACACACACTTTTTTATGTGTTGACAAAAAATGGAAAATACATAATATAAATACAGTACTCCAGATAGTTTTCATCACAAACATTGTTTGCATGAACAAAATACAAGTACAATAAGTTATTGGATTTGATAGACTATTGTTATTTTCAATGCCATTACTGTAATTTTGTTCACATATTTATTACCAAAGGTAGTAATAGTAATTTATTTTTATTTTCACTTCTAAAAAGCTTTTCCCTCTACAGTACTGTATGCTATTGCATGGTGGCTGGAACCTCGTCTGCCTGCTCCCATATTATTCTCCATACTGTACATCGCTGGTTTCTGGCTCACTTTTTCTACTGTATTTCCTTGGTCTTTCCTCTCTGTCTTGCCATCTGTTTCTGAATTTTACCAGTCTTTTAAATTCCATTTTCTGAATGTGTCCATACTACTACCTTTATAAACCATGGTTAACTCTGTCCCCATATTTATATTTACAAATATCCTAATTTCTGTATATGCTCAGCTTCCAGTTCAACTTATTTTATTAAATCATTTCTATTGATTCTAATTTGCTTATTCTATTCCTCTTGCATCCCAAGTCTTTTCTTCAAACCCATATAACAAATTCAGATAAATGATTCCTTTATAAAACCCCATCTTTGCCTCTTAAAGTTCTCTTTTTGTATACACTACTCATTGCACTTAAAGTATTACATTTTTCCTCTTTTGTAATTCAATTCATAAACCTATTTTCCATTCACTAACACATCCACTCCTGGGTACCTGAAACTCTTCACTTCCTTTGATTTTGCTTGTCACTCATGTAATATTGATGAATGCCTTCCCCTCTGCATGTTTTGACCACATCAATAAATATTGAATGCGTCAAAAGGCGGGTTTCAATCATTCCCTTCGACTTGCCTATCACCTGAATGTCCTTAAAGAAGACGTTTACAGTCAAAGCAAGTACGGGAGGGCGTCGAAGGGAATTTTCGACCGCCAGGAGGACCACAGGACCACGTGACGCCGCCGGAAGTGCAACGTGGGACGTCAGCCACCCTCCCTTCAATATTTATTGATATGGTCAAAACCTGCAGAGGAGAAGGCAGTCATCAATATTACACGGTGATCCGTCTGATATATAATTAGTTAGTCTCACACAATTTATTAAACATAGTGACATAACACAAAGTTCATAACTCTATTAATCTTAGTTACGCTTCATTTCGCATTGTCTTATTGCTCCAGATAAGGCAGAAACGAGTAGGCATAATTAGTCAACAATATTTCAGTACTGAGGGGTACAGTATGTCATCACTTAGGTCTTAGGCTGTACTTACAAGTGCGGGTCAATGCAGATCAGTATGGTGTTCCAAGAGACAACAGTACTGCATAAATTGTCCCAGCACAAATTCTCGGACAGGATTGTGAGTCGGTGTACACCAGTGCGAGCAGGGGGCTGGTCTTCACAGCCTCACTAGAGAGGGCGATCTGCCTCATGGCGGGGCGGGCAGCACCGCCACCTGCCAAAGACAGTCCGCGCGGCAGAACCAGGACTTGTCTGTAAACACTTCTACATCTGGCGAGGTTATAGGTCGAAAGATTTAATGGCAACACACGCCAGCACTGTATCTGAAGCCAGCGGCGATAACACACTCATTGTGAACAGCAACCGACTCCTCTCCCATTTTCAACCCATATCCATACTTACTAAACTGCCCCCTGCCCCCCTGTCGATGCCTCTAGCTTGTACCTATATTACTACCTCATCCATGCATTATTAATTTTTTATATATGCACCTCTTTAATCTTACTCTTATTTAGAAACAATTCCCTCTTCCTGATAAACTGTTGATGCATATTTCACTCCCTTTTCAATGCTATCTCACAAATGCTTCACTATCACTATTTAAGAATTTCTATATACAGTACTGTACAGTACTAAATCAATTGTTTTTTCCCTTCTCCAAAAACTCTTCACTATTTTCATTGGGTCAGTCGTTTTCATTTCCTGTACTGTACCCACACTGCTCTTTCCTAAATATAAACCAGTTTTGCAACAGTTATCTCAATATTAACTACCTTGCACTTTTCAGTATATAATTTAGACCTATTACAGTACTTTTTTTTTTATTCGTTCATATCACCTTACTTTACCACAGGGTGACCATATATTCTCTCTACATTAAAGTTATATACTGGAGTAGTTTTAAATAATGAAATATAAAATTGAATATACTTTATGATAATTACATTAGTTAGGATTTTTCTAATCACAAAGAAAATTTTACAAAAACTTACCTGGACAAGAGATTTCATGCTTTTAATTCATCCAGAGTCGAAAACCGACATCTCGCTGTCTTAATACCTATACTGGTGGTGGAGCCAGCAAAGTTTTATTCCTAAGCACTGAACATTTTTTTTTAATTCCTTATGTTATTTGTATTAGCTTTGATTATTCTTATCTACTTGTAGAGAATTGTACAAAAATTAAGCTGGATGCGGGAGATATTGCACTAATGGAAAAAAGCCTTCTTGGGCTATTCTTGGTTAAATCAACTTACTGTTTGCCAACATATGTATGCCTGCACTGTCTAATGTACATGCTGAACCAATGTGAATTTGTATGACGATTTTACTGAATAAATATATATCTATACTTCTTATCTGTATCCAGATAGATGATTTCTACTACAGTTACCTGAAACAGTGGATGACCCACATGGCCACACTCCTCTTCCTACAAACTGTGTAACAATGACAGTCCCACCTCTAACCTCTAATACTCTGACTTGGATTGTCATACCGTCATGGATGTCTTACCACAGAAGTGATGGATTTGTATATATTCCAGAACATGGCAATCACAAGCACACAAATTCTGTGTGGGTAATGCAAAATGTGTTGATTTCAAGTTATCTGTTTGGATGCTAACTTAATAAATACACCCCAAGGATTAGCAGGGTGTGGCAATTACTGTATTGTACAGATCCAGTATATTTTAAAGTAAACAAACACATTTGTTTGTTTGCCTCATGAATACCGTACAGGTAAATCTTAATACTTGTACTAACAATGTTTTGATTAAAGTAGTCTGATTGGTGACGTCGTACCTTTGTAGTGGATACTCTCCCCTACAACTACCGATTTGTTGCTTGGCAGTTGTAGGGGAGAGTTTAAAGTTGCCATTATTTACAGTTTAAAGTTGCCATTATTTATAGTTTAAAGTTCCCATTATTTTTAGTTAAAGTTGCCATTATTTACAGTTTAAAGTTGCCATTATTTACAGTTTAAAGTTGCCATTATTTGTGTCTATAACTGTAAATTATACATATTGAAATTACTGTATTTTCCTCATAAGTTTTGTTCATATACATTCACCTAAGTAACAAGGGCCGAAGTGTCTGTATCCTGTTGGAAGTGACTATAGTAGAAGGGAAGTACTATTGTGGGGTTATGAGATATTGGTTCACACTCAGGATGGTTGGAGAAAGGAAACTCACAATGTGCTCTCTCTATACATATTGTATTGGATGTACAATGCAGCTTTGTGCTGGGGAGTGGCACCGTGGTTACAGGCGTGGAGTAGAGAGAGCTGGTTGGGGAGCGTGCTCAGAGGAGGTGCTGCTTGCTGCGTGGCTGTAGGTAGAAAAAGGGCAGGTCACGGCGTGGTTAGGTCTTATATAGTGGGGGTAGGCGTGGCTTGATAGTTGACCTCCGATTTGTTAGGCGGCGCTGGTTACCGATGTTATATCACGAGGCGTGAGCTGGGGAATTCGAAGAGGGGTCGGCTAGTCTGCGACAAACGGCAGTTGTAGTTGAAGGGGAGATATCCACTACATGGTCTTCAACCTTGAGCTGTGACCCCTTGCGAGGCGGGTGTCTGTCGGCTCCAGGTTTGGACACTACGTAATAGTGTCCTTTGAAAGCTTAATAAGTGATGTCATCGCTAGCCAATCAGCGACGTTGTATGGAATCCAACGGTCGCAAGCATCGTAAGTAAGATATTTATATTTATTTGATATATTTAATCAGTGGCTCCAATTAAAATAAAACAAAAAAATCTCCATTCCATACATTTATTGTACAACTTTTAATACCATCATAAGCCTTCAAAAATACGTAAATAAAAATTTCATTTTATTTTCATTAGAGTAAATCCTATGGGAGTGAGGCTGTAGTGGATTCCTCCTCTACAAGCGCCGAACCTTCTCGAATTCCCCAGCCTACGCCTCCAGCGCCGCCTACGGAGCGGGGGTCAACTATCTACCCCCGCCTTATAAGACCTGACACCGCTGTGACTAACATCTTAGTAAAAAAAAAAAAAAGTGACTACCCTCCCAGCTACACAAGGACCTGGGCGGGCTCACTAACTCAAAAAAAAAAATAAAATAATAATAATAATAATAATAATAATAATGTGATTACCCTCCCAGCTATATCAGCCAGGAAGAAGTAATTGAACCACCTCCTGCCTCAACATACACATTTCTACATAAAACATTACTAGAGGAATAAAGATGAGAGTGACCAACCAGCTCCACTAAGAACCTGGCAGGCCTCTCCATACAGTGTACCTTTAGACTAACACAACTAACACTTAACTAACACCTCAAAAAAAAATAAAAATAAAAATGTGACTACCCTCCCAGTTACACAAGGACCTGGGCGAGCTCACTAACTCAAACAATAACAAATAATAATAATAAGCAGCATTATATAAATAAACCAATATTAATACAAAGGTCTGACGACCCAAGGGAGCAGAACAGAGACAAAACACCAATAAGAAAGATGAAGCGATCTGGTTGAGCCCAGATTCTTTCTACTCCTACTGTATTTCAGTTTCACCACTTTTCCTTCAACTTCTAATAATCTTCTTTCACCTCTTAACTAAAGACTTCGTATCGTATCGACCAGCTCCTTCTACCCAGTGCCACCAGCGAGCAACACCACCTACTCCGCGCCAGCCTGGCGGCTCCCGCTGGCGACCTAGGCGTCCCTCAAGCCGCGTGCCCTCACTCTGGGCGCCCTCACCACCCAGCTGTCTCTACTCAACGCTTGTTACCATGCTGCCTACCCAGCACCAAGCTGCACTGTACATCCACTACAATATGTATACATTGAGCACATTGTGAGTTTCCTTTCTCCATCTCATCCTGAGTGTGAACCAATATCTCATAACCCCACAAGGCTACCTGGTATCTACGTACCTTGGGCAGCCCTGCCGTTTTAGGCACTACAGTAATCTGGGTAACAGAGGTGCAGGCACCAGTCTGGTAGCCCTCTGATATTTTCAATCAACTGAGTGTCCCTAGCATAAATACAGTATCACTACGAGTGAACTGAATAGGTATTGGTTTTGTAAGGACCGTGATCGGTGGATAGGTTTCCTATAGGTGGGCTCCAGGAATGGTCGAAGGAATGGCTGCTGAGATTCAATGTCACGAAGTGTAAGAGGATGCACCTGGGGCGTACCAACGGTAAGGAGGCGTACCATATGTCCCAACGGGATGAAGAAAATGTACTAGTTGAGACTGTGTGTGAGAAGGACCTAGGTGTGTATGTTGACAATGAGCTGAAGTTCTCGGGCCATTGTGAGAAGAAGGTAAATCAGGCAAATAAATTATTGGGTCTTATAAGAAGGTCGTTCAGATATCTAGACGGTCCGTCCCTCGTGACGATCTTCAGGAGTGAAGTGCTTCCCCATCTGGAGTACTGTCACCCCATCTGGTCCCCGAGATATGCTAGGGACTGTCAGTTGGTTGAAAATGTTCAAAGGAGGGCCACCAAGCTGGTGCCTGCACTTCGGCATCTCAGCTACCCTGCGAGATTGGAGCGCCTGAACTTGCCTAGCTTATACTACAGACGGGCAAGGGGGGACCTAGTTGAGGTTTATAGGCATCTCAGGGGCACTACTCAGTTGAGTGTCCTTACTTGGAGCTGGCGGACGCTCGCCCCACAAGGGGTCACAGCTCAAGATTGAAGAAGCCGCAAGTCCGGAAAACCGTGAGGGCAAACTTTTTCGGAGTGAGGGTTGTAAACTCTTGGAACAATCTACCAGAAAGTGTTGTGACGGCACCGAGTGTGAGCTCTTTCAAGAGAAGACTTGACCATCACTGGAGCGGGTTCAGGTACATTCAGGAGCCGGTGCATGCCCAGTATTTGCCAACAGTGCGTGACAGAGACGTGACCGATCGCCCGGGCGGCTAGCGAGCCGACCTTTTGGTGAAGAATATAAAGGAAAAGAGTCGTGACCGATCGCCCAAGCGGCTAACGAGCCGATCAGTGGCGAAGAGGATAAAAGAAAGAAAAGAAAAAAATAGGTCAAACGTTGGCTGTTTGGAGACATGGGTTACCACAGGGTGTTAAGAACACGTCAGTTCGCAGCAATAGTCCATCTATGGCCAGATCCCGGATTGTCAGGTCCATAGATACTCTACTGAAGATAGAAAAGCTCCAGCAAAAATACATATGAAATGTGTACGGTATAGTTTCCAGATACCTCAACAACAGCGCCATCTATTGGCTGTGTCCAAAAGCTATTCGTGACGTCATAGAAGTTGATGTGACGTCATGAGTAATGTTTTTTTACCTGTTCTATTTATTTTAGACATTAATCTTCATTTATGTATTCATGTATGTATACATGCATACTCAATTGCCTCAAGATCTTAGATGAGTTCAGATTAAAAGACAGAAATTTTTCTCTTGCACAATCATCATACAATTACTGCATACTTTTACTTTTATCCTCTTCACCACTGATCGGCTCGTTAGCCGCTTGGGCGATCGGTCGCGTCTCTGTTACGCACTGTTGGCAAGTGATGAATCACCTGCCATGCTATTACATAAATTGGGGGATAAATGACCTTGTTTTCAATAGAGTTCTTGGCTATTAAAAGGCATTCTTATTGTTTATCTTTACTGAAATAAACAAACGCAAAATCAAAAATTCAAGTTTTGTCATGGCTAGTCATGTATTATAATATTTCATCTAACATCCTATAAGCAAATATTGACATTACCATAAAAATATACATTAATTATTAATAATTAATATTATTCGTTATTAGTCATGCAATATATATATATATATATATATATATATATATATATATATATATATATATATATATATATATATATATATATATATATATATATATAGATGCAAGTAAATCACTGTAGGTGCGTATATATATATATATATATATATATATATATATATATATATATATATATATATATATATATATATATATATATCAACAAATTTAAACTGAAATATAATTGTGTAATCATTAATTTTACTGGTTATAGAATGGTTATTCTTGGCTGTAGTCCAAGATTTTGAAAACCTGCAGACGACAACGTGACGTCACAGAAGTGCGACTGTAGTGTTGTGCCATCCTACTGCAAGACTACATAAAATGACGTCACTGTGCCGTGAGGTCCCAGCTAGTATTATTACCGACTATCTTACACTCATTCCTGTCTTGAGTGTATAGTCTTTGGTTCACGAGCCGCCAACGTTTTTCTAGCAACTACAGAAACAATCAGTGTGTGTCCAGAACAACACAGGGCACAGGTGGAAGAAGAGGCGTCCCAGATTTCAGATTCTTGGTAAGGAAGTTGAATTAACATGTATCAGGTTTGTTGGCATTAAGCTTAGGGTACAGGACTCATTTTTGTTCTTTAGAGTAACATAGAATTATGTATAAATATATCAATCTTCTTGCTTGATTATAATTGAGAAAGGGTAACATTTAAGTTTTGCACGACGTGCGTATTTAACTAAACACCATTAAATCATTGTGCCCCTCATATGAAGATTAATATCGTGATCCATATTCCTCACTGCTGCTGAAATAACTTGGGTAGTGCTGGAAGGCAGTAACTTAGATAATTGTTCCAGTTGATAGATTTGTTAAGGAGCAACTTTTCAGAAAATTCTTTGGTGTGTGTAATAACTACGGTAACTATTATGTATTTCACCTATATTTACTATTGGCACACGAAGAATTGTCATTAAAAACATGTTAAATGGCATTTTAATGTTTTTGTATTTTGTACAGCATATGTGCAGTAATATATTTCAGCTTTATGGTGGGAGTCCATGGGGAAAATGGAATCCAATATATGAAAAAATGATTTTTGTTATTTAGGAAAACTACAAAAATGTCAAAATTTGGGGTGAAATTTCAGTCATGCACCGATCTTTCTCTCGCTGTTGTTAATATGTTTTTCGTAATGTTTAGACAATTCTAAGACCATTTTCCTCTATGATAATTCCGCCGGAAATTAAGGATAACCAAGATAATAATTTTTCAATATTATTAGATTTGGTCAGTCACGCAGTGCTTCTTACCTCCGTGTTGACTTCTTAAGCATCTACAGTGCATGTCCGGGGAGTGGTATGGGAGTTTCTTATTGGCTATAGCGATAGGAGACATAATTGGGCAAACATTTTTTGTCTTAGTCAATGAACAATGCGTGGGTGCGTCGGGAGCGGAGATTTGAATTTTCAGTACTACATATGGCTGAACAGGTGGAAAGAGCTGTACCTACATTGTGATAGAGATTATTTTACTTAAATTGCATAGTTTCATCAGAAAAATAGTGTTAGGTTAGGCTAGGTCAGGTTAGGTTTGGTTTTGTTGGTTGTATGGTATTTTATTTAAGTGGTTTACTTGAAAAAATTACATTTTCGTTACTGAAAAACTATTGATTTCCGGCTGAAATGAATATTAGATTTGTTTGAAACTCATCAAATAACATCGGAAAAACATATCTTCAATATCCAAACAAAGACCGGTGTCATGCGACAAATCTTCCGGTGCGATAAACCTTCCGGGCTCAGCAATTACTGATGTTCATTATCGACATCTAAGATGTATGATTGATTTGTGAGAGCTGAAAATATTAATAGGGTAAATACGGAAATGGAAGGTTTTGAATGAATTTCCCATTATATCTTGGGCAAACTGACTACAGTATAAGGATGATATGAAACATACTCACTACCAAAGACAATGAAAGCACAAAGTGGGCAGTGCTTTGAAGTCAATGGAAATTGTAGGGTAAGAACACAAAAAATGAACCAAGCAAACCCAAGGAATCCTTCCCTAACCTTCCCTAACCTAACATTACAAAATAATTAAATTTAATACCCAAAACTAACCATTTACCCCGGAAGGTTTTGCGCACTGAAGGTTTGTCGCACGGCATAAGTGAAACTTGACCAAATTTTGATACCCTGTATTTTGTTTGTAAATCAAATCAAGGAACAATTACTTTTTCATAATTTTTTATTTTTTGGAAACCAAACCTTTGTAAATCATGGACTGCCTGTATATTCTTCCATATTCTCTTTAAATATGCTTTAACTCCTTCTCTATATTGTAGAATATGGATGCTGGTGAAGAAGAAGAAGCAGATGGGGCTCAAGCTGAAGATGGGGATGTAAACACTGTCATTGCACCGAGAATGATGAATTCTCTTGTTATATCCCCTTCAAAATCAGTGACCAGGTCTTCGCAAGCTCTGAGCCCCATTCACAAACCATCAATCAAAACAAATACAGGAGACTTTATCAGTCAGAGTGAGAGCAAGGACTCTTGTGGAAGAAATGTTGATAACAATGTGTACACTGGAAACTTAAATGAAAACCAAGATTTACACATCCACTCTGCAGCCGTTGTAAAGAGTTCTGAAGTGAGTCAGTAAATAACTGTCATAATTATATCAGTTAAGTTTTTTTCTCTCCTTTTACAACTAACAACTTTTCCAATGACTTGTGCATTACTGTACTGTATTTCACCAAGTGTAGATGGTTCAAGTCCAGGGAACCCTTAGATAGTTGAGACGGATCATTTGATTAGTTATACATCAGCATCATTTTATACCCCAGTTTGTGTAATCTGTGACTACTTTATGTCAATTCTCTTCTCAGGTTCCCATCTCAGAGATCCCATCAGTATAATTATCATTATTTTTTTTTCTCTAGATTATATATACAATAAAAAGAACCCTTTAATTTTTTCTAAAAAGTTTAAATGCCAATATCTTACTAACTGCATATTCATCTTAAGATTGATGGAATTATTTTTATTTATTATTTATTCTACATTTTAGATTAGGGGGCTAGTATGAAAGATTGAGGTCCCGTGGGCCTATGATTAGCAATGCCACTGAACTCTCCTCATGTTCCTCTTGGCTTACCCCTAGCTCGCCTTCCCTGCACATTTAAACTCTTGTATCTCTTGATCCAGTTGGTCTCTTCTATTCTCTCCACATGCCCGTACCATCTCATCCTAATTTTACGCCAAACTTTGCCATTACTCTCAATACCCAACTGCCCTCTCATTTCTGATCAGGGTGTCCTTTCTATCAGTGTCACATTACACATCCTCCTCACCATTCTCATTTCAACTTGCTCAAACCTATATATATGTCATCCTTTAAATTCCCATGCTTCACTATTATACAATATCACACTTATGCTGGTTGGGGTGTGCATACAGTATATACAGTATATAATATTAATCTGTTGGTTATATCACAACTTAAGCCAAGTTATGATGTGAAAGAGGTTCTAGTAGGAGAGAGAAAAGACAACATTATTAGGTTTCTCATGGTATGGTCATGGTAGGGGCCCTAGAAAAAATTTGCCCAGGGCCTCCAGAATCCTAAAGCCAATCCTGAGTGCAGCACAGTGGAAGTACTGGACTGCAACGATAAGGTGGATGAGGACCAAATAGAGGAAATCATATGATTTATGATACCATAAGATAAATTATGTACCCTGTAGTTGCTTGTAAGAAATTAAAATTTTATTTAGATGAGCAGCTATTTCATTATTATAATTGACTTAAGGTTTTATATTGTCTTTGGTAATAAAAACTTTAAAGTATTAAAAATAAATATCAAGTAAACAGAAGCTTTCTAGTGTTGGAAGTTCATTATTCATACAATGTTCTTTTCTTTTTCTTCCAGGAAATTTTATTGAAACAAACTCGTAAATCATTCATTCATGATACTTATGGCACAAAATTTTTATTTATATCACATCTTCCATGGTTGTGAAGGAAAGGAGGTGTTTATGTATTAATGTTGATGTATGTACTGTGTTTTTCTGTATACAGTAGTGTCGGGATATATCGCGAGATAGGGTCCAACGATGTTCGCTATATACCAAATCGCGATATATAATTACGTACATGTAATCAATGGGGAAATAGGATTAGGTTCTGGAGGGCAAAAAATGTGACTAAACTTGATTTAACGAGTTCATTTTCTTACTAACTAAAGCACCAATGAACACTAGACTCGGGAACAACAGGCTATTTCATTATCAATATCAAGGAACACCAGACTCGGCAGCTGATGCACCATCCTGGGATCACCAGACTCGGCAGTAGACGCCACACTGTCACCCTCGCTTGACAATCCCACACCTACATAAACAAACACCAAAATTATTAGTTACAGTATTATATCTTTTCCATTAAGCTTTCCATAATCTTCACTTCACACGTCACGAGAAACCCATTTACACTCACCTTAGAAGTCGTAATCTTTAGCAGTCAGCTGCTTTCTCGTCACTTACTCAGAAAGACTGAGCGGGCGAGCGTGATTGCGTAAGTGAGCAGCCACGGTGCCGCCTCTGGTGAGCAAATAACGCATTTGTTTGCCATGGCGGTACATTTGAAATATTTCTTGCCCGATTTCCCTCGCGAAATAAAAAAATATTGCGATATAAAAAATCGTTATACTGTACAGTGTTATGGACAATGTTTAGTGTTTATTAAAGGAGTTTTTGAATGGTTTATGGGTATTTTTTGGCCTCTGGAACCAAACATTAGTATAAGTATTTTTGTTAATCAATTAAACTGTAATTTGCGATTTAATAATTCACTGTCTTCTGGTACCTAACCCATGGATTATCAAAACTTCTCTGTATCAACATAATTTGTTTTGCCAATATAATATCATGTCTAAAGAAGAAAATTTTTGGATCTTTTATTGAAACAAACTTATGGAGAATTTATTCAGGTTCATGTTTCTACCACAATTAGAACGGATGGTATGGATAAAAGTTTATACCTTTTTGCGCTCGTCATAAATTTTTTAAATTGCAGCCAGATTTACATGGTCCTGAACAACTATACAGGGTAGTAATAGGAGGAAACTGGGACCTGAGAAAGTTTTGAAGAATTTGGTCTTGTGTTATTATAATTTATGTAGTACTGTGCTGTCGTAGGAAATATTAAAGCTCTGGATTTGCACTGTGAAGAAATTTGTCTCTAAGTAATTTTCATATTATTTGTTTCTTTCTAGGTTGAATTTCCAGTTCAGTTTCATGAACTTCAGTCCAACACAGATCTAAAAATGCCTCCATCAAATTGGTTACAGGAACACTCTTCTATCCGGCTGCCTAACCCAACACACAAACATGCTGATTTCTCAAGGTATGGTCTTATAAAAAATGGTTGAGAGAGTGAGGAAATTTTTCCTGTAGCAATTTACTTGGGACACCTCATAATGCTCTTGGAATTTAAGTTGTAGGTTCTGATCTGGTATTATATATTATGGAGTACTGTACTGGTGTACAGTATTAGTGTCATTGTTAAGTAGAAAATAAAGCTCTCTGGAAAATAAGGACCTAAAACAGAAAGGCTGATAAATGAAAGTGAACTGTTTTTTTTTTTAAATCTCAGGGAAATTCTTGTTAAAAATATGAAAAGGTGAATTAGGAATGTGTTCAATAATATCAAGAATATGGAGAACCAAATATTAAATGAAAAGGTTATTGTTGAATAAGTGAGCTGAGCCAAATCATGCATGTAAGTAAATATTTAAAGTGTTAAAGATTGCCATCTGGTGCTAATGGTGATGTATATTATTAACCAAGATTATATCCAGATACTATACAGGGAATCAAATGTTTGATTCAAAGTGTCTGTATATAAAAAAGGAAAACCCTAGACATGAAAACATGTGGACAGATTGAAGCATAAATTTTCTAGAAGATTTTGTATAGTGCTTTATGAATAATTAATTGAGAATTTGTATATAATGTACTGTATGTGCTTTTATTTTTATGAAATATATGTACTGTATTGTACATTTTTGTACTTGCAGTTTCCTCATGGCCCATCAGTTCCCAGATTGCATCGGTGAGGTGGATGTAGTATCAGATGCAGAGAACATTAAGAAATTACTAAAAATTCCTTATAATCCAAAAGCTCATGTCAGTATGATGATCCATCGGGTGGGCAAGACTCTCTTGATAGATGATTTTGATGTCTACAAGTACCTGCTGAGACAATCTGAAAAAGAGTGGCATTGGTTAAGAAGATTCTTTTTTGAACATGTACTTCAATCATTAACACAAAAGGTAAGCCAGGCGGACTTATACATTAATAACTTTATTGTGTGTGAGTAGAATTAAACATCACTGTATACTGCTCATAAAATGCTCATTGATCACTGATGTTATAATATTTGGCTTGGTTACATGTTAAAAGAGTGTCTGTATTCATTTATTGACCAATTTTGGCAGCAGTGAATGGGTTTCCCTCTTACCCTTCCATAGTTCCTCTTAGATGTGTAGCATAATCATATCTTGAGAAACTCATGTACTGTTAGTATATGTGATGAAACCAGACCCTTGATATATGTGATGAATTAGACCCCTGACATATTTGATGGAACTTATTCAATATTAAATTCCCCAAATTAGCTCATTGATTCTGAAAACATTCCTTAACCCCTTCACTGTGAAGATGCCACTTTTAATATTTTATTTGGCTAATGCTAAATGGGTGTTTGGTGAACTGTTGTGCACTTTCCGTATTTTATGTTCTTATTGCAAGGTTAAGGAAGGAACTTAAATATGGTTTTGCCTCGGCTTCTCCATGTTAAAATGAAGGGAGGCATGATGGAAACAGTGTTGTATTTTCTTGAGAAGTCATATAAATCAATATGAGAAAATCAAATTTCTGTAAGCAGGTCGAAAATATCAACATAAAATCCAATTTATTGAAAGAAAACAAAAATATAGCATTGCTTATGTTCAGTCAGCCTGTGCCAGACGGTGAAGGGCGGTGTTGCTGTTGTGTGTTCCTTGTTTATTCAATATAAAAACATTCACCATGGCAAAATAAATTAGTAAAGCCTTATATTTTTATTTATTTGTAACATAGTACAGTATTCCATGAGCTTGTGAGTAATGAGAGGAAAGAAATAATATATTTATGAATGCAAAATAGAGGGAAATCATTTTACATTACTATTTGGCTTGCTTGAGGGCCTGGGGAATTCCCTTTGACTCGCACACATATTGATGTGTAGTGGGAAGTTTAAATGCCCAGAGCTCAAAATAAAGTAATTTTTTGTTCTTCTGATAATGAAATACAGTGTACACCCTTTAAGCCCTGCCCCCCCCCTGCCCCCCAAGGGTAATTTTTAGGGACCTGACAGGACAACTTTTAATAGAACTGGTGGATGCTTAATGGGTTAAAATGGCTCTGAATATTGTGTGTGTGATTTATCTTTTATTGTGATTGAAAAGGCTTAACACAGGATATGTTATTCGTTGTTCATTTTAAAAATGTGTTTATTTAATTATTTCTTTTCAATATATTACAGGTATCAGATATTGATCATAAAATTCTTATGTTCTGATTAACCATTTTAACACCAAATTGTATTTCAGGAGAATGTCCTGGTTCGTCCAAACAAGAGTCGAAACGTCGTTCAGAGTCGGAGTTTGCTTTCTAAATTTCTGTACCACAGCATAAATGAAGAAGAAGCCCGACCTCCCAGTCCTCCTTCTCAGCCAGTAACTGAGAGTCCTGTCTCTGTGCGGAGGGTACAGTACAGTACTTGATTTGTTGTATTTTGTTTAAGGCCTTTTGTTATGTGTTCTTATAATTGGAATACAATACGTCGTTGCTGCATCTTCGTTTAAGGAATGTTTCTATAGGACAGATCACATGAGCATTGCCAACCCCACAGTGGTTTGCCCCCGGCACATTAGAAACATATTTTTTTTTATTTTTTTGTAAATATGCCGAGATTTAAGTTAGTGTACAGTTGATTGAGAGATATAGTATGTGAAATGAGTTCCTGGGTGTGATCATTTACAAGTGATGTTAATCCATTCATTGGAAGGCATGGATGGTTTGAGCTGTTTAAGCATAGGTATAACTACCATAACATCAAAATGAATGGTAGGGTGCTGCAGCCAGCAGTGAAGCAGCCAAAAGTTTCCTTGCACTCCTGGCTAGTATTTAATGTAGATCAAGCCAAGCTATTTTGGAAGGAATCTGAGTGGAGGAAACTGTGCCAGGATTCAAAGCGTCAAAAGATCAGTGCACGTAAACTATTCCAACACCAATTAGGTAATAAGAATTTTATTCCATTAACATGATTTTTAATTTTATGATTTACAGTATTATACTTTACTGCATTACAAGAGATGGATTTGTGCATCCATACTCTAGTATTTACCTTATACTGTATTATTTTAATTTTGTTTTTTGTATATGCATTTAAATGGTGAGTTAGGGAGGCTGAAGGTTGACAGTCAAACTTGTTTTCTTTTCTTATGCGAATGGAGACTATAAAAATTCTGGGCTGGAATGTAACCCTACCTTTAAATATTCCTTCTGGGATTTTTTTTTTTTTTATAGCATCATTTTTGAGGAACACCTATACCTGTACCACATTAAACAAGGAATTACTGTACGTACATCCATTAGTGAATTTTATTGATCTCCAGCCTTTTGGAGCTTAACTTCTTAGTATCCCAAGAAAGTTATGTGTCCTTAGACAAATTCAACCAAACATTTTATGTCGGTCAACAATAATAAGAGTTTAGATGACATATTACAGTAGTCTTACACCTTTACAAGTCTACATTAATATGAATACTTGCTGTTTGAATTTCAATTGAGGTTTATTTCCATCATTGCTACAATTATTATTTTTTGTTGTGTTACTGGATCACTGTAAGTGTTGAAAGTGACTTTGTATTAACTTTATCAAATGAAACATCTTCAGGTTTAGAGATTATTTGTAAAATTGATATACCTGTAGTAGCTTTACCTTATATAGTGTCAATTAAAGTTTGGAAGCACTTCTTTGCTCATCACACTAAATGTTTTTTGTAGCTTGAAAATTACATCATTAATTTAGTGAAACTATAATGCATGTTTCAATTTATTGAATGGATTTTGGGATGCACCTAATATATAATCCTTAACACTCTAGCCATCATTAGCCATGAATGAAGTAATGCCTGAACCTGCATTGGAGGAGCAGCTTCCTCAAGCCTCTGGTCAGGCATTTACTCGTAATGTTGTATGGAATTTTGAAGACCTGCACATGCTGATTGGGACAGACCTACCCATCTTTGGTGGTGGAACTCATCCATGTGTCTCACTTAGGCTTCGTGACATGAGTAAACCCATCAATATATTGACAGGTATGTAATTACTTAGAATTTAAGATTAACATTGAAATTCATATACCTGTACTGTACTGTACTCTACTCTACTTCTACAGGCAGTCCCCAATTTATGAAAGTTTGGTTTATGACAATCTGAAGTTATAAAGACTAAATATTTTCCCATGATTTGATTTACAAACAAAAAATCTGGTTACACATTTTTTTCATAATTTTTTATTTATTTTTCCTAAGTACAGGTCAACCACCGATTTTCTGACACCCTTGGTTCCAAAGCCTTGGCGGATTATCTGTTTTGCCTGACCAACTGAGGTCAGGTAATAATAATTCAACAATACACCTCTGACCCACTAATTATACACCTCCTGTGTCTCTAAAGCACCATGGACTGCTAGAAACTTAAATTAAACAAATATTAACTGTCAATTAAATGTGAAAAAGCTATAATTTTGAGCAACATTACTGTACACACTTTGTACTTAAATGTACTACACTAGACTAAAATTTTTATCTTGTGCACACTATGTGATGTTTATACTCAAATTAATCACTATCTTACAAGGATTCCAGCAATGTAATGTACATTCTGTTAAGTCTTAGTCAGCTACATTTTATAAGATAGAAACTTTAACCCTAAAACTACCTTCACCCAGGCTGGGAGGGAGGGAGGGAGGGAAGTTAAGTGCCCTCTCATAATTTTGTCCGGACTAAAGGAGGTGGACTAAAAGAGGTGCCGGACCATCAGTTCCCGGAATATCGGTGGTGTACCTGTAATAATGAAAACATACTAAAATAATGCTTCCTTATTTTACTAACCTGTTCATTATTCTCTAACTCTCACATTGTCCAGGTTTTGGGCTGAATTAGTCTGGTGATATGAAGAACCCCTGTATTATTGTGCAGTAATTTTGACTTTATTATTAGATTAATATTTTATGATACTTTTGATGTTCAATATGAAATCTTAAATCTCTTCTTTCAGGTATTGACTATTGGCTGGATAACCTTATGTGTAATGTACCAGAAGTAGTCATGTGCTACCACTTGGATGGCATTGTTCAAAAGTATGAATTAATCAAGACTGAAGATTTGCCCCACATGTCAGATTGCCAGTTTTCTCCTAGACTGGTACGGGATGTGGCCCAAAATATTCTGTCATTTCTCAACTGCAAAGCAACAAAAGAGGGTCATACATACTGGCTCTTTAAAGGTAAATAGATGATAGGTAAGAGTTTTAAAGTAATTTCAGAGTTATTCAAGCATTTCTTCCCTCTAGAGCACCATACTTTCCTAAATTTATCAGATATTTACACACAGCACATGACCATTTTTCACTCTTATCACAGATCCCTCACCCACACCACTAATCAATGCTTTTGTTTTTGCCACATTCATTCTCACACCCTTTGACTCTATTCCATCATTCCAGATTTTTTTTTTTTTACATTTGATCCTCACTACACAAAAGTGAGTGAGGAGTAATAATAATAGATTTGCACACAGCCAACCTACATAGACAAGTCCAAACACTGGCTATACCTCACATATCGGCTACATTTCCTGCACTCAGTTTATTCCATAACTTTAATAATGGAAGGAATTATATTCTGTTTACTCTTGATTCTGGTTACATTTCATCATTGTGGGAATATTTTTGTTTGAGTAAAAAAAAATGCATTTTTTTATAACTGCAGTAATACTCATGATATGGAATAGTGATGTTTATTTATTCACATTCTTGCCAGCTAACAATTATATAACTTTCTTAACTACAGGTAAAGATGATGACATAGTAAAGCTCTATGATCTGACATCACTCTGCTTGGAGGGTCGATTAAATGTAGATGGAACTGAGGAGGAAACCCAAACAGAAGACTCTGGAAACCCTTTCACTATCCCAGTTGCAATGCTCTTTTATCGTGTCGCTAAAAATATGCGGTCTTCTGAAGATGCTCACACCAAGATTGCCTCTATCAGAGCTCTGCTTAAAAATTCTCTTACATTATTAGATAAGAATGAATATCCAAAGGTGAGCATAAATGAGTGACTGGAGGAGATATATGATATTTCAGGGTTTATCTTTAAATCACTCGGCTATATAATTACTTATAGTTATAGTTTTATATTATATTTCTAAGTCACATTAGAGTATTTAAATAATTTTTCCACAACTTTTTTTGTATACTGTAATTACTTGTAACAATGGCAATGTGCGTAGCTATCTCACAGCCACAGTTGACTGGTGACATTTAATTATTTTGTTTGTTTATTTTCAGGATAGTATTAGTAGAATTTGTGGTTGTATTATTATGTGTATTTATTACATTGTAGAGTCAAGATTGTTTTTTATAAGATCTTCTTTGCTCTCATAAACCAGTAATGAGAGGCTATTTGAAAATTGGGTTCAATATATGGAATTTCAGTTAATGGCAAGATTTTATGAAACCTATCCATTTTGTATATCGAGGGAGGACTGAATATCCATCAATATCTTAGTAATTACCACCTTTTTGCCCCGCTGCTTAGATTTAAGCTCTGACACTGCAAACACATTCTTTCGTCTTTGATATGCTGAAGCACACTGACTCATTCTCACAGAAAAAAGTGGCCATACACTTGAGGAACTGTCACGTAAGCCTAACATAAATATTATTTCCCCATCAATTTGTCAAGCTCAAAATTTTAAGGCAGGAACCATATTCCTGTTTATATATGCCAGCTGCAGCAAATGTTCAAAATGCAGAGAGATTATTTACTTATGTACAGTCACCCACAAAAGCCCTGTCACCTCTCCTAAACCACGAATCTCAAGATTCAGCCTCATGAATCTGATGCATTTATGTATGGAATAATGCATCACTGTCTACTGCTTCGGGTTCACAAGTCTGAATCCCAAGGCTCGTGGAACAGCAGAAGTGACAGGACTTTTGTAGGTGACTTTACTAGCCACAGGGAAAGTGTTAAATACTGTACAGTACATTGTATATGAGCTTTTTAAAGTTTCATAATTATATAGTGATCAGATTCTTCATTGACTGAAATTTTCAGATTGTGTCTTCAGCCCATTATATGCTGTCTGATCTGTATGTGCCACAAGACCTAGACCCTGATTCTCCAGTTCTTTCTGACTGCAGTGATGAAGATAGTGAATGGTCATCCACTGTAGGTAGCGATGATGAAGATTGTTGTGACATGCATGACAGCCAGTCTGTTGCTCCTGCCAATTCAAGTTCAACTATTAAGGTGTCATCATTGTGCAAACCCCATGCTAGTAAAACCCAGTCACACTATTATAAGTAAGTTATTATATACAGTAAATTAATACAAAATTGATAATGTTCTTCTTAATATACATGACCTGATAAGTTTCAATGTGTGACGTATAAGAAATACACAGTACTAGTACTGTATGTACTGTACACTAATTAACAGTGCTTGCTGTGTCATAGACTATGGTAGTTTAGTGTCGGCAAACATTATTCTTGTGAATAATGTAATTGCTGTAAAAACAGCTAACCATCTAGTTACATCAAGTACCAGACCAGGTATCCAAGTGTTACTGAGGTTACATCTGATGGTTAAAGCTATTTTGGTAGGTAGCTCAAAGCCTTTCCTCACCAGAAGAATATGAGAATTTGGGAAGAGTTAGGAATGAGCTATGGGGGATAGATGTTGTTCATACCTCCTTCTGGTAGAGGACTAGCTTACCACCACACTTAGGTTTGTGCCTACATTTGAAAACCTGTCATAGGTTGTAGGTGGACTGACAGATGTGAAAGGGCTGGAAATTCTGTGGTTGAGATGTGTGTGTTAGGACTGAATGAACATACAAACTTATGTAAACATTTAGGTAATTATTTTATTATACTAAGAATATATTTTGTAAGCCTTTACATTGTTTTTTAAAATATAGATTAATTTCAGGGCTCCACCTCTTCTAGGCACCCTAGAGGAACGATGCCAGTGTGCACTGAACCATGTGGTTGAGGCCCTCCAGTGTCTTCACTTGTCTAGTATAAGAGAAAGGGAACACTGTGGATCAAAAAGAAGCAAGGAATCATCTATGGGTCCTTCAAGGAGTCAGGACCAACAAGAACCTAAAATGGCTCGACCTTTTCAGCCCATACCTATGCCTTATTCACCTCTTAATACTAACACAGATGATGGAAAGAAGGCTTTAGTTTTAGCAAAAGAGCGACCTGCTGATGACCAGCTGACAGTTTCTGTGTTGTGTCAACAGTACTGTGTTGCCAGCTGGTTAGATAAACTTAATGTTTTGCTACTCAGAAAGGCTTCTTTAGTTTATCTCGTCATGGCCAGAACAAATTTTAATGTACAGAGGTAAGTGAAGAGTTTTCATATCTTAAAATTTCATATGAATTTGTGTTACATGAGTATGAATAAATATGTACAGATATCCAGTGTACATTTAAAGAAAATGGAGCTGTTCATAACGTAAATAAAGGGGCATCAAGTTGACCAAGGGCCTCAGGGACCCACTTCTTGTGAACACCTTCGATGCTCCATTCGTGTCTTTGTGGTCTTTGGTTTACCTGATTCCCCTTTATTTAGGTTGTGAACAGTTCTGTTTTCCTTAAATTTGGTCACAATACGGTGAATTGATTTTGGTGTTGGTGCTCTTCTTACGTTAGTGATGACGGTAGCAGTGTTGAATCTATACCACAGATTTTATTTCAGTGTACAATTCGACTTCTTTCACTTTTTGTGTTGTAGTCAAAACCATATTGCTGTAAACTCCCACGTGTCTTCAGTTATCTGCAAACAAAACAAAAGAGTGTTAAATGATTACAGAGTTACACGTATCTCAGGAATCGGAGGTTATAAACAATTGACGAGTTGACGGTTCTGGGTAAACACAAGAAATACACTCTGCCACTTTCGTAGAGTGATATGGTATATATAATTTGTAGTAAAAGTTTGACGTCCTGCTATAATAGTCGAGATAAGTTTATTTCTCAAGAAACAGGCCGCCATTTGCAATGACGTCACCACTTACCCTGCAGAAAACGTATGGATTGAGATGTGAGTCAATTGAGAAGTAATGACATTGTTTGGACTTTGTTTTTGAGAATTCCTTATGCTGGGTAAACATGACAACATAGTGCTGTTTTTGTTTTGATGATTCACTAATGAACACTAGGATATATCATCATTTATATTAATTAATGGGTGAAATTTTACTTTTAACTACCATAAGTATTTGGATGCTTAGATTTGAGATAGACTATATTGGGTAAATTTAAAGTTTTGGTCATACCTGTACTTAGACATGCAGACTAAGTTTGTTTTTTCCGATGGTTTGCGATGTGTTATGAACGATTTTAACCTTCATTTCTATCGGAAATCGCTAGTTTTGAGTTACTACGCCCCCTTACTGATGTATGTTAAGCTAACCTTATAACTCATCATAACTTAACCTAACATATGATCTGTAATTTCTTAGGTAATAGAAAAAAATTTGCGACAGAAATCCTGTAGAGATAATTTGTCTTATTGTTTAAAGTATTTAATCCCATAGTTAGAATCTTAAGGTTCCCCAGATGATCAAAACCAAAATACATGTAACACCAATATTATTTGGAATGTTTATACTATGAAATTTGTAGTAAGGGCACCTAATAGTCATTGAATTAGTTAATGTGCTTAATAATATTTATATATTCAATATAACATTACTGTGTTGCACAGTAAAGCACAATTAATTATCTAATGATATTTATTTAGAGCTGAGAAGGTTGGACAACTACTTCCAGGGTTCATCAAGGCAGATGAAAGAAATTTACCAAAAGTAGATGTGTTTATGATTGTAGAGTATTATCAATAACTCCACCATCCAGCTATGAAACACTTTAAATTACATCTGTCATCTGATCATCTCAAGCCTGTTCCTTGGCTCTGGTCATTCCTAGTCCTTCCACAACATTAAATACAGACATCAGTGACAAAAACTTACATTTTCCAGACATGAAATAGAGAACAGTGACGAAAACTTCCATGTTGGAGTTATCGGTCTTTTGCATCATTTTAGCAGCCAGCAAGTAAATACACACGATGATACTTGAGCAGTAATTTATTTTAACCTAAAAATAAGGTATGCCTGCTTATGTCAACATTGTATATGGCCATAAGTCCTGGAATTTTGCTGGTAAACAACACATAATAATGGATATACACCACAGTTGGCTGTGGTGTCACAACCAATCACATAGCTTTTCACAGTCACTTGACTTTTTAGCAACTTTAACCCTTAATTTCTACACTTTTTGGCCTAATTTATTACAAAATATCATTACCATAGTGAATTTAAGCATTTTCTTTGCCCATTAATCTGCCATCTTACGAAAAAATTCCGACCGTCAACTCGTCAATTTTTAGGTGGTTTGATTATCCCAAGTCTCTTAAGGGTCATTAACCCATTCAATGCGGCTGGTCTGACCTTTCAGTGTACCCTTAGTGTGGCACTTTTGACACATGTATGTTACTTCTACAGTCAGTTGCCAGCGTTGAACTGTTCCATAATTGGTATGCCCGCATTAAATGAGTTAAATACTTTTGACCTGTTATTGTTGAATTAATCTATTTCTGTTCGTCAAGTAGAAATTATTATAATCTTTCCAGTCATATTGAGCCTTAGAGTAGGGATATGATCTCACATACATTGTTTTGGAGTTCAACAGTTATTAGCATGATCTTATTCATAGGAGTACGTAATAGCTAGTTTAACACTTTGTTTGGATAAGAAGTACTGTACATCCACTTACAAGTTTTCCCATAAAAGACCATCCATATCCCAAAGACAAGAAATGCTCCACGGCACAATACCAGTCCCACATACTTAACATACGTACAGTACAGGGGAGCCTTGATAACTTGGGAAATACAAATCTGCTTTCTTACATTCGTGAATACATCTGTTACCTGTACTCTCTTTTAGTATTTTTTTTTCAAATATTCATAATTTGCAGCCAAGCACTGGCTATCACAGTGTTTATTTACATAACGAAACCATAATAGTTGTGGAAATATTATTTCATTGCTCTAATTTCCCTTGGAAGTATAGAAAATATCATATGAATACGTATTACTTCAGTTCTTTAATGTTCCTTAGAAATAAAGAAAATATATCAAACTATAAAATAAGACAAAATGAAGAGCATGGATATGTATTCTGTGCTTGTTTTTTTTCAGGTATGGGTTAGCTCTGCGGTATATAAGATTCTCCCTCCACGCTTGGCATGGAATGGCTTGTAGACTTGGCCTTGAGGAGAGTGAAGTACCTGTCCCTTGCCAAGCCTTAACTCTAGCTGGTGACATATTCTACATGATATCTAAAGCTTGGGAAGAAGTTGCCTCTCACATAGATGACTATAACTTTGTAACTTCACCTCATGATGACATGCTCACACTTCTTGACAACATATTACCAGCTCAAGGTCAGTGTCTAAGAGGAAGTGTGAAATATATACATAAGGATTTTAACTTGGGTGAAGTCAGATTATTTACCCCCATAGCTTTTAACAATTCCTTCCCACTTCCATAAAGAACCCGCAAGCTGGAGTTGTTCCTTCAAGAGGTAGTTTTAAACCCCCCTGTGTGGTGGCATTGATGGTAGGGTTGGTAAGCCTGTTCCCTTCGCTGATGCATTATGAGTTGTCCTACTCCTATGGTTGGTATGCCGGAGGTGCATGTTTACAAATCCTGTTGCAAACACTTGAGTAGTAAAGCCAAAACAGCTATGAAGTTGATTAAATTATCTTACATGTGCTTACTTTATTAGCCCTCTCAGGCACACATTAAGTTTTAAGTTATACGTGACCTCATCAAAAGTCATTATGGGACTATTCATCCGGTCATCTTTGTTCTGTGTCCAATTTATTGCACTAGTTTTTTTGTGTGTGTGTTATTTAAAGATCACTGACTTCATTGTTGTTTTGGTTTTAACGTAAGCAAAATATAAAATAAATGAGAATAAGACTACAGTATTTTTTCACTATAAGATATAAATTAATTGTGTTCCTAGCATCATATCTTGCATATTTTCTCACAAATTTACCCGGTGCATATTGTTTTTATAATTTTTCAAAACATCTGTGATCAAACTGTTGAAAATTTATTTATTATTTGTCCTAATTGTTCCTGACATATAAAATTTTGATAATCACATGTCCATATTATTAGGGAGACAATTATCAGAATTTTATCTTTTTGTTCACGGATCCTTAATTTGCACAGAAAGGAATACCTATATAGTAAAGCCTCGAATAACGCAGTGTAAGGTGAATCATCGTATCGCTAATCACTATTAAAATAAAGCAATAATAATGAGATGCGTTCCCAAGTGTGACCTTTTCATATCTTTTGTGTGGCTTTTTACCCTCTTTTCCCCCAAAAACAATATAATTAATGAAAATTGCAAACTATATTCTTTAAATAATGCTTCTGAATGCACCTTATACAATATAAATGAATAATAATATGGTCACACAAGAGAAGATGGGACACCATTGTTTTCGTTAGTGTTTACAGTCGGGAGTCCGGGACGATAGTTCTACACGAGAAAATGAAGACAATAAGACAGACCCTGCTCGGAGCTGTAGTAAAATTAATGTAAAAAAAATGAATATATATGTTTTAAGTATTGTTATTTAATGTTAATAAATGGAACAATAGATGTAACTAACCACTAATGGCAAAGAAAAAAAGTGAGATGGATTGGGAACGCCAACGTATACCTGCGCATTTAAGGATACTGCGTCGTATCTTTTTATGAATATTGTTTATTACTGAATATGTATTTGATTGAATTAATCTTTATATGTGTGAAATGAACAGTGCAATTCATTAATATTAAGTAGAATATAGAAACACACGAGAGGAGACAAGATGGGATTGTTTTCGTGAGTGACGATGGTTCTGCATAAGGAACTGAAGAAAATAAGCCCCTGGTTGTAGCTGCAGTGAACTTAATGTAAAAAAAATTGAGTACCAGTATGTATGTTTTAAGTAATGTTATTTAATGTTAATAAATGGAACACTAGAAGTAGCTAACCACTAATGGTAAAGAAATAAAGCGAGACGATTGGGAACGCCAGTGTATGTATAGTAAGTGCGTACGTGTGAAAACATATCGTCATTTCTTTACATATGAATATGAAAGCAACACTTATTTACTGTTCATACGGTATATGTTTTAAATAATACTTACAAATGTAAAACAAAAATTCTACTCCCCAATAATGGTAAAGTCTAGAACATAAGGACAGCCAATGATGTGCGACTTTTTACTCAGATGAAGAAGTCATCAGGTTCAACTGTGGCTGAAGCTGTAGCTTTCCATAAAGCAGTTGCTGAAACTGTTACTGAACCTGAAATTGTTGTTGAAGCTGCTTATGATGCTGAATTTGATGGTTTAGGCCTTCGAGTAATAAAGCTGTTGAAAGAACCTTACACAGCTGCATTCTTTTTTCATTATACATCTTTATGTAGAGGTCATTTGCATTTATTTAAATTTTAATGCTTTGTTCTGTTAGTGTATCCACTTCAGAAAATATGTTCATTGCTTGTTCCATATAATATCAACAGACCTCTCGCCTTTTTCATATCATTTTAACACATCTAGTTTCTCGGCTAAGCTTATACACTTTCTATTAGCTTTTGAACCAGCTCTACCATCACTTGCTCTCTTGCACATGTTGAATTGGGATGCAAAAATGCTGTAAGAAACCTGAGAAAGTTTTTCTCCTTTTCCTGTTCAGATGCGTGAAAACAAAGGGCCTGCCAGCTGCCATTGTTTATACTAGTGATGCTGGCGACACCACTTACAATCCCGGCAGCCTCCGTACACAAATTTATTTATTTTTTTAATATCGGGGTTTAGTTATTATTTATACGAAAACGTAAAATATATTTTTTAATTTTGTCACAAATACGAAGAAAATAATGGCGTAAATTGAATTGGGTCCTAAATTAACCAGGGTCTTAGATATGAATCTTCGTTAGTTGAACCGTCGTCATCGGAGGCTTTACTGTACTGTACTGAGAATTTAAGTAAAATTGATTTTTTGGCCATAAAAAATTAATTTTACAAGCTTCAAACTCCAGTGTAAAGTCAACTCTTGCCCCTGAGCACATAAGCATGGATAAATACTGTAACTTGAAACTTCATTTTCTTTCTGTTTATAAAACCTCTCCATACTAACGTGTTCGGGGGTAAGTGTTGACGTTACACCTTGGCTGACCACTGATTAATTACCTGGTTTGTATGTTTCGGGAGATAGGGGAAGGATGGACCCAGCAAAGATGCCAGTTAGGAATTTAAAGGCCACCAGTCTATGTGGCTTATAAATGGTGTGGACTATACATTAAAAGAAGAAGAAAAAAACACTAGTAATGAAATACTGTAATACTTTTTCTTCATCTGCAGAGTGCAGCTGGACTATCAAATTGCCCTGTGATGTAGAGGAGGCACTGGCATTGGGTTGTGTGAGTTTTGAAAAAGCAGTGTCTGCTGCAGACCCTCAAGCAGTGATGCTTCTCTCACGCAGGCTGGGCAATGTCTGTAATGAACTTGGAGTTATGTACATGAACCAGGCAGCTAGTAAGTATGTTTAGTATTTACAAGTAATGTATTAATTTTGTCCCCACTTTTACAAACCTTTCCTTACTACAATGTCCATGGGCACCACAGACTCTCTTCATCTCCTAGCATTTGTTTTAACTGTTGTAAAAGAAGTGTTCTGCTATTATATATTAACATATGCTAACTGATTATTTTGGAAATGCTGTAGTTGTGCACGTGATTTTGCTCTTCCACTTGCATTAAATATACAGTACGTATACTATATAACATTGAATGTCACAGTTTGCCTTCCCTGACATGGGTAACCACCTGCCGTAATCACCATGTTGATATCTCAGTTAGGGATGATTTTTGGTTTTGTCTGGACCTCCTGGGGGCCCATGGTCAATAGCAATAAAAGATTGTACAGCCTTGGGACCCATGTAATATGTGTGTAAAGTGTCAGTTCATTAACTACTTTAGTTTTGGATCTATGGCTGGAACAGACAGACACCTCCTTTATATTATGCTGTGGTAAAGATTGAGCCACTGCTTGTGCTCAGTGTTTTTGTGCAGCTCCCAAATGCAATAGATTTTCCATGGGAAAATAAAAAGTAAGTAAGAGATTAAATTAGAATGCTGTAGATTTTTTACATGTCCATGAGCGAGGGATTCTTAAATTGTTGGTGTTCCAGACCAGTTGTCATGCAAAAACAAGTGTTGAAGTGCTTATAAGTAATCATAAGATAAAACTACTTTTAAAGTGGTATTTTCTTGTTTATATTTTGTTAATTGACCAAAAAAGGTGGCAGAGAAAATATATATTCCTTTCTGACCTTCATCATAAATGCATTTGTACAGCATTGCTTTTTAGATTTTGACAATAGTATTACTGATTTCACATTTGCTGAACTGGCTATCAGTCCAATTGCTAATTTTAATGAAATGTGCTATTACAATACTGGATAGCTTCGTGTTGCACCCTCATTTCTCACTGTCTTAAAGCACCATGAGTTTTATGTTTAGCTGTGAGATCAATTGCAAGCTGTTGCCAGTCAGTTATGAGAAATATTCAGCATTTCTTTTAAATCTTGCTGTTTGGTCACAAACAATATGTAGCAGTTTACAATGACCACTTGCTCAAAAAATAAGTAATGTAGAATTTTTGGGGTTTAGTAAGTACAGGTACTCCTTGACTTACGACCTACTCGACTTACTACCACCCGGACATACGACCGCTGCAGTCGTATAAAATATTTTTCAAATTACGTATTTTCGAGTCCCGACATTAGTGATCGCGCTGTGTACTGACAAAATTTTCATTTGTAACTCCCTTTAAAATGGCTGGCAAGCATAAAAGTGAGAGTTCTCGTGGTGATGAGAAGAAAGAAAGACACCCATTTTAGATTTTTGCATTTTTGACTTACGACCTGGTCATCGGTTCCTAACCCCGTCGTAAGTTGAGGACTGACTGTATTGGAGATTTTACTTATCATAATGTATATTTTTCTACTCTAGAGTTGTGTGAAGAGAAGGACATAGGCTTCCAAGGTGCAGAGGAACTTTGGCAAAGGAGTGCAGAGGTTTTGAACCGTGGCATTGAAAATTTTAACCGAGTTAAGGATGTGGCAAATGTGGCCCTCTTACATTCTAATACTGGTCGCCTGTTACGACTCTGTGCCTTCTACTGTGTTCCCAAGACTGGTCCAAGACAATTTATTAATCCAGAGAGATACTATTATGACCAGGTAAGATTTGTACTAATGACTGCTTGATAACATTCTTAGTCTTCAGTAAATTCCTTTTTATAACTCAGGCAACTCATGTACAGGCAACACATACTATACTTGTATATGAATTTGACAACTCAGCCTTCCCAGAAGCCCACACATATGTGACTGGGACTAAATTCCAGAAAATAGTACCTTTCCTAGGACAACTATAGTGCCTATAAAATGGTTACATGGAGGTGGCCAACTAGGCTAATAGCTATGAGTCTTCAGTCACTTTGATAAGATGCATGTGATGTGTTGCCTGTCACTAACTACAAACTGGGAAAGAGAACCACTCCTTTGCAGTTCCAGTTACCTGGTCATGTGTGGAAAGAGCAACAAAATGGCTATGGCTGCTAATATATTTAGGAAGAGAATGGAAATCTTTCTTTGATGATTATGAATGGATTCTCACTGACAGAATCAAGAACTTAGTAGATTTGTTAGTTTAAAAAAAAGGAAGAGGCATTTGTAATTGTTCCTTTTGATGTGTATACTCATAATTTTTTCTTTTATTTCCTTTATAGGCAGTAACAGAATACCAGAAAGCTTTGGAAGCACTGAAATCAAGAAAAAAGAGCATGGAAATATGGGATTTAGTTGTATGGGAATATGGTACAACCCTGTACACTATGGCTTCTCTGCTGCAGGATCATCCTCCTCCCTTACCAACGGTTAGTCTTCTCTGATGGTGTACTGGCTGCTTGTGTAAATTATTTTATACACTTTACTGTATATTGTTATACCTGTACAGTACTGTATCACTTCTCTTATAGCTTATCCTAATGTCATGTTGTTTTGTTGACATTTTATATCTGATGGTACTGTGAGAGTATTGTTATTCACCATCTTCAATATTTTACTACTCTTTTCCTCATTTGTGTGGGTGTCCCACAATTGGCTGATGGCAATTCCCCAAGCTGCATACTCTCTTGCAACCTCTTTCATCAGGTCATCAGGTTTCTAACTCTAATATCATTTCTTACAACCTCTCCCGATATCATTCTTGGCATTTTTAATATTATATATATATATTCTTAGAAATAAAGAAGTTATATGTCAAAATAATTTACCTTGATGATATTATACAGGCTGGAGAGGACATTACCCGTGAAGTTTTGAACATTCTCACAAAGGCTCTTAAATACTGTGATGTGAAAACCCCAGGAGCTCGGCAGCCACTATATCAGTACAGGGCTGCTGTTATATATATGCGGCTAGCTGGCATATATCACAATGCTGTCAGGTAATGTAAGATCTTGTCATTAATTTAATCTCTCCTCTTGAAACTGAATTTTTTTCGAAATATCCCTTTCCTCCCACATAATGTACTGTAGGGCACCAGTGTAAAACCCTCTTTAGATAACCTGACCAGTGGCCATGAAGCATCAGGCCACCTTCCATTGCACAGTTTTTTCCCTTTCAATAATATTCAGATCTTTCTTGAACCTCTCTCTTTCCTCTTCACCTCACCTTTCCAGTGTCTTTTAATTTTGCTTTCCATAAAACAAAGACTAACAAGCTTCTTTCACTTATTACATTTTCATTTGGTCTCTCCTTATCACATTTATTATGTACTGTACAGGCAATTTCAAACACCCCATATGTTATGGTTCTTTGAACCAACACATCTATTTCAGAATATCTGAAACACCTTACTTCCTCCATTCTACCTCCATTCAAGCTGGTAGTTATGTATGATGGCTCCTAGAGTTATATTTTCAATAGTTATTGATTGCAGGTAGATCCCAATGTATGAAGATTTGATTCATGAAAATTCACTGATATGAGAATATTTTTGTCTTTAGCTCTGAATTATGGCCAGAAACTCAAAATATACTTATTTTACTTACTTTTTTTCATTATCTAACAATAACAGTGTTATAAGTCTACAAATAAGCTTCAATATGTCATCATTGTCCTAGAATCACCATATTACTTCCGACTCATGTGAAGACGAGTGACTCATCACTCACACCACCACACAGTCACCGAGTCAGTTACCTGATTGTCCAATTTTGTACATAAAAATTTGTCATTAAAAACTATTTATTGGGGGGAGGGGGCATTTTAAGAAGTTTGGGGGAACTTTTTTTATTTTTTATTTAAGCTTTTGTAATGGAGTCTGGGACAATGTGCTTCAATTCATGAACAATTTATTTAACAAAAGATTATACAAAAATGTAACCCTCTCATAAATTGGTGTCTGCTGAGTTGGTCTAAATTGGAAGGGTTTTGGTGAAGTTCTTTTTTATTTTACTCCAATTATTTTTGGTTTGATATTTTATCTTTAGTGAGTACAGTACAGTACTGTACTCTACTTACAATTGTGATTTCTACATAGCATCATAAAAGGGATGGGCTAACACTTTATGTTGTTCCCCTCCTTTTAAGAATTAAAGAAAAGTACAGTCATAATCATTAGAGAGGATGAATTAGTTATTTTAACCATTTCCACTAATTGAGGTAGTCAAATAGTCTTTGATTATCCCAGGGAGTTGTGACCCTGCCTTGCCAGCTGTTCCAACCCTGTGGGTTGGCATAAGGAAGGGTATCCAGTTGTAAAACTTTGCTTTAGTATGCTTGATGACAACCAGGTCACCAGAGCAGTGCCCATCTCTTGGTCTCTGCTGCATTTTCTTGGGTGGCACCCTAGATTTGAGTTTTGTGGTGGTGAACAGCAGGGGATAGGGTATTCCATTCTGATTTTACCCAACAGCTGCCATCAGGTAATCACTGTAGATGCTTTACATAGTTGTCCTGCTCCTTTATATCTTTAAGTCTTCTGCTGAAGAAAAGGGATAATAACCAGTATGGGGTGTTTATATGGTTATTCAGTGTGTTAATGGTAGAAGGTATTTAGTGCATCCCCATATCTAAAGCAGGAAAACTTCCTTTGGGGGTTCCAGAGTGTACAATTTCTCTTTCTCAATACTAACTTCAAATATATTTTTCAGGGATGGTGAAGGAGACATGAAAAATATAAGACATTTGGCAGAACTGAACTATGGTAAGGCAGCAACTCTGTTCATGCAGCTGGAGAATCCCATTGATATGTTAAAGGTTCAACTGGATCAGGCAGTACTGATTGAAGATCAGTTGCTAGGTAAGCACTAAAAATTATCGCTAGAAATGTTGAAATGTGTTTTGCAGCATTTTAAGTAATGTGTATCTCAGCATTTATAATGGGAGACTATGGGAAAATTTGCTTCAACTAATGAAAAGTCTACTTTTATTGGCAAAGATTTGCATTGAGATTGCTTGGGTATGTGGAGAGAATGGAAGAGACCGACTGGGTCAAGCGGTGCACGAGTCTAAATGTGGTGGGGAGAAGAGCCGGGGGTAGGCTAATAATGATATAAGCTGCAAGAAACTTAACAGCAGGGAGAGCTGTTATCAGTAATCCAAGGTTAACTTACGCAAGTGTGGATTATGGTCGTAAATTGTTGTTGTTGATCACACCACTAAATTGGTAATTGTTTTTCAGGAATATCACATCATCAAGTGCTCACAAAGTGTCACATGTCTATACTTCAACTGTTAGTAGACTGTGTTCCAGCTCTGAAGATCAGTCAGGCCTCTGCTAAAGAGAAAATTAACCAAACTAATACAAATGAAATACACCAGACAGGCCTATGTAATAAAAACCAACCTATACAAATGGAAGATGTCACCATGGATGACAGGAGTAGATTCCAAGAAAATAACAATAGTGAAGAAATCAGTTGCCAGGGTGAAAACTTAACATTTGAAGATGAAGAAAATCAAGAGAAAATACGAGCCTTGCTAGTTGTGTTTGAAAAGAAGCTTCAAAATTCACTCATGACTCTTATAAAGATAAATTCTTCGTTAAGGTCAAAAAAGAGGTAAGAATATAATTGCTTATGTCAAGGAAAATCACAGTGACCTTTTTGTTACAGGATGTATAGTCATAGTACAGGGTACTGAATTAATTTTTTTGTATACAATGGATAGAATTTAGGTATACAGGGATATTTGAGTTAACTTTGATTTTCAAGCAAAATACTATCCTTTCTTAAATTATACAGTTGGCTTCAAATGTAGTATAGTATGTTAGTAAAGTACAGTATAGAGGCTTTTTCGTATAGAGCCTCCTCTGTTGCCTAATATTTTTTATAGAGAAAGGTAGGTGTATAATTTGTCTTCATTATATTGCAGGACAGCCAGGTAGTCTGAAATTTCAGACTCCTGTTTCTTGTTATCCATTCACTCCTACTACTGCAACACCCTCTTGAACCATAAATCAATCAACACTACAGAATATTCCTTCATCATTCTTGTACTCTGCTGCTTCCTGGATACTCACTCATCCCCATCACTTCTGGTGGATCCTTCATCCCATCCTTCCATTTTCTTCTTGATTGTCCCATCTCCAATCTTTCACTTCCCATTGTCTCAATATTTCCAAAACATCATCACAGTTCCTAGTCAGTTCATCGGTTTGTAATCCACATCTCCACTTAATTTACATGTTTTTTATTCTTTGCATTCTTTGTCCGTACTGCACACCCATATACTGTAATAATATCAGTCAAGTGGAGCGGGAGTACTTCCACTCACACAAGTTTTAGTATTGGTATTGTTAGTTACTTACAAATTTTTCTTTATGGATACATAAAATCTGGTGGAAATACTGAAGTTGAGGATACAAGCAATTATATGTTGATATATGTATCTACTAGTTGTTCTATCCCTGGCCAGTCATTTCCTACACTGGTCTTGCACCATTTTCCTTGAGGTTTCTGTATTCCATTTATTTACCTTATATAAAAGTGGAGAAGAGTTCAGATGATAGGTAAATGTAGTCCCTGACAAGGGTATTAAAGTAAAGTGGAAGACTTGTACTTGGGAGGGATACTGCATATAAAATTCTACATACATGAAAAGATAAACTGTTATGTTGAGACAGAGAAAAAGTATTTTACATAATATGTTTTTAATGTCATTTAACAGCAGTCATCATGGAAATGATGTGAGCTTTCTGAAGGAGATGTACAGCTTGAGCCTCAACAAACAGTCTCTACCATTAGCCGCACACCTACTAAGCGCCACATCTGCTATCGCTCCATTACTCAACCAAATTCGCCCCCGAAGATGATGTCTTTAATTGACCATTCTGCCATCGATTAGTGTTTTGAGGATTTATTTTTCAGAGTTGAAAATTCAGTAATACAGGGTACCTATCTTACACATTATTTTGAATATGTTAAACTTTCTTACATGTTATTTTGGCTATGTTAAACTCCATATTTTCTTTATGTATTTCATAACAAAATATACATATTACATATAAGTATCCGAGATTCTATGAATTATCCTTGATCCACAAAGAACATAAAGTAAATACTATAATTAACTTTTATCAGAATTTTAGCACCTAAAATCTTTATCGCATGAGGAAGAGATAACTTCAAACTCTTGTAGTGCTGTATTCCATGATGAATTTGGTAATCAGTTGATTAATGTCACCAAGAGCAAGTGGCAAAAGAAGAATCCTCTACAAAGATTGGCTGTAAAACATGATGAACATTTGGGAAAAAATCATTACCTTGATCCAAACTAAAAATTCTGTTTCTGTATAAAAAGTGAGTACAGGTACTGTGTATACAGTAGGTACAGTGCTATTTGTGTTACAGAAGTGAATACAGTGGAGCACCAGCTAACTGAGCAGTTGCATTCCACCAATGTGAATTATAGAATGTTGCATGTTGTAAGTTCATCAATACATTACAGGTATTCCTTGGATAACATGAGTGTTATGTTCCCAACAAGTAATATGCTGAGCAAAAGGATGCAAAGTGAACTCAATAATATCTTTAGAAAACCTGTAAATGGCGAGGGTTGCATGCTTCAGAAAGAGAGATTATATGTAACAGATGTATTATGTGCTTAGTACAGGACTGTGTATGTATTATAAATAAACTAAACTTTATTAGTGCAAATGCTGTAAAACCAAAGCACATATAGATCAAAGACAATTCCAAACGAAATGATAGAGCTATTTGGGGTTACACATCAAGGCTAAACTGTTGTTGGAGTTACAAAATGCAATGTTCTTTACCATATTGGCTGATGTAGCTAACAAGGGGTAGATCTCTCTTGTTATCCAATTTATGGACAAACAATGGCAGTCAAGAGGAGCTTTTGTTTTTTGTTCGCCACTTATCAGCTTACTAGCTGTTTGGGCAGTTGGTCTATCCAGTGTTAGTACAGGAAGAAACCTGTGATGTTTGGTAGGGTCCCACTGGATAATACCCTCGTCATGTGTGTTTAGGCCGAGGCTTAAACCCTTAACATATTGGTGAGAGATAAGCACGTTACCACTTTACCACCATCACCCCTAATGTGTTTGTAACTTGTGATGAAGGAACTGATGGAGACACTCAAACACTATAGTGCAGTATTGAGATAGAGGTGTGCAAAGTACAAAGAAAAATTTACTCATGTTAAAGTACAAATCATTTGACAAATAGTTACTTAAGTTAAAGGAAAAATGTTGCTCATGAAATGTACTTAGGAATGAAAAATCATTAGTTTAAAATATATTCAAGTACAATGCTGGTATTAAAAGTAAAAAGTAGCCTCTCAAATGCAATGTCAGTAAGAAGATAATATGTAGTTAATTCATTAGGGAATGAAATAAATACACATGGCTAAAAAGCTTTATTAAGAGTAAAACTTTTTAATAACCCCTTCACTATGGGGGACCCTATACACAAGTGGTGAAGCAAACACTGGAGCCAAATAGAGGTTCCTGTCTGTTTCTTCAACTTGAATAATTGTTTGAAGGTTAGCCAGCTCTCAGAAGTAGAAATGATCAAAGTTCCTTTCGAAATTTTCAGCCTGTACTTATCACTTGCATCAGATTTTACCCGCTGGGTTAGCCATCCACTCAGTGTTAAATGCTTGCAGATGCCCTACTTTTGCTTTCTATTTTGGTGAAGTACTGTACTACCTCCACTGTATCTTGAGTCCTCTGCACCACCAATTGCCCCCCTATTTATATCAATAAAGGTGATTATATCCACAAATTCCAGAAAATATCTGTCAAGCTTCACAAATCACAGTAGTACACTATTAGACTCGGTAATATCACTTTTGCGATTGTTTAAGGACAAATTAAAGTCAATATTAAATAACGAATACAGAGCAAGTCAGGCAGGAACCAAAACGCCTTGAAATCTGACACTTGACCCAGCATGGGTTAGCCTATTATATGACCTAATAAGCTGACCCATAACACAAAGTACCTTATCCTGTGACCCAAAGCCAGTGAGCATACAGTATTGACTTCACTGCTTCCCATGCCCTTGCCACCCACCTTAACTACCCTAACTAACCCCCCCCTCCCCCTCCAAAAAAATGGTGTCAGTGGCAGTAATCCACATTCTGTAAGGTCATGCCTTGTCACCTCATGTACAGGGGCGTCATTTCAGATTTTGCTTAGGGGAAGGGGGGGGGGGTGGGCAACACCATTACATACAAAGAGTAGAGGTCATAATCCTTCTCCACCATGGTGATGTGGGGTGTGGGTTATTTGGGTTCACACTCAAGATGGGATGGAGAAAGGAAACTCACAATGTGCTCTCTGTATACATGTTGTATTGGATGTACAATGCAGCTTGGTGCTGGGAAGTGGCAGCGTGGTTACAAGCGTGATGTAGAGAGAGCTGGTTGGTGAGGATGCTCAGAGGAGGACAGCTTGTGGGTCGCCATGCTCGCCGGCGGGAGCAAGGGCCGCCAGGCAGCGGCGGAGGTGTAGCTTGCTGCGGCTGTAGCTAGAAGAAGAGAGAGGTAGGTCACCACGAGGTCAGGTCTTAAATAGCGAAGGTAGGCATGGCTTAGTAGTTGACCTCCATCATGTAAGGCGGCGCTGGTTGACCTAGACCACGAGGCATACACTGGGGAATTTGCAGGATCGGCTACTCAGCAACAAACAGCGTTTGTAGGGGAGAAATCCACTACAGTGACGCCGGGTGGTGCTGTAAAAGACGGAACACGTTCCAATACGTTTATATTTTCAATTTGCATTTAATTGTATTCAGTTCATAAATGATAGGCAATGGGAACGATGAAAATAGATGAATACTTATCATTTTGTTAAATTATGCATTCTAAAAATTCCATTGAGATATTCTCACCAAATCCAAATTCGTCTATATGAAAAAGGAATATAATTACAATTTTCCTTGGAGAGAAACACAGCCCTTGGGAGGGGCAAGCCAGGTCTCGGGGGAGGGGGGGGCAAGTCCCCGCCAACCCCCCAAAATGACGCTCCTGCTCATGTATACAGTCATTCAGTTTGGGGGTTTCTTTGAGAGAGAAAGAGAGAGTCCGTTATGCAGATAGATAAATATGAGCTCTTGAATCAAGGTGTGTTCAAATAATCTTACTTGATTTAACACATTCCTAACCTGCTGACCTCTAGGGTTAACTTTGACTTTATAGTTAAGCCCTTGGACCTCTTTGGTGACGAGTTGGGTCGAAGTTCACACACCCATGTTCGGAACTTATTGATTATAATTTTTTTACTTTTTAAAATTTTCATACTTGTGTTTTTTATTTATTTGTCATTATTATAAACCTCACGTAATATGCATGCCTCTAAAGCCAAGATCTATTTAGAATGGTGTCTGTGCAACTGCTGTGAGTCCATGAGTAACAATAGTGATAGGCAATGAGGCTGTTTGGTTGAGAATGACTGAACCAGGGAATCTTCCCAAATAATAAAGACAAAATATTACTTTGCAAATATTCTTAATAATTTAATATTTAAGTTAAGAGATTAGGTAAATTAAAAAAAAATAAACTAACTTGCAATTTAAAAAAAAATGCAGGGGTTTAATAAAGTACTGGCATTTGTGGAGAGACTCGGTGAGAACAACACGAGAGAGCTTCATATGCTGTTGTGGTAGACGTACTACTTGCAGTCATATAAATTACAGTGAAGTCAATACAACAGATGCTGTATAACCCAAGGTAGGTTGCTCTTTATTTGTCGTATAACCTACCTCATTTATTTACCTTATATACTTAATGGCCACCCACCCACTAGAGGTGGTTATACCAAGTGGGGAGGTCGGTATTGTTACAGAAATCATCCGGGAGTGAATTTTGAGAATTTTAGTCTTGTAATCAATAGTTTAGACAATTATTAGACACTTCTTATGACGTTTCCTTCGCAAATGACATAAATGCCGGGGGTCCAGTGGGGGGTTGTGATAATAGGTTAGGTCATTAGCGAGAGAAACGCCATTGAAGAAAAGTGTCTTAGAATTGTCTAAACTAATGATTCCAATCATAAAATTCTCAAAATTTAATACTGGGTGACTTATGCAAATTTACCAGGTCAATGGCCGGTGTAGGATCCCTCCATTGTTCTTGCTGGTAAGTCATTCCATAGATGTACCACCCCCTGTGAAGAAGTATTTCCTTATGTTCGTTTTCATGATAACTTGTCGAGCTGGAAATTATGTCCCCTTGTGTTGATGGTGTGTGACATCACAAAGAAATGGCCTGGGTTCACGTTTTTCATCCCTTTCAAGATTTTGAATGTTTCAGTGAGATCTGCCCTATTGTGCTTTGTCTGATGGGCCCTCAGGCTACTTGGGTAATCGGGAAAGCATAATTCCTGACTCGTCTTGGTCTTCTGTGTTGTATCTTTTCTCGTGTCTGGTAAGCATGTCGTTTATCAGTAACATATAACATATTTAATGATCAGATTCGATTATCCCTTAGACTTTTTCAATACCTGTACTGTCACCTGTTTCACCGGGCAGGTCGTAGGGGTGTTATTTTCGACACCTATGCATCCCCTTATTAATTGCAGCAAATGCTTCTGCCATTTGCTTCACTGAAAATTTTTTGGGGGGTGCAGGTTCTTCTACATTTAGCCTCTCTTCTTCCTCTGCATTTTTCTGTGCTTCCAGTTCGATAAGATCCTCGTTACTTAGCGCTTCTGCTGCACTTTCAGCCAACTGTTCAACATCTTCATTATTAATTTCTAACTCAAGCTGTTTACCCAACTCCACTATCTTGTTACTAATCTCAGAAATTACTTCGTCTTCATTAAATCCTCTGAAACTGTTCACATATCTTTTCAGGACTTTCTTCCATATTCCATTCATGCACTGTTCTGTAACCTCATCCCATGCTGCAATAATGGTCTTTATACATGTAAAAATGTTGTAGTCCTTCCAAAACTCTCTGAGTGTTTTCTCACCTTCAGTAGCAGCAACAGCCTGGGCGAAGGTCGTACGTAAATAATACGCTTTAAAAGCTGCAATAGCACCTGTTCCATGGATTGGATGACAGAGGTAGTGTTAGGTGGAATGTAGACTACCTTAACATCAGGGTGCATGTCGTCCAGGTGTGGTGGGTGTCCCGGAGTATTATCCAAAATTAACAAAATCTTGAATGCAATCCCTTGTTGCAGACAATACTCCTTGGCTCGAGGAATGAAACAAGGCATGAACCAATCCTCAAACAGTACTAGGGTCATCCAGGCTTTCTTGATACTTCGATAAAACAGTGGCAGTGTGTGCTTGCTGACATGTTTAAAAGTCCTGGGGTTCTCTGAATGATAGATCATGAAGGGCTTTATCTTGAAACCAGCTACATCCCCCCCCCCCAACAAAAGTGCAATTCGGTCCTTGAATGCCTTGAATCCTGGCATTGTTTTCGCCTCTTTGTGGATGTATGACCTTTCATGCATGCTCTTCCATAATAATCCAGTTTCATCCACATTGAATATTTGCTTAGGCATATAATTTCCTTCCACGATGACACGATCTAGCTCCTCCTTAAAAGCTTCGGCTGCAACAACATCAGCACTAGCTGCCTCTCCACTCACCTTAACATTATGTAAACTGTAGCGGTTCTTAAATCTGTTAAACCACCCATGACTTGCTGTGAAGGTTTGCTCGCACTCATCTCCTGCCTGCTCCTTCAGGCTTTCGAAAAGGCTTCTTGCCTTAGCCTGTAGGGTTAGAATGCTTAAGGGTACACGCTTTTGTGTTTGATCTTCCATCCATATCACAAGTAATTTTTCCATCTCATGAATGGGACCTTGTCTTTTCTTCGTTATTATAGTTCCCTTTATAGGTGCTGATTCTTTCACTACCTCACGAATACGTTCCTTGTCCTTCAAAATAGTAGATATGGCTACAGTTTCGTCATTTTCATACTGCATTATCATCTTCATTTTCGTCTCAAAAGTAATTGACTGTCTCCTTTTCTTCTGAGCACTACCAGCACTCTCACTTGTACGCTTTCCAGTCATTCTAAAGTCAATTAAATACGAAAATAATGTCAGTACACAGCGCGATCAGTTGCTGATACAACGACAGCCAAACACCAACTAAGCTCTCCAGGTGTGGGTGCTGTAGCCAAGCGACGACCCAAGCCACGCGACGCTCTCCTCCGGGACGGAAACGTTTTGGTATAGAAAATGCACAGTCATTTGAAAAAAAAAATTGGTACCGACTGTGGCGGTCGTATGTGCGGGTGGTCGTTACTCACTGAGGCAGGTCGTAAGTGCGGGTGGTCGTTGGTCGAGTAGGTCGTAAGTCGGGGAGGAGCTGTAGTTGTAGTGTGAAGTAAATCATTGATAAAAAGAAGGAAGAGAGTAGGTGAAAGAACAGAACCCTGTGGGACACCGCTATTGGTAGAGAAAGAGTGAGAGATCGATCCCTCGACAACAACTACCATGGATCGGTTCTCAAGGAAGCTGGAGATTAGAAAACAAAGTGGGGGAGAGAAACCATAAGAGGGAAGTTTAGAAAGCAAAGACTTGTGCCATACCCTGTCAAATGCCTTGGAGGTGTCAAGGGCCACGACGGAAGTTTCCCCATAATCCCTAAGAAAGGATAACTAAAGATGGGCCCAGTAGGAGAGCAGATTACCAGTAGATCTTGCCTGGCAAAAGCCATACTGGTGATTCGACAAAAGAAAATGGCGTTCAAGGTGATGGAGAAAATGGGAGTTCAAGATAGTTTCGAAAATCTGAGAGAGGGATGAAGTTAGGGCAATGGGGCGATAGTTAGAGGGATTATAATGGTCACCCTTCTTTGGGATGGGCTGAACCAAGGCATGCTGCCAAGAGGAAGGAAAATTTGGGTTTTGAGGCAAAGGCGAAAGAGGTGAGCAAGTACAGAGGCCAGAGCTTCAGCACACTCTCTCAGAACACGAGGGGGTATTCCGTCCGGTCCATGCGCCTTACTCGCATCCATCCTGGATAACTTTGTGTTGAGGGTTACTGAAACAATCATGCATTAATATATTTTAATATAAACAAATGTATTCTACACAGAGCCCAAATAAAATAATGGTAGTAGTCGGTACATAATATACAATATGATAATTGTATATTCTTTCATCAGAGTAAACAGATGTTAGTGTACAGTATATGCATAAACCGAATTATTTTTTTTGACATCTTATTAATATAGGCGTAGTGACATTTGTGGGCACTGCTTAATGTAATAAAAATATATAAATTTGTATCAAAACGCGTAATATACATTCACTGACTCAAATGCCCATGTTTAATACTAAGTGTGTATGATACAGTCTTAGCTTACTTGCATTTGTCCATAAAGTTAAGTTCTTTCAGAAGAATATGTCTGATATTATCAAAATAAATAGTCATCATTATTAAGCTCAATGTGAATGATTATATTTCTTTTGTTCTAGTTACTATGATTTTTTGTTTTGTTTTTGGTAGCCAATTCTTCTCTCCTGTGTTAAGATCCACTTATTTTCTCCATCTCTCTACTCAGTAGGTGGTGTGTGTGTGTCAGTCGATCTCATTTGATTTAAATGATTTTCAGCCCATTACCCAAATTTCTTTCCCATATAATACCGTGCCATTTCCATGCCCGCGTAGTTTTGAATTCTCATGATTTTTGGGAGGGTGTTATTCAGGTTGATGCTGGAAGTCTCTCTACACAATGTTGATCTTGAATTTGAAGCAAACCAATGTCATATCTGTGACGCGATCTTTGAGTGTCCAGATGACCGGGTACTCGTTCTGTGGGCAGACAAAACAATAACTGTCGAGGTAGTGTGGCAGGGTGAGAGATATTAAAGGAGGGTGAGTGATAGTGAAGGAGGCCGGGGAGGAGTGAAGGGCTTGTAGGGAGTGAAGGAGACTGGGGGGGCAGCAAGGGAGGCTGTGAGGTAGCAAGGGAGGCTGTGGTGTAGTGAGGGAGGCTGGGGCAGGCTGGGGAAAATCTGAGGTAATGAAAAAGACAAGATTATATATTTGAGAAAGAAAAAAGAAAATGATTAACACAAAGGCAAGGTGTCTATACATATACTGTAATTATTGAAGTAAAAATCTCCAAGGGAATTAATTTAAGCCTAATATCATTACAGCAAAAATTTTAATAGTTACAGAAAAAAGTTAAACCATCTAAAATTTTTCCAGTTCACGAAAAAGAAAATGTATTAACTCATTATTAAACCTGTCATTCAAATCAAATTTAATATACTGTAAAAAAATACTAATAGAAACGATGTGGTATACTGTTGATGGAAACCTTACTGAAGGACAGTGTAAAGCTGAAAGTGAGGCTTAGAATGGAGAGTGGGCCAGAAATCCTCCCTCTTGTGAGATTTTACCCTTGACCCAAAATTTCCCCTCTGTGTGATTCTGTTTTTGGCCAGAAACAACTTTCATCAGTGCCTCCCAACTTGTGTGTCTTATACTGGTTGTACAGTTGCCTCCATTTATAATGAACGGGTACAGTGGTTGGCGTGTTTTGTAAGATGTGGCACAACTGTTTGTTTACATCGTAGTAAGACTTAGCAGAAGGGGCAGAACTACCCTCGCTATAGTAACTAGCCCTTAGGCCCCAGGTGACGTTCCAGAACGTCCGACCAGCGCGCTGGGTGGCGTTTCAGAATGCGCGCCTATTCCCGCCACTGTTTAAATGACCAGCACGGGTTATCAGGTCACACCACACACTCGGCCACAGGGAAGCTTCCTGAACATAATTACCTATTTTTGGTTGTTTCATTTTCATTGTTTGTCTATTTTATCATGTTGTATCAAAGTAATATTGCTAAAAGTAGTGTAGTTGCATTGTAGTGTAGTATTACTGTAAAACAAGGCTATGATTATGTTATAAATGTAATTAGTTGTGAAATTATTATTATTTTATGCATTACTTGCTCTACCAGACACAAAGACAGCCAGGCAGACTGGCGACCGACTGATGAGTGTTGTCAAGCACTTTTTATAAAAAATAATGCAAATAAAGTATTCTAAATTAATTATTTATAGCAAATAAGCATTAAGATCAGTAAATATATACATTATTGGCCACCTCGGACACAAAGGCAAGCTAAAAATTGCTGCTAAGTGCAGAGGGACCACGAGTGTCAGCTGTCAAACTAACACTGTCTCCTTGTCTCCCCCTCCTCCCTCCCTCCCTCTGTGCTGCCAGGGAAGTTTCTAGAGGGTCAATATATAATTTTTCTTACTTATTTTATTTTTTTTTTGTTTTATAATTTTAAAAGGTTAAAAATTATTTTGGGAAAAGTTGATTTTTCTCGATTTACCCCCGCGGGGGAGGGGGGGGGGGGTAACTGCCACCAGCACCCTAACCCAGGGCTTGAGAGCTAGACCAAGGATGATAAATAAGCCGCCTCTCTCTATCTGTGATTGCTCGCATTCCTTTCATGGATACAGTTTTAATATAGATTACCAAGTAGAACATCATTGACTCATACCTCTTGTCTGGTGGGCGGTGGTGCCACATCAAACAAAACACGCCAGTTACTGTAACCGTTATAAATGAAGACAACTGTACATATTAGAATGTTAGTATTTGATGTTTCCATAAGATGATTTAATTTATGTGATAGCTTACAGCATCTGAGCTTTTATATGGAGATTAGAATATTTTGTGCATTTCACCCCCTTATGGACACAGAACGTGTCGTCTTAATCTGTCTTCCTCCCTATCCTTTCCCCGTTTACTCTCAACTTCACTACTGTATTCCGCCTACGTGTCTGTGTGGTCTCACCCTCCCTATCCTCACTGTGTGGTCTTACCTTCCTCCCTCTTTGGTCTTTATCGCCCTGCTTTTCTTCCTTGTGGTCTTACCCTTTACTGCAGCGATTTTCAACCAATGTGCCGCGGCACATTAGTGTGCCGCGAAGCATCCGTAGGCGTGCTGCGGGAGTTTAAATAGCTTTTAGATCCGTTTGTGGTAAGTGCGTGCGAGTCAGCAGGATTAACTGTTGCCGAAGAGGATGAGCTGACGGAAATCAGAAACGACAGAGGACTGAAACTGAAGCACCTATCAACAGGTATGACTTCATTCTGGTTGTCCCTTCGAGAGGAATACTCCATCATTACAAAGAAGGCAATTGAAGCACTTCTTCCTTTCTCAACATCGTATCTGTGTGAAGCTGGCTTCTCTGCCATGAACACAATGAAGAGCAAGAACAGGTCACAGCTTCAAACACTGGAGGAGGACTTGAGGGTCTGCCTGTCAACCACTCGACCTCGGACAAGGAACAACACCAAGCACAGGTTTCCCACTGATATTTTCATGTAAGCAAAGGCCTTTTATTTTTACTCATGTTTGTATTTGAATACAATCTATAACTGATAGTTTCATATTATTTTTTAATGAATGGCATCTTTTTCAATGACATCTTGTTTCAATGTGTAGTAATAACAAATATGCACAAAACTTTCAAATTATTTTGAAAACCATGACCAACAATATACTTTTGGCAATAAAATTAATAAATTCTTAGTTTTTTTACAATTATGAACACATTCTTATCATTCATTATCTTTTAAATGATCAAATCTATCCTTAAATACTGATGGTGTGCCTCGACCATTTTAGTGCCCGGGTCACTGTGCCGTGAGATGAAAAGGGTTGAAAATCACTGATCTACTGTATACCTTCCTTACTGTTGGTTCGTCTCCTTCTGTCCTTACTGTCTCTTCCCCTCTGAATAATTTTACACTCTGTGATCTTTCCCTCTGTAAGTCTAGTCTTGACCGCCTTGTTTGGTCTTACCTTCTGTCTTTATCGTCTTACCCTTGGCCAGAAGTCTTGGATATCGAGAGAGTAGGTGAAGCGTGTGATTTGTCCGGCTATTACTGGGCAGGTTATCTCCCCGTCGCAGGCATCACGCTGTTGGTTGGGCAGCGGCACCTCAAACCACGAGTTCCAACGGACGTGTGAGTCTACGTCAGTCGCGTTGGTGTCTGGAGAAGAGCCCCACACCCGCCTTGTTAGTGGTGCAATCTTAAGAGAGAAATTTTGAAAGGGAAAGACATAACGGGAGAAAGGTGGAGGGAGGGAGTGTTACAAAGTTTGAATGATTAGCATGGTAGTAAATTATGTCTTATTAGTTACATTTGAGTATCATAATTGGCAAACATGAAACATTGTTGAACTTAAAATCAGTCATTATAACTTGATGATTATTTGACCAGCCTTCGTCGATAAAACACTCGTGCACCGCGAAGACTTGGGACACGGCCCAGTCTGTGTCAATAAGCTTAGTGTACCTCTACTCCGCGAGGGCATTGGAAACTCACCTGGTATAAAGATGGCCCGCAGATTATGGATGTTGCCTATCCTCACCTCGCATATTCCCCGTCGGTTAGCGCACGTCATGAACACAGCACGGGGCATCTTCTCCTCTGACCCACACAAAAAATATATATAACTTGATATTTGCGTTTCATATGTCTGAGTAAACACTGTGTGTAAGACACAGGCGGAATAATTTCACAGAGAAAAATATATAGTCAATATTTAAGTTAAATGTATTCATGAAACACCTTACCTGAAGAACAGCGAGCGTACATTATCCTGCGAGGTTGGAAAGCGTGTGAGGGAAATACAGCCACCGCCACCACCAAAACCACCAGCACCAGCATCACCTTCATTTTCACTCCGCCTGCGTGACGTGCCTACCTGGAGGGAGAGTACAAGTGAAGAAAAAAATGGGAGACATGGTCACCATGATGAACAGTATTTCATCTCTGTTTGTAAACACAACATTGCCCGTACAATTTCAGTTTTGCTTTGACAATTTAAATACAATTTGAAGCAAAGGACCTTTACAAACCGAGGATTTTTTTTTTTTTAGATTGCCCCCGAGGGGGCTAGTTTATTGGGCACCCCCTTACGTCCTGTGCAAGGTGAAGCATTTACAGCGCCCATCTGGGAAGCATGCGGAGTTCATGCTTGCCTTTATGACTCATGCATTAAGGGCGTAAAAGCCTGAAGGGTCATGGGTTTTGTCAGCAAGTTACATAAAGTGACAGAATGATGAGTGTGGGGGGGGAAAATTCCCGGTACAATTTATCTGTTTATGGCAAAGCGTGGCAGGTCCCTAATAATGTCAAGTGCCAGGCCATAGCCATAGGCATTGACAATATTGAGGGACATACCTTTTAGTGTGACTGTGATGGCATGTAAGTCAGTAGTGTCGGCTTCAAGTGGGACGTCGAGAGGTTGGTAGGGGACATCCTTCTTGGCGTAGATACGTAGTCCACTAGCATGTCCGCATGGTGGTCAGTTGATGTGGAGAACTGGAGTGGATGGGCCCCAGGTGCCGGCATGCCGGTGGAGGACCGGGAGCCAGGGGTGGTGTCCTCGGGTCCATGAGCAGGCGCGGCTTGCGGTGGGTGGACAGGGGCAGCAGGGCACACCAGGGCAGGCTTGGTAGGTGCCATGTCAGCAGTGATGCCAGGCGGCGGTGGAGTAGGCCGTGGGCAAGAGGCGCACACCGGGGGGCTACCAAGTTGTGTCAAACCAGAAGAGGGGAGTGACTGGGTAGCAGCTGGAGGCAGGGGTAGTCTGTGTAGGTTGGAGATGGCGGTACAGAGTGTATCAAAGTGTCTTTCAATACGGTTGGTAAATTCGTGTAAGAGGGATATGATCTGTGTCGTGTCACCGAAGGGTGGTTGTAGGGGGGCACCGGTGGTAGCACAAGGCCTGACATCATCAGAGTAGAGACGGGGAGGAGGCCCAGTAGTAGTTCAGTTAGGAGATGGCCGGGACTGCTGTGTTGCAGCCAGGTGAGGCCAGACAAGGGCAGGTGTTGTTGAAGAAGGCGGTGCCAGAAGAGGGGACGCAGAGGGATGCGGCCTGGTAGGCTGGGGGGGGGAGGTTGAGGTTGACACAGCCTTCGGGGAGGCTTTTCTCTTAGGACAAGCGGACGTTTGGGGCATTGCCGTGAGTCAGCATTGTGCCAGCCACCACAATTACAACACCACCCCCATTGAGGTGGTCTTTGATTTTCTGGGCACAGACAGAGGAGTGATGGTTACGTGATCAGAAGCAACATCTGGGACGATCACGTCAGCAGCAGGCGATGAAGGTGTGACCCCAATGGGAGCAAATGACACAAAAAGCAGGCCCGGGGTGATATAGTTCTGTATACAGTGAAGGGAGGACTGGGTGGGCCTCAACAGTGGTTGGGCACTCCGTCCACTTCCATTTAACTATGACATCTGCTTGTGGGGTCTTCCCCCGGTAGTGTCGACGTATACTGAGTATACGTGAATTAAAGTTACGAGCATCTTCGACTTCAGCGTATAGGGGAAACTGTTTAACTAGGATGTGGCAACATTCCGCTGCGTCCGCAGGAGGAGGCACGAGGACAACTCCGTCAAATCCAACAGTACTGAGTGTTTCATAGACCTCGGGTGTCTGACACTTGATAAAGTTACGGTTCTTACCTTTTTGGAATTGAATGGTGAGACCGTGTTGTCTCCAATACTTTGTTGTCCAATTAAGTCGTTCCTCGACAGTTTTCAGTGAGTCCTAGGGGAAGTGCAGATTCAGCTTACTTGGTTGGTTGGCAGAGGGGCGGATGGTGAGGGGAAGCTCGCTGCCCTTGGCATTGCCACTCCGGGAAGTGTTTCCCATAGAGACCTTACTGTTACTGTCACTATCACTGAGGTCTGACTCTTGCAGGGTGTGGGATGCAGTATGACTATCCGTATCAGAAATGTCTTTATCCATGAGAGAGGGACACCTCTTCTGGGGCGTTTACGTCGACCCCGCCCTCCCATCGCTGGCAACACTTGCCGGCGAAGGGGTAGGTAGAGACTGAGGTGGCCTTTGTATGACGATCGGGAGGACAGGAGTACCTATGGGCAGACGTCTGTCCCCTTACGTGGTACTTCATAAAAAATGTCTGGCAAGATAATTCGAGTTTTTGTGTTTATCGTCTTTCTGAATGCTCATGCTGTTGATGCAAGTTGTATCATTGCTGCTCATACTAATGTTGAGTCTCTTACTGGTATTCATAATGATGGCAGGTGTTTATACATGACGTCATCATGGATACTAAGGACGCTTGTTACCTGTTATTCACTCACAAATGCTCATAGTAACTTAACGGTGCTCAGAATGATACTAAGTGACTTACAAGTCCTTATAATGACTCCAGGTGTCTGATAGATATCGTACTCATAATGACCCCAGGTGCCCATCATATCCAAGTGATGTATAGTCGTTCATATTGACACCAGTTACTTATTAGGTAGACACTTGACGTCACACATCTATGTGAGTTTTATTTATAATGTAGCAGACGAGAAAAACAGCTGGGTTCATCTGTCTCGGTACTACTGTACCAGTACAGTACCACACACTATGTTTTGTTTGAAAATGTTAGATTCATTTTGTGCTGTTGGCTGTACCAATAGAAGAGTGAAGCATCTGGAAAATTATCTTATAATTTTCCTGCTGAGAAAGAAAGCAGAGATGAATGTATTTCTGTCATCTACAAGTAGATGCTGCAAAAAAAGAAAGAAAAAACTTTCACAAATAACAGCATGGAAAATAATTAGGTCTTCTGTTGAGAAAAGAACACGTCTGGCCCGCTGTTTGGTGGGTCTCAGTGGGTGTGACACACCTACTGTAGGTTGCAAGAATTTACATCCACTGAGGTAGAGTTGGTGGTAAGGCAGCTGGGCATTGACTAGCTGACTCAGCCACACTAAACGTGTTAGTGCTGAGAGTTGAGTTCTGTCAATGAACCTCCTAATCATTCTGCCTCACGCGTCGTGCCATACGCTACCTACGTCAGTTTTACCAAACCATAACACAAAGAAGAAAAGTTACGTTATCAGTAGATAACTATCTGTTGTTGGCCGTTATCTTGACGCCAGTCTACCTGCAGTCAACTTGTCTTCGGTGAAGTTATTAGAAACTAAGTGGTAATCGTATAAACAAATGCCTTGACAGACTTACAGCCACATAGTTTAGTTTGGTATATATTTAAATTATTTATTTTCAGGTGCTTCAATTTCAACGGTTATTGAAACAAAACAACACCGTGATTCTATTATTAAAACGTACAGTATTTACATCCGTTAAACACATGAGCATTATGATCATACTCAAGTCTAGAGTATGTATTAATACTCGTGCAGTCAGGTTTAGGGACGTGTAAGGAGTGTTGTAGTAACTGCGACGAACACCATTGGCACCAACCACCTCCACCTTCCCCCCTCTCCTTTTACTCTCCTCCATACTTGTGTCGATTGGCGAAACAGTCAGGCGTGGTACTGTACCAGCTTGCAGGAGGTCCAAATATATTATCGTATACGAGGGTTTTAGTTGTAATCTGTCTACTATCACCTTTTTTAAAGACTTGTGATCTTGGTGAGGCTCTAACCACTGTACTACTGTAAGGACTGATCACATTCTCATTACTGCATTCATTCTGATTAACAAAGCTGAGTCATTGATAACATGTTTTAAGAAATTGCAATGTAGATATCTTGATAAAATCACACAGGGAAAAGGCAACTGAAAATGTCTTGAATAAAGACGAAAGCTAAGATTCTCCATTGTTTCCCTTGTGTGATTTTATCAAGATTTATCTTATCCACGTTTCCATTGTGGATCTTCATGAAATATATATATATATATATATATATATATATATATATATATATATATATATATATATATATATATATATATATATATATATATAAGCAAGTAAATCACTGTAGGTGCGCGTGATCCAAGTATATGCTGATAACCGCAAGGAAACAAGAAAACACGAAGTTCCCAAGCGCTTTCGTGTAATTCACATCTGCAAAGGTGAGTGCAGACTAAGGATAAATACTTGAGAAGGCTAATATATACAGTAGAGGAGAGTGAGATCAAGTCCCTAAGGGACAGCAGGGGTCCACAATGTTCCGGTCATAAGGAAGTGACCCTTACTAATCTTAACCCAAAGAAATTGACCATGCCATCTCTAAGCACAGTTGCTGTCCGTAGTCAGGTCTGAAGATGTGAATTACACGAAAGCGCTTGGGAGCTACGTGTTTTCTTGTTTCCTTGTGGTTATCAGCATATACGTGGATCACGCACACCTACAGTGATTTACTTGCATATATATATATATATATATATATATATATATATATATATATATATATATATATATATATATATATATATATATATATATATATATATATATATATATATATATATATATATATATATATATATATATATATATTTGATGATAACCACAAGGGAAAAAAACGAAGTTCGTGTTTTCTTTTTTCCTTGTGGTTTTCAGCATATACCTGGATCACGCGCACCTACAGTGATTTATTTGCATATATATATATGGTGTTATTTATTTTTTATTATACAAGTAAAATTCAAATCAAGAATATTAGGACTACATAATCTTCAAATTCATTAGAACTACAGACGTATCTCTTAGGGGATGTCATGGAGGTCATTGTTTGGTTCGAGTGACATTTATATAACAATGGGTGTTAAAGCGATGTATTGGGAGGGGGGTAAACTCTTCATGTATGAGTTAATAAAATCTCTTAGAAGTTAGCACCACATGGAATTGGCAGGACGGGTGAATGCGTGGATGTGATGTACATAAAGTAAATGAACTTAATGAAAACTGGCATCATGGATAACTGGGCCGTTTCTTTAATTAATTATCATTACTCCCGGGAAGTTTCCTCTGGCTGCCTGAATCAGATGGAATATCAAATAAATATTTGTTTGGATAACGCTAAGAACACATGACGCACCCACGTCTGGTCTTGGTGGTGGATACGCCTGTCAGTCTCGCCAGACAATTGTACCGTAGATACATGTATAATTAAGTTAATGGGCCCAGTTTAAGGATCCAAAGTTGGTCAAGTACTGTCTGTGGACCCTTCATGTGTAGAGGAGACATTAATGTGTCTATGGAGCCATAAATTTCATGTTAACTGAACCTGGAAGGTGACCCTTACTGTAAATAATGATCGGGACTCACCCTAAAGATAATTTTGAGGACCGTAGACACAACGTCTGAGCACATACAGTTAAAACATTATCATGTCAGAGGCTTACGCCCAAGACCTGGTTCTTTAAAGAATAAGGGACTTCAACTATAATATAACAACACTTATTGAAGGTTGAATATATAAAAGCAATAACATATCTCTGATAAATTGACTGATGCTTTTAGAAGGACCAAAGTCTCAGGATGCAGTACAGTTTAAAAGGTTCTCCGTCTCAACTGACGGACACATACTAACATCACCACATCCACACAGCTACTCTTTCTTACGTAACGGAATTGCAGTGCCGTCTTTAGACAAGGCCTAACAGGGTACTGGCCCAGGCAAAGTCCCCAAAGATTTTTCATAAATTTATTCTCTCTCTCTCTCTCTCTCTCTCTCTCTTTATATATATATATATATATATATATATATATATATATATATATATATATATATATATATATATATATATATATATACATGAATGATTAAACTACATCTGTAACTTGTATGCACGATCATGCAGAAAATTTTTGCCAAACTATTTCCGGTCCTTTAATTGTCTTTACATAAATTATCTAAATTATAGTTTATACCTGGGGGTGACGCTAATCAACGAAGGTAGGAATAAAGTCTTATAGAGTGAGAGACCTCATCACCGATGATGATTCATTTCCTGAAGATAAGTGGTGGTCCCACACTAGCTCCACCTCGCTTACTACACCACGTGACCTCACTTCTGAAACCTCAGCTTCCTCCCACGTCCACCACTCATGCCTCGCTGGTATCACACCCCTTATCTAACTGAACCGGAAATACCTAATACAACTCACCAGTGGAATTTTCCCATACACATGAGAATACGTGTAGGTGATTCTACAGAATTGCTCCTCTGAATTATTCCTACCCATCGCGATAGAGCCCAGCTATCACTGATTAAATTAAGAACAAAATATAATGAGTATATTATCTCTTTTCTTTATTCTACTGATAATACTGACCTCAAAATCTTGAAGTGTGTTGGTGTATAGCGAGAACTGATGTGTTGTCCGTGTGACACCCTACTGCCTGCCGGCTACTGAGTCACTGGTGGGAGCCCGCTGAGTGGCCACGGCGTTAACCCACACTGCCCCAGCCACCAGCTCCAGCATACAGCTCTTTCCACAACAAATATTATTTTGTGCTATTTTTCGAACAATGGGCATGTCTGAAGTAAACCCATCATATAGCGAAATAGGTTATTGGTTTTGATTAAAAACTTTATTTATTCTGATCACAGATAGTGGTAGCATTGTTATATCCTGGGGGGGGGGGTGAAGAAATGGGCCACCAGTTCACAGGCCGCTATGTTCCCCTCTCCTCCTGTATTCCCATCACTGCCTCCCGTCAGCTCACGTTACACTGCGTTCTATTTCGCATTCCTCTGAATAGGTGCTTTGTTGTGCTCCTCAGGACGTGCTGCGTCACAAAGGGACTGTGTGCTTGTCTATGTAGGCACATTTCATTGTTGAGCTTATGACCAAAATAGTTAAAAAAAAAAGTTAATGATCTTCAGAATCTTAATAGATATATTTAGATCGTACAAGCATGTTAATTAGGGCCAGTCGATCTTTTTCCTTATGAGGATCAAGTTAAAGGATTGAAGAGTTCACCAAATTTGGACTCATGGTTAACAAATATAACATGCACTTAATGATACGTACAGTAAGGTATGAATTGTATGTTATTATGATTTACATATTTTTCTTTCTGAAGACGAAAGTTGATCCTGTAAGTAACTCAAGGACATTCAATTCAGCGAGAGAATTTATACGTTTAGTGCCATTACTTTCAGCGGACGATAGCATGTGGCATCGTCTGTCACGAGTTTATATATATATATATATATATATATATATATATATATATATATATATATATATATATATATATATATATATATATATATATATATATATATATATATATATATCACCAGACCATTTCCGAAGACGGTCACTTTTGTTTCAAAGTATTTTCCTGTACTAATATCTTATTTATTTTACCAAATAGGAATGCGTGTGTGACACAAGCCCTCTTATACCTACTGTACTTTGTTTTTGTTTAATCAAATACACGTTAGAGGCAAGGAGGTGCGCAATAAACTAGCCCCCTCGCGGGACAAACCTGAATTCTGATGTTATTGTTTGTTCTTATATTTCATTGATGATAAAAGTGTTCTAAGCCAGACCTTGGGAAACATGGCGGCACAGTGCCGGGGTACACAACACACTCCTCAATAACTGCGTATTACTACCGCCCACCACTGTTTGTGTGTTCCTTCTTGTTAGGGGGGCTTTTTTATATCACTGTGGAGGACTCTGTTAAGAATAACCACCTATCTCACATATAGAGCGTTTGTTTTGCAATCACGCCCAATGATGTTCTTTTTCTTCTGAGAGATGGGTCTTGCATCATTCTGTACAAATCGGTACCAAAGGGGGTTGGGTTGGGTTGCTCGCTGCTTCATTATCTCCAGATAAAAACGCTATACAAATGTAAAGTTTTGCCCGTTTTCTTAAATCCGGATTATAAAAAAAAATCATAGTACGTTATTTTATTTTCCTGTGGCTGGAAATTGAAGAACACGTCTAGGGAAGGCAGTCTATAGTGTACCCATCGCTATACTGAATAACGTTTTCATGTTTTATCTTAAGTGAGCATCAACTGCCTTCGTCAGCCCTCAGGAATGATAAAAAGAATAATTTAAGAGTCTTGTGAATTTGAATTCACAGTTTGTGTGAAGCCGATTTGGATGTTTATGTTGCAGTGTTCTCGTTAATTAATCGACTTGTACATACATAACTCAGCCCTTTGGAATCGTGTGTGTAAAAGCTAACGACTCGATGATTACTGCAGTTTAGAAAAAGAAAAAATACATTACCTACTTTATGCTGAATGTGAAATATCATGAGTGAGAACATACGGGCAGTGAATGGTTTGAGGTGGACTCGCCAAACTAGATAACAGACCTTATTTAGTGTTGTTACGTTTCACTCTTAATGCAGGTTCAACATTGTTATCGCCATTATCAGTTAAATCTATATCTCTTCACAATACTAGTAAGTGGAGACGTCTATTGTATGAGTGAGTTTAGTTCTTCAGATACATTGCTATTTATACCTCGGTTAAATTAACTTTTTTATGTTCAGAAATAAATATGCAAAAACACACAGACTAATTACAGGTTGAGGAATTCACTGAACCTTCACTAGTATCTGAACCTTTGAGGATAAGTAGATAGGTTAGCCAGGTATACATATAGGAAATTCAGGTATATAGTATACATATAGGCAATTCAGGTATACAGTATACATATAGACAGTGCAGGTATTTTAGTCTCGTAATCAGACTCAAGGAACAACACACACACACTTGCCACACCATCTTGACCTTGGTAAAAGAAAACTTAGAGCGTAACATATATGAACGCCTGTAAATTTTTGTCTGTGCGAGGTTACATAAGTAAAGAACTTCACCATAGGATAATAATTTGTCCTTAAAGTTATAACTTGGGGTTAAAACTGATATTAATAAGGAGCTACGGCAGATGACTCATTACTGCAGGGGGTTGGTCTTATGAGCACTCCTCTCCTCCGGGTTATTTCCATCAATCTCAAAAGAGGGGGTGGGGGGGGTGGGGGGGTAGAGCAAAAGATGTCGCTATTTAGAAAAAGTAGTATAATAGAGTTCATGTCTACCTTGTAAATAAACACCTGTGTCTAAATTCATTAAGGGCAGTCCATCGTTTGCAGGTCTCAGCTGAACATTACAGAGACACTACAACATCCATCTCTCTCTCCAAACACTTCCTTAGCAAACTCTAGGTATACATTGTCAATATTACCACCCCATTCCAGAATATGGGTCCAAATATCCAATACCTTGAGCAATTTTGTTAAGCAGGAGCGCCCCGGCATAAAACCGTGTTGGCAATCCCTTTACAAGGTTGTTTCGTAGTAGATGTTCCATCGCGGCATCTCTGATAATACTCTCAAGTACTTTACATACTATGCTGGTCAGGCTCACCGGTCTATAGTTGTTCGTGGAGTGACGATCGCCTTTCTTGAAGATAGGACTCATATAAGCCATTTTTCATTCACTGGGGACCTTTTGTTCATCCAGGCATTTACAAAACAGGATCTTCAGGGACTCGGCAAGCTCGTTGCACAACTCTCTTAGCACTCTGGGATGCACCATGTCAGGGCCGGGACTCTTATGGACCTTTAGCTTTGACAGTTTATTTCTTATACCCTCTTCTGTGCACACAATGTGGGTCAGTGCTGTGTCGAACCGTCTGTCCTCAAACGCAGGAAGGTTAATCGCATCCTTTCTTGTGAACACCGAGGAAAAGAAGCTGTCCAATGCCTCAGCTTTATCCTGGTCAGAATCTGCATAACTACCGTCTTTAAGCCTCAGGTCTGATACTCCTACTCGCGTTTTTAATTTCGACTTTGCATAGCGGTAAAATGCCTTTGGGTTTGACTTGACCTTGCTTGCAACCAGCCTCTGGAACTCATTTTCAGCCCTTCTACACTCTGCCTTTGTTTGGTTTCTGGCTCTTGCATACATCCTCCTGTCTTGCTCATCGTTTGACCCAACCCACGTCTTGAATTTCTGGGGTTTTCTTAAATTTGTCGACCGCCGCATGGTTCATGTGTAGGGATCCCCTCGTATTCCTAGAGGCACTGGGTTTGGTCTTGGGTATACATTTATCAATCAAATGGGTCATTTTACTAGTTATGATATTCAGCATAGTGTCTGCGTTCTTGTGCCTTAGTGAGTCAGGCCAGTGGATACCCCTCATCTCCTCCCTCATCCCGCCATAATTTTTCTTGTAATATTTGCACCTTGGCCTGGCTTTATCATGATCTAGGTAACAGTTAAATCTGAATGACAACACTACATGGTGACTGGTGCCAACTGGGGCTAGATGTTCCAGTTTGGCCACCATACCCTCTTCGTTTGTTATGATGAGGTCTAGTGGCTTGGATGTTTGCTCCCCTCTGTAATGTGTCGGGTCTTTAACATGGTGGAACAGAAAATTATCTCTCAGAGTTTCTACAAAAAGAGTAGCGGGGTTATTCAAGTCATTTGGGGTGAACTCGTTTCTCCAGTCGATGTCGCCATAGTTAGTCACCCATGATAAGGAGGTGGCTAGGGTTGAGCATCGCTGCGTTGTCTATTAAGGCTCTTAAGTTCCTTTGATTTAGTGGGCCACAGTTTGGGGGATCCTGAGGTGAGGGATACTCAACAGCTAGCTACTTATATTTAAATAATTTTGTTGGTGTAATCCTTATCGTGTATCCCTTTTATCACAAATCAAGATCAAACTAGTCTTTGGTCGTGTTTATTCCAGTGCAAAGCCGAAATCTAGATAGTGTGTGGGATTAAACAGTTACCCATAGTCATGCCTGACGGATACAACAGCCCCCACGCTACAGTTCGCCCGATTTCATTCATGACATCAACGCGTGATAAATGACGTGATGGGATTTCCACAAAAGGTTGATTCATCGCTGTATTATGAAAACGTCAAGGATGTTATCAAGAAATGGGTTATTTTCGGGGACTGTTTACTTAAGGTCAGCTGACTGGGGAGGGCCATATGTGGACCAGCTGCCTCAACAGCTTCACATGATAACACTCACACAATGAGGCCACCACACACACACACACACACCCACCATATTAGATCTCAGTTCGAGTAAGCAGCTCTTGTATGGTACCCAACAAAAACAGAATCATCAAAAAGATGTTGAAACGTACATTTCAAATTATACCTAGACCAGTGACATAAAGATCAGAATGGTACAACATATAAGAAATTCCAGTAATGAAATGTAAGTTAGGTTCAGTTTATTCCTTGACACCATATTATCATGTGTGTATGTCTGAGTTCGTGTGTAATGCAGTGCAGCAGTAATACGCTTGTCTCCCGCCCTGGACCCATGAAAGTCAAACTCATCAGTAAAAATAAGGATATTAATCAGGCGACTTCATTACATTCTTATCCTTACAAGAAACCTACCAATGAGGATCCCACCAAAAATTATACAGAAAAAGAATAAAGTTGCGTGTATATTAACAATCATTTGTCAACCTCGATATTATCATTTTATTGACTCCGGATAACAATTTCTTGCCGATAAAAGTCACTACACAAAAATAATGAATATATTACAGCTGAATCAGGAAGTATGTTGGTCGCGTATACTTAAAAAAATAAAATAAAAATCATCATTACCTCCGGAACTGGAAGTGAGAAAATTTATTAAATCACGGTAGAATCTCGCTTAAAAATCCGAGCCCAGTTTAACGTATGGGAATTCATTTTAAGTTTTAATGTTTGCTAATTAGATATATTGTCACAGTCCCTGCAAAGGTGACACAGAAATGTACGGATATTTGAGCGGTCTGGCCCTGATCGTAAACACTACGTGATAAAAGTTTGTGATCCCACTGTAATGAAAGACAAAATTCGTGTCGTGAAATTTGGTGAAAACATATGCCGAAGGACTAAACTTTTGGTCCGCTCTGCCTTGTGATAGGATGTTTCACGAGTTATATTTAATCTTCGGACAAAACCACGACACGACTTTTGTCTTTGCACACAGAGGGGGAATACCAGGCGTCAATCCTTATTTGGAAAGCACAATTTACTTCCTATTGTGACAGTGTTGAGAAAAGGTGTTTAGTGTGTGAAGGAGAAGTTCTTTTATATACGTGTTATGCGTGGAAGGAAGGACTTTCTTCTGTGTGTGTAGTCATATTGGCTCTACAGGTATATTGTAGTATATACAGGGGAAAAGCCGCTTACGTTATCACCATTTGTGTGTGTGTTGTGTGTTGTGTAAATATCTCATGAAATAGACGAAACCCCGACTAGCAGAGAAACAGTCGCTAATATGGGCAATGAAGTTTACTGATGGGTAGGGAAACAACCCGTCTCTCTTAGGGTAGATTTATTTATTTATTTTATTACTTTGTGCAGCTTTTGGGTGCCTCTTATTATAATCCAATTATGTAACATTAGACGAAACTGACTTGTATCTCACACAACAAAGAGTAAGTTATATAATTATACGATACGATAATTGAGATGTTTTAAAATTTATTTAAGGTTAATGCTAGAGCGATTTATTTATCGTATATATCGATTTTAGTTTTTGCTCATCCGAAAAAAAAACAACACTAGAGTACAAGTTACGCTTTTTAGGACTTCATACACAGGCACAGTTAACATCCTCAAAATAAAATATTTCCATCTAGGTGAAGAAGTAACAGCGCCAAGGAGGAGTACTGGCAACAGTACCACCATTATTTTATATAACCTTCTAGTGGTTGAGATACTACAAGCTCCTTGCTGGTTGATTACTTAAACGGGTGATGGTGGTGGGTGGTGAGTGGCACGAGAGGTGGTAGGAGGGGTGGTGAACTTAGTGACAGGAGGGGCAGTGGGTAGGGCGGCGGGTGGTTGGGTGACAGTTAGGGTGGTAGGGGTAGTTAGGGTAGCAGGAGGGGCGGCGTTTGGTGGGTGGTTGGAGCGGTGGTGAGGAGAGTAAGGGTGGCAGAAGGGTCGGTGGGTGGCATTTGAGGTGGCATGAGAGACGGCGGGCAAGGTGGCTCTATCTTATGATTTATTTGTTCTGGTCTGTTTAGTCTATCCGTGTAGGCCCCCCACACAGCCACCAGACCACCCCCCTCTCACCTCTCCCAGCCCTCCTCTCATCTCTCCCAGCCCTCCTCGCATCTCCCCCAGCCCTCTTACTTCTCCCAGCCCTCCTGCTCACACCCCTCCTCCGCCTCCTCCTCCTCACACCTCCAAACCTCCCTCCTCTAATATCACTTTCACTCTCGCCCGCCATGGTGATTTAACTATTAAGTGAATCAACCAATCACACGACGTCATTCAGCCCGTTGAAACATCAAACATACCGTGAGAATAAGGGACCAGTTAAGGTGTGGCGGAGTAGAGTCGTTCGTGACCTATACGTCATTTTGTTACAAGAACGTACAGTATTTAGCCTCGCCCGTCCTTGTGGATTTTCTGTTAAAGTAATACGTTGCTTGGTATTACCCTTGATGCCACCATTAATAAACAGTAAAACATTATATTACTAGACATACTGTATATCATAGTAAAGAGTACACACACACACTACGTTTTTAGGTATATGGACATTCCCCAAAATGTAACTACCTGTACTGAACACATATACACTATATTTGGGATCAGTGAACGTATTTATTTCACATTATCTGTTTATATATAGAGTTGTAATAGAAGACAACTCAACCAAGTAATTAGTGTAAAGACGGGATGTTCTCAGGGTCAAGTGTGGAGTCATGATCTGTCCCGGTGGCGCCAATGTCGCAACCCAGCACTTGTTTACATCCTGACTCCGGCATTTCTTCATTACTCATAATATTGTATTCTTTCTTACTTATTAATCACATTCAGGCAGCTACCGAACAGGGTATTGGAAGCATGATAATGTATTGTGTAATGGTTGATCCAGTTGCCATAGGGCATCACGAAATTTTTTACCAAGTCCCAGGTTGCTCATCCGACTTTCTGCCTCATTTACACACAATTGCAGGGTCTCAATTGTTTCTCTTACTATTGACAACCCAACATATGTATATTGTTTCTCACTTTATTTTTTTTTTGTATTTGTGGTTCTTTATTATTATTATTATTATTATTATCATCATTATTATTACAGAGTTATTATTATTATTATCATTATTATTTTGGGGGCTCCATATTATGATTAACGTACTTATCGCTCTTATCAAATTATATGCAGTTTTATCAATATTTTAGTTAGGAAGAGATGCAAGCACTTAAAGTTTAATTGTATACCATTTATATGTGGGTTTTTTCTCATTCAAGTATTGGCTCGTTGCTGAATTTTACCAATAATCCAAACTAACTACACAAGGGTATCTGTCTGTTAGTATGTTTTGACAATATTTAGTTTAATATACAGTACTTGTAATATTGTCGCTTTTCAATAACATTAGATGAATTAGCAATTAGAATTTTTACGTCACAAATTTCTTCCATTTGATAGAGGTATTACATGCAAGATGTTTCAAACGGCTGTATATACAGTATGTACTGACCGTCCACACTCCACCAACACTACACATATTGTGCAAATCGCAGATCGACATCCACGAAGTAAGGCTGGGGAGGTAGTTCTCGGAAGCCCAGGGGTCGAATTCTCAAAAATTCGTTGTAAACTGCTAATTTTAAATGTTTGACGTATGATAAAGTACAGAAATACCGACCAAAATAATTATATAACTTTTGCAAAATCCTGAACTTTCTCGTGATTCACCATCTGTTTTACCCTAACTTGACAGTACTATGAGAGGTAAAGTTACTTGCCATATGAATAAGTTAAACATGGAAATATAAACTAATAAATATTGTAAATACACACTGCCTTATTTATTCTTTATTATGTATCACCCAAATATAATATAATCATTCTAATTTTACTGAAACTAATAATTTGACAATATAATGGTATGAAACTTGAGTAGCTTGTGTGTGATGTGGTAATCATAAAGTGAGGTAAGCATTGTTTTCTTATATTCAAGCTCTCAAGACGTTGTCAACTTGTGAGAAATGTCAGGACACTCATACTCATACACACACCCACACACGCATTCATAAAGTAAAACCGACACACACCAACCCACATACTGTATATGGACTCAAGCTTACATAAACACAAAACGCAACATAATATTTACGAGGAATATTGATGTTTAGAACTTTTTCTTTTTTTTCAGAATCGGGCTCATATGTAGTTAAACGTAAAAGGTGTGATAGCGACTTCATGAAACAGCTTTACCAAAAGTTACGATAAATCGCAGTACACATTATTGATAGAAACTCGGTCTAGACTCTAGGCTACGTTTTAATCTTTTGTTCATATGAAACCCTTGAAAATAAATTAAAGATGCAATTTAACGCACCTTACAGAGTGAGAGAGATAAAAACGTGTGCATAGCACCAAAAACTGAAGTGAATTACCAGGTAAAACATCAGACACGCCTTCCGCACCTAACCCGACCTCAAACTTATCCCCTTAGTGTAAAACAAAATACTTGGTGGTCCAGTTGTCTTCTTGTGAGAACGTATGATACAAACGTGTTTGAGTCATGAATGTATTATGATAAAGCTTTCGTGGTTTATAATATTATGTATAAGATAATATAACGAAGGCCAGCGAGGCTTAACTATGATTACGGAAGTAACAAACCCAAGTCACCTTACTTCCTCTTGCAACATTACCGCCATTGGCTGGCCACACAACTACGTCACCCTCCACACTTGCGTTCGTTTTCTATAACCTTGACTCAAGTTACATGAAACTTTCTATATAACTTTCCGATTGTGTAATCTTTACTGAATCAATAATTTAGCTTAAATATTAAAGCTGATTTCTGCCAAGTTAAGGTTAAATACCGGTTTGAATAGATACAAATCCAACGATGTTTGTAGCTTCAGTCAAGGTATCGGATACAGCAACGAAGTAATATTTACCCAAGTGAACCGAGCAGCGGCTCATTCAAGACGTTGCGGTGTAGTAGGCTGGTCGCGGTGTTGGCGTTACGCTTAGTTAAACAACTCGGAACTATGGCATCCTTCACTCATGTTCTGGCATTTGCCTGCATGTTTACAGTGACTTGGGCCACAACATACGACATCCCATTTACCAGTTGCGAAGGTAAGATGGAAATTTACATTATGCTTTAGGTAAATCAGGTGGCGCTCGGGATCTATGTTTAAATATATTTATGGTACCTATTGAGCAAGGATTACGGGTTAATTATAAGCTAACAGGTAGACTGAAATGCAAAGTGCTGTTGTCAGTAATAAGAACTTGTTGGCTTAATGTTACCAGTTTTTCTTGACAACAATAAAAGTATTGTTAACGTTAAATATATTGGTTATCATTGAAGTAAAATAGGTTTTGTTATATCAATTAGAAACATTTGTAAATATGATGTGAAAAGAAATTCACAGGTGTTGTGTACATGTGAAGTACTGTATACCCGTCAAGGTTAAGGGGAAGTGAGGAGGTTTGTCATTACTCAATTTGTTATCTGGCCATTTCCGGATACCCAGTGGAGGATATGGTGATTTGGACCCCAGGCTGGTGATCTTAATGTGGGCAGGTTGGAATTAACAGAGGTCTGTAATCTTAATGAAATATCTCCACTGACATAGGCAAAATGTTATTGCAGCAGGGAATGCTAATGAACACATGAAAAAAAATGGTGTTGACAGGGTATTATAATGAACTTATGAACAAGGTGTTGACAGGGTATTATAATGAACTTATGAACAAGATAGTGTTGACTGGAGATGCTGTTGAACTTAACGAGGGCACGGTAATACAGTATTAGCAATAAATGCTAGTATGGCAAACGTATGCAAAGTGTTGGTGGCGGGGGATGTGTGGGTGTGTGTGTGTGTGTGTCATTAAATAAGGAGACTGGTACAATTAAGCCTTAAAACACAACTGACCATTTATATCAATAACTTGATGGAAATTAATTCACATATTTGAAAATTTGCTATATCATTTAAGTCCTCGAGTGCCTTCGTGACATATACACATGAGTAATCTTCTTGGGATAACCATGAGACATCCGGGGCAAGGATTGTTGGTAATTTACCATGGGTTCGAGTCCTTCGGGTACTCCGGTTGCCTCCTGTATAAACAGTATTAAACACTGGTCAAATAAAGTTCATAAGAGAATTAACCAAGCGTTTTAATGGTTAGTTCGCTGATAACGTGAGATGATAAAAGCAAAAGTCATAAGTAACAACAGATAAGCCATGGGTGACAATTAGAAAAACTATACTTAGAAGTTTGTAAATAAACGTAGACAAATTGTTGACATGACACAGGGAAGGTGACATGAAGTAGGGTATTGTGTTGAAACATTGATACTTAGATACACCTGGCTCATAAGGGAGGCAGGGCGAGCTGGAAAAGGACGTGGGAAGAGGAAGTAGGTATAGGATGAGAAGCGTCAGTGATCCTTGCAGAAGACTGGTGACGTCACGAGGCAAGACATGGCACTGTGGTGGTGGCCAGCCCAAGGTCTCTGCCTGGCCCCATTCGTCGTGATCGAGTAGAAAATACCCATCGGTCTGTTTTTTTTTACACTGGTATTAGCCCACCCAGACACAGGTCACTGACCCACATCGGGGCCTGGGGGGCGAAAATGTAATAATAATAATAATTATTCATAGTAAATGAAATTTATAATAAAATAAAAACAAAATTGAAATGAAATAAGATAATAATAATAATAATAATAATAATAAATACAAAAATGAAAATAAAAAGATCAAAAGTGAGAAACCATATACTGTATGTATGCTGTGTTGTCAATAGTAAGAGAAACAATTGAGATCCTGCAATTGTGTGTAAATGAGGCAGAAAGTCAGAGCAGGAAACTGGGACTTGGTCAAAATTTTCATGATGCCATACGGCAGTTGAAACAATTGTAATTACTATTGTTTTGGATCACATACAGCATTATATATCTTGTCTGAATGTTATAATTCTGAATTAGTAAATCTGATGAATTAATAGAATTGCTGGTAAATGAAAGGTGTTTTCGGCATGTTATTTGCAGTTAAACAACAATTGAAAGAAAATCCATGGTGTCGTATTTTTAAGTGATATTTCATTTTGTTTTATTTGTTTAAATATCAAACGTATTTTTAGACAAGAAAAATGTTCCCATTAGATGAGTGATGGTGCCACTGACCCAACTCGCACAACACGCAGCGTCAATTTTACCTCGTCCATCATTTTAGTATCTCAGACATGTAGTGTTGAACATGCAGTACGATGTGTTTAACTCAATTACATCCTGTATTTTTTATAGTTCATGTATGTCAGACATGTCAGTCGCAATTTGCTCCATGAGAAATCCAATGTGTCAAGGTTTTTGTGTTGGTGAAGCTGGCTAGCGTATGTGCAGTATTTACAGAACTTAGCCCAGCAACTGACAACTCGAAACGGCAACAAGAAAAGGGCTGTTGTATAGAATTAGAGCGGTGACTGGGAGGTGGAGGACGTAATATACTGTAGTGTGCAGGGGAGTAAACCTTGATGTACTATAATAGGGTTATTACTGCTTTATATAAGTGGAAGACCATTAACAGGGAGTAGGCAGCTATTAAACGGAGGTATTACCGCCTGGGAAAATATTGGAAGCATAATATGTTGTAATGGTTGATCCTGCTGCCATATGGCGTCACAAACTTTTGACTAAGTCCCAGGTTGCTGAACTGACTTTGTCCCATTTACACACAATTGCAGGGTCTTAATTGTTTTCTTTTGACAGCACAACATATATATCGTTCCTCACTCTAGATTTGTTTCACTTTGTTTTCCATTTCATTATATATTTTTGGTTATTTTTTCTCGCTCCCCAGGCCCTGATGTGGGTCGGTGACCTGTGCCTTGGTGGGCTAATCCCCGTTAAAAAAGTAAATAAGAAAATTTAAAATGATTTTACTTTCCTTCATAGGTATAACGGCGCCCAGCGCGGTGAGGATGCAGTGCAGTAGCTTCTTACGAGGCACCTGCCTCTTGAATAAAGGCCAGACCTACTCCATGCAAGCAGAGTTCACACCCCGTGAGTATCTATTTCTCCTGCTGACGAACCTACAGTCCTTCCCACGGTCCCACCTATAAACAGGAAGCTATACACTATATAGTGATTTTTGTCAATTTCGCAATGTATGTGCCGATATTCCGGGTCTATGGGCAATCAGAATAAACCAAATAAACAGGGATTGTTTATTGTCCATGAAATGTGGGAAGGGAAGGAGGATTGTAGGTTTGTCTGCTCTTCCGTCTGTTCTTAACCCTAAGGCAGCGAATGCGGCAGTCTCTCTTAATATGGATAAGTTATTATAGTCTGATAATAGAAATATTCTGCAGTTATTGTATGGTTATTTTTTTAGTTATTTCATATTGTTGTCCCTCATTATGCTCATTTGGGTAACAAATAAGATATGATTGATCCTCGTCACTAGTAACAAAAACCAAACGAAGGTGCAACTAACCCTTCTTGAAGAACAAACAATAATAACACATTGTATCATCGTCAACAAGAAATTTTTCAGTCATTGTATTATGCAGAATGTAATAAAAATATTCTGAGTAGGGAAATTTGCTGTATCCAGGACAGGAAAAATTATAAGAATAGGTAGAATATGCAAATTTTTGTTTGTCCAAATCGAGGCAGGTTGACAATAAACATGGGTGAAACATTTGGTTGTCGCACATATATTGACCACCCATTAGTCTTTAGGTATACGAGAAAACAGAGTCAATGCCAAAAAGTTAAAATAGCTATGAAATGGATATTTGTCAAGGATACATTAACTTGTAATGCATAAGCATATTACGAACTCAAATATTGTACAATTCCACCCAAAAGTTTAACTCTCCCAGCCAGCTGTTGCTGCACTGCCTGCTTCAGATGTTTGAAACTGTCTCGGTACCAACCAGAACATGAAACCGATACGGATGAATCTAAAGGTTCGAAGTAACGGACTCAAGTTCATACATCTGAAGCAGGCAGTGCAGCAATAGCTGGCTGGGAGAGTTAACGAACTCTTGGGTGAGACTGTACCAGTAAATTATGTATATTTCATCAGAGACCTCAGTCGAAGAGATTGAGAGCAGCGTAGCGTGGAAGGCGTGGGTGGAGATGCCCTTGACAGACCAAGATTTTGATGCTTGCAACAGCCAAATCACTTGCCCGCTCACACAAGGCTCTCCCACAACCTTCTCCTATTCACTGCATATCCCAAATTATTGGATGAGGGTAAGAATTTTATGCTTTACACTTCCATCATATTGTATAATCCACTACTACCATTTGTATTGCACTGTACTCTTATTGATATAATAGTTGTATAACATTGCACGTCTTTCATCTCTGTAGGCTTCTATAAACTTGCCCTTGCCGGAGTGTATCTTTTATATGGATATTTCAGAGATATTTTGATGAAACGTGAATATTTATGAAAGAAGACGGGATGGAAGTGTTGTGTGACGTAGAGTTAAGGGGACAGCTAGGTATTGAGAGCACAGTGTTGGCAGGAATTTGTGTGGAGGTGTAATGAAATAGTTTGTGCTTGTACAGAGATTGGAAGAGAACAGTTGGGTCAAGACATCATATAATTAATGCTCATGTATTTTTTTCCTGCAGAGGAGGTACCCAATTGTGTGGCGCCTAACTGACGATGACACGAACACACGCATTCTTTGCTTCACCGTCAGGGTTCAGATAACGTCATAAAACATCCCTGTGTTAACACCTGTAAAATAATGCGCAGACAGAGTAAAAGTATTTTGTTTATGAATTATGTCACTTGTCTAGGAAGAACTGCACGCGACTAATTCAAGAAGGAATCAAATGATAAAAACAAGAACAGAAGGTTATAGAAAGTAGTAGCCACAGAGAAATGGTAGAACAGATATGTATTTTGGAAGGATGGTACATATTTGGAGAATTATTGACCTAGTGATATTTGCTAAGGTACAATACCTTCAATTGTTGAGAAAGCCGCTCCATGCAAAATTCCTTGGCAAGTTTATTGTATATACTTTAAGAAAATCACCAAACACAAGTTCGATATCGTACCAGCCAAAATGCATGTAATTGATAGGTGATTATCAATATTAGCAATATTCAATGCCTTTAATTTTTTGTGGTTTCTCTTTTAGATATTCACGGTAAAATGAACAGTGCATCTTATGCGGGAATTTTCAGTTCCATCTAACGGAAGGGGAAAAAATTTGATTCAGGGGTTCCCTATTAGATTTATGAATTACAGACCAGGCAACTATACTCATTAGCCCTACATAGACTTCATTTTTTTTCCGAGGCCAGTCTTCATTTTCATGCTTTGCATGATTGTAAATAAAACTAGTTTTAATTTCTACTATTCCTTTATTGCTATTTTTGTATTGTACAGTAATTACAATAATAGACGAAATACAGGTCATTGAATTGATATGAACAGATTCACTAATAAACAAAATGGTCACTCTAGGTTGGTGACCATTCTTGAATCCGTGGGGATAACTTTGTCAGGAATGTGTTGTATCACTTCCAGGGTTCAGTCCTTTCTTTCCTGCAGATGTTCAGGGAGGTCGAAGCAGACAAAAAAAAATGTGCACCTACGAGTCCTATCTGATGGGCTGTCGTTACCCCCGAATAATGCCAAAGGGGGTAATTTACCGCAAATTGCATTTGGTTAAAGGCATTATGAATCTGGAAGAGTACAACTACTGAAGCAAGATTTAGTGCCAACCATTAAATTATATTCGACCCAAGAAATTAAAATTAACAGGAGACTAGCAAGATGTTGACTTCTTTATCTGCTATAAGATATGAGACTGCAAGGTATTAACATATGTAAAGCAAAACTTGAAATTTTTTATTTATTTATGACTTTAATATGATGTATTATTTTACTTAGTGTAGAGTAACGAAGTTACCCAGAGTAACTTGGCCAATTATCAGTGAGAATTTGTATGAAGAAATGCCGATACGTTAACTTATTCCACCCACAAATATTATATTATAATGCAAATTTTGTGTCATGTTTATAGACCTAAAAATAAACTATATTTTTTAATGTTATCGAGTTTGATTTTATTTTATTCCAGCAAATCCCGTGATTTTGGGCTCACTGTACCTCAACTTGAATGAACATTAACATTCGCCCCTCTTTGGTTGTCGAAGATTCAGCTTTACATAAACCAGCTTATTTTTTCTCATTGGGTAAGACACTACACTACTTAAGGCCCCGTCCACACGATCGAGCAGTGCCCGGCGGGCTTTGCCCGTTTACCAGGCAAAGCCTGTGTTGTTGTACACACCAGGGTGGTTGGCTGCAGTCATAGTCTGGCGCCGGTAGCTAGTAGGTGGTCGGCAGTGGCGGGTGTGGTACGATCACCATGGTGTGTCGCAGGAATAATCGCCGGACAGTTAAAGCGAAGAGCATAGCGTTGTGTACTATAATAATTGCTGCTATGTGCAAAAAGAAGAACCAAATGCAGAAAAGGGAATGGTGCAAAGAGTGGTTAGGTCGAAGAAAAGTATTGTGAAGTCATGCCACGATTTTACGTGAACTGCAAGATGGACATGAGCAAGACTTCACCAATTACATGAGAATGGACCCAACACCTTTGACAAACTTCGAGGGAAAATGGAACCATATAAAAAAAAAAAAACAGGATACCAATATGAGGGAGATTATATCTGCCGAGGCTCGTCTAGAGTCAATGCTCATATATCTTTCAACTGGGTGCATCTACACGTCACTTCAGTATAGAACGAAGATATCAAAACTAAGTTTGTCTCGCATAATACCTGCAACTTGTCAAGCCATGTATGAAGTACTCAAGGAAGATTACTTGCAGGTGAGATTTGTAATACATAAAAATTCATTGAATAATGTTAGAATTATGATATGCATAGACAGGAAGCTATGGGACTAGAGTGAGGAGAGCGGCAGGAACGAAGAACACACACGAATGTCCTCATTACATAATACATAAACAATCTCCCGTTTATTGTCACGCCAATAATGTACATTGCATAAGCTTGTTTGGTTATACACTGGACATCCGGACCGAGCGGGGAACATATACGTATCACATTTGCAGTACTTAAAGTCATAAGAACATAAGAAAGTAAGGAGTCTGCAATAGGCCGGTTGGCCTGTGCATGGCAGCTCCTGTCGAGAGTTACTACCACTCTCTGTCATCCATGAATCTATCCAGCCTCCTTTTGAAACTTTCCAGAGTTCCAGCACTTACTACAAAGTTGCTAAGCTTGTTCCACTCGTCCACCACCCTATTTGTGAACCAGTTTCTTCCTATCTCCCTCCTAAACCTAAACTTATCCAACTTGAATCCGTTGCTCCGAGTCCTAAACTGCTCGGATATTATAAGAACTTTATCTATATCTCCTTTATTGATTCCTTTCACCCTCTTAAATACTTCTATCATATCTCCCCGCACTCTTCGTCTTTCTAGGGAATGCAAGTTAAGTTTCTTTAACCTATCCTGATATGGAAGGTTTCTAAGTCCCGGAATCATTTTTGTCATTCTTCGCTGCACCGACTCTAGTGAATTTATATCCATTCTATAATAGGGCACCAGAACTGAACCGCATAATCGAGGTGCGGCCTGACTAGCGCAAGATATAGTTGCAATAAGACCTCTGCACTCTTGTTACTTACACTTCTAGATATAAAACCCAATACTCTGTTTGCCTTATTTCGAACATTAACGCACTGTTTTCTAGGCCGTAGGTCCGGGCTTACAAGTACCCCTAGGTCTCTTTCACAAGTCGACTTCTCTAGGTTGATGTTGTTAAGGCTGTATACATTATAAGTATTTGTTCTTCCAATATTAAGTACGCTGCACTTGCTGGTGTTGAATTTCATTTGCCATTTTTCAGACCACCCCTGCAGTTTATTTAGATCCTCCTGTAATGCATTTGCATCCTGCCCTGAATTAATTTGCCGCCCTATTTTGGTGTCATCCGCAAACTTGCTTATGTCACTGCTGATCCCAGTATCTAGATCGTTTATGTAGATTATGAACAAGAGTGGGCCTAGTACTGACCCCTGGGGAACCCCACTGGTTACACGGCCCCACTCAGATTTAACACCATCTACGCTGACCCTCTGCGTTCTATCGGTGAGCCATGATTTTATCCAATTTAAAACTTTCCCCTCGATACCATGAGCCTTAATTTTTCTCAGAAGCCTCTGATGCGGTACTCTGTCAAATGCTTTGCTAAAGTCTAAGTAAATAACATCGTAATTTTCGTCATTATCTACTACCTCGAAGACTTTCCTAAAAAACGTTAGCAGATTTGTTAGACAAGATTTTCCCTTTGTAAACCCATGTTGAGAGTCGTAGATTAATTTGCTTTTCTCTAGATGCGATCGGATGCTATCTGCTATAATTGATTCAAGAAATTTCCCCACTACTGACGTCAAACTGATCGGCCGGTAATTTGACGCTGATGCTCTGTCTCCCTTTTTGAATATGGGTACTACATTTGCCTGTTTCCACAACTCTGGCACAACTCCAGTGTCTAATGATTTTATAAATAAGTTTACGAGGGGTCCGCTAATCTGTTCCCTACACTCTTTTAAGACTCGAGGGAAAATTTCATCCGGCCCTGGGGATTTTGTATTCTTTAGTTTATTTATCTTCTTAAGAACATCGCTCCATATCAGGCAGCAAACCACCAGGCTGGTGGACCATGATTTCGCTCGACGACGGGCACGGGCACTCCGCTGGTTTGCCCGCCAATTTTGCCTGACAACGGGCATTTAGCTCGTGCCCACCGGGCACTGCTCGATCGTGTGGACGGGCCTTAACAGGAGTGGATCCAGGAATATGAAAAGGGGGTGGGGGGCACAGCTAACCCACCCTTTTTTTTTATCAATATCCTGGTCATTTTGAAGCCATGTGCACTTAATATTAAGAGATTCTGAAGTAAATAGTAATTACTTTTCACTACAAAAACGCCTGAGTACAATATTGCATTGAAAGAGTTTGAATTTTCTGATGAAAACACAGAGGGGGGGGGGGGGGACCCAGATCCCCCTGGCTTCGCCCCTAATGTATACATCTAGTGTATTATATGTAGATCGGAAGGATCATTTGAAGATTACTCACCTAGCTTATTTTGCCTTCAAATTATCCACCCTAATGTTAACCTAACCTCGCCCACCCTCCGGATAGCGTTTGGTATTTATTTATTTTTATAATTTTCTCCACTTATCGGCTAACTAGCTGTTCGGGCGGTTGGTTTATCCAACCGTAAACAGAAGAACAGTGTCTTAAAAGAGTGTAGGGAACAGATTAGCGGACCCCTCGTAAACTTATTTACAAAATCATTAGACACTGGAGTTGTGCCAGAGTTGTGGAAACAGGTAAATGTAGTACCCATATTCAAAAAGGGAGACAGAGCATCAGCGTCAAATTACCGGCCGATCAGTTTGACGTCAGTAGTGGGGAAATTTCTTGAATCAATTATAGCAGATGGCATCCGATCGCCTCTAGAGAAAAGCTGTTCTTGGTTTCATACACGTATTCTAGAAATTGTACATAGACAGATTATTTAGGTTATAATGTCCACGCTTAATTTTCTTATATCTGCGATCTACTGTTTTCAAGCCAGATTTTGTAATGAGAATGGTCTTTTTTGGTCTTTGTGCCAGTTAACATTGAAAAATTCTTTCAGTTTCAGAATTTCAGTGGGGAAGTGCAAGTTTGATTGGTTACTGGTACTGATTATCCTACGTTTTGCCCTCGTAAGTAAAATTACCTTAGGCCCGACAGGCCAAGAAACAGCTGTATTACCCTACGGTTGGCAACACTGCTATAATCTAGCACGTTTTATTCTACCTCCTTGTCGACTCTGAATGGATGGATTATTCAATAACTGATACTGAGCTTGAAAATTTTGATAAATATAGAATAAACAGAGATAATAAAATGTGTATTTTGTGTATTTTTGTTTTCTTGATGAAATATGGCATCATATGGGCTTCCTCTATTATACAGTACCTGTTAAATCAACTGTAAACCCATATGACAATTTTGCTTCGATGCATTTAATTATCTATCTATCTAAACTCGTTCTTATTTTTCGTTTGACGAATAGAGAACTTTTTTTTAATTAAGATAATCTAGGAGCCGTGATTGGCATACGCGTGTAGCACGTAGCACTGATTATATTATAATAATGTACATGTACATGAGACTATTGATAAAATGATAGAGATAGTTAGATTTTATGCTAGAATTTGCCTAAAATCCCCAAATCTTAGCCGTGTCTCCAATTCCCCTAAAAATAAAAATAAAAACTGCTAGATCTAGCAACAAAGCTGATGTGTTAGCGACACAAACATTTGATTACCTACTGAACACGTGGACGGCTGGTGGAGTAAACCTGCAGTTACAGTAAGAACGAGGAAACTGCAGCGGGCGTATTGGTCCATACTGGGCAGTCCCATTTACACCCGACCCCTATTGCTTATATATCCATCCAACCTATGTTTGAAGCTATCCAGCGTATTGGGTTAGTAGTAGAAAATTAAACTTTACTTTATACTCTTCACCACTGAGCGGGCTGTTAGCCGCTTGGTCACGTATCTGTTATGCACTGTACTAGGCTGAGGGCATGCACTTGCTCCAGAATGTATTTGTACCTGCGTCAGTATTGATCAAGCCTGTATACAAGATAAGAGCATAAGCATGGAGGAAACTGCAGCGAGCCTATTGACCCATACTGGGCAGTCCCATTTACACCCAACCCCTATTGTTCATATATCTATTCACCCTATGTTTGAAACTGTCCAGCGTATTTGAGTTAATAAGAACATAAGAAGTTAATTAATGCACAAAGGCAGACCATACCATACAGAAAACTCAGATCAAACAACAATGACCCTACATGGATAAATAATTATCTAAAAAGTATTATTGGACAAAGGAAGGCTATAGGTATAAGGTATTGGCTAGTTGGGTTAAGACCGAGATAAGAAAAGCAAAGAGGAATAATGAACTGAAGGTAGCAAGGGAAGCGAAGTCAAACCCCAAAGGATTCTTTTAACTGCGTTATCCAAGTTAGGTCTCACAAGCTCAAGATATAGTTTTAGGATGACCTTTCTAGTCTTGTAACTAATACTCCTTTGTATGAACCCAAGCACTTTATTAGCCTTGTTTTGAGGAAATACACATTGTTTACTTGGCTTAATATTCCTACTTATCATTGTTCCTAAATCTTTCTCACATTCTGATTTCTCTATAACATCGTTGTTCGTCTGATATCTGGTTTCTCTGTTTACATCTCCTAGACTAAGTACTTTACATTTGTCCACATTGAATTTCATCTGCCATTTTCAAGACAATTCAAAATTTTCTTTTTTAGATATTCCTGTAGTTTTGGAAGGTCTTCGTCAGATATAATTACACGCCCTATTTTAGTGTCATGAGCAAATTTACTTATGTTGCTGTCTACGCCGATATCTTTGTCGTTTATGTATATAATAAGTAATAATGGTCCAAGTACTGAGCCTTGGGGGTACTGTACTCCAAAAGACGTTACTCCAATCGGATATAGTGTCATTAATGCTCACGCGCTGTTTCATGTCCTGTAACCACGCACTAATCCATTTTAGAATATCTCCGCCAATGCCATGAGCCTCCGCTGTTCTTAAATAAATACTTAAAATTATACTAGAAAGTTGTCGTTTCTTTTAATATACCTAAAATACTGTATATCAAAACAATAAGTACGTATAGCAAAAATAAAGAAAATCGACAAACAACTTCTAGTGATAATGATTTCGTAAACATTTACCCATAGAACCAAATAAAACCTGACCTAACACACCCAACCTATGGGTATGTTAGGTCAGGTTCTATGTATTGTCGTTTCCAGTTTTGTGTTTAATATCATGCTAGTGGTGTGTACAACAAAATTCACCCAAATCGCACATTTCCTTCTGGTGATAATGGTTTAGTAAACCTTTACCAAATTATTGGTAAGTTTGGTAAGTATTTGTCCATTGGCTGTTCTCAGGATTTGGAATGAGAATAGGTGTTTTTTTTATGTTTTTCAGTGTGTTTTACTCATATCTGACCTTCATTTCTTGTGCAAATTAGCAGTTTTTGCAAAAAATTTTAATTTAAATTTTTAACAGAAACAGCTATTTGCACAAAAATGGGGGTCAAATTTGAGTAAACTACACAAAAGAAAACCTATTCTCATACCGAATGAACCAAATAACCTAACCTAGAAGGAGTATAACCTCTGGTAAACAAGGTGGGAACCTGAGGATAGCCAATGGACGAATATTAACCCTATGTTTTTCGACGGCTTGTGATGTGTTTCGAATGACTTTGATCTTACCTAACCTATCCTAACCGGTATTATTTTACTTGTCGCCACTAAACGAATCTCGGGAATTTTATAGTTGCAATTAGTAATTTTGACAATTCTAAGACACCTTTCTTCAATGGCATTCCTGGCGCAAATTACGTATAGTGAAATCTTTAACGTTTTATTATGTATGTTTGTATGTGGCGGTACACACCCAGAACATTGAATGACTGTGGAGTTCCCCAGTTAGGTTAAGTTAGGTTTTGTTGGTTAGGTTAGATTCCAAACTTTCTTTTATGGTTTTCGATGTGTTTTGAAAAATGTTTTAAGTTGATTTTTATATCAAATCTCTAGATTTTGAGATGGGGGGGGGCTTATTTCAGAAACTATTGATCAGTGCCAGAAATGAAGGTCAAATTCGTTCATAACACTTCAAAAACCATTGGAAAAACATAGTTTTACATCGATTTCGTATAGTGACAACGAGTGAAATTTTACCCCCTAACCTAACCTAGTCTAACCGGGGGCTTTGCCTCCCCCAATTTCTCCCATTGTGAAACAGTCATGGATGTAATTCTCCGAAGTTACAAACCGTGACTCATATATTGCAGTTATGTGTGTACTGTCCTGTATTATCTCAATTGGGGATAATGCTGCTTCATTGGGGGGGGGCTTTTGACCCTAACTGTACAGTGTATATTAATGGTGAAAGGTTTGCTGATCATTTAATACTAAAATAAGACACCTTTTCATTTCCAGGAAACAGAAGCAGATGTCACAGAAAAAGAAGTTGAATAAACTGCCCAAGATGGCAAAAAAAATGAAAAAAGATGATGCAGTTGGACTAACCTCTGAATTTCCTGTTGTAGAAGAAACTTTCAAGCCAAAAGTCAAGATACCTCTAACCAAAAAAGCAAACAATATTTTAGTAACACAGAAAATGAATAGCCCTTTAATAGGCAAAAGGAGTTCTGTGAATCTGAAAAGTAAACAAGATATATTTGGGCTAAAGAAAATGGACAGTATCACTGTAAGCTTCTGTAACAAATTAACCCCACAAAAGGGCGGTGTGTGTACGCTAAGGTATGTTGATAAATGTAAGGTAAGTACGTACTGTACTGTACAGTAATGAGAATCAATTAAGGTTAAAAATCTTAATTTTAATTATCACTCGCTAGAAATAGTTATGTAGAAGAAAAAATGATACTTGTTCACAGGAGTTATTGAATGCCCATGATGTCCTGGATAATTTATATTTAACCTCTTTCAGTACAGTATAACTACATTACAGTAGACCTTTGCCATTCGCAAGGGTTGGGTTCCAAGAAATGGCACGAATTGGCAGAACCTCGAATAGCAACTTATACTACCTTAGTGCACTACTGTATACCCATACCAAACAACTGACCAGCCGTGGCAGTACTCATCCCCTCTTTTAACTTATCTAATAAAAAAAACTTTCTTTGTCAGGGTCATCACTGGCTTCTGCCTTTTACATTTCACCCCACTAGCACTGACACTAGGCAGTCTTTTAAGGGCCATTTTACACAGAAACACTAAAGTTTTGAGAGTACAACATGAGATGCTGTGTGGGGTGACTCGTGCTGTGGGAAAGGCTTGCAAGCTAGCCACCATAGTCACCTTCTGCTTACCACGAATCGCAAACTAGTGAATAGCAAGGGTCTACTGTGTATACAGTATTTGGCCTTCCAAGTAAAAAATAATTTATATTAATTTGTTTTTAAGATTTTATCTACTGTACTCGTGTTTTAAATAATTAAGATACAGTACAGGTAATATATATACAGTATATATATATATATATATATATATATATATATATATATATATATATATATATATATATATATATATATATATATATATATATATATATATATATATATATATATATATATATATATATATATATATATATATATATATATATATATATATATATATATATATATATATATATATATATACACACACTCCACTCCTCGACTTACAACCACCTGGACATATGACCGCCTCAGTCGTACCAAAAAATTTTCAAATTACTGTACATATTTTCGAGTCCCAACGTTAGTGATTGCGCTGTATACTGACAAGATTTTCGTTTGTAATTCCCTTTAAAATGGCTGGCATGCTTAAAAGTGAGAGTTTTGTGGTGCTGAGAAGAAAAAGAGACACTCAATTTAGATTATCTATATTATTTTCGCATTTTCGACTTACGACCTGGATTTGGGTCCATAACCCCGTCGTAAGTCGAGGAGTGGCTATATATATATATATATATATATATATATATATATATATATATATATATATATATATATATATATATATATATATATATATATATATATATATATATATATATATATATATATATATATATATATATAGTATATATATATATATATATATATATATATATATATATATATATATATATATATATATATATATATATATATATATATATATATATATATATATATATATATATATATATATATATATATATATATATATATATATATATATTGAGCTTACAAAATTTGTAATACTGTTTATATTTTGTAACAACAAAACTTAAGAGGGGTACAAATTATTTTATTTTTTTTACTTTATATATGTATATTGCAAATTTCGTAAGCTTAAGAAGACAGCATCTGCTGGCAAGTACAGTACTGTATACAGTTATATTGTACTATACAGTACTGTAGTATATTTTATTTACTTACAATATATTTATGTGTACAGGTGCTTGCATTAATAAATACTGTACTGTACAGCTGTGTCTGTTGGACTGCAGTTAAGCTGCTCTGTGTGAGATGCACAGTTTAGACTCTCAGCAAACTTTCACCAGTACTTGGAAATCCTTCAAACCCGGAAACGCTCTGCATTAATTATTCGGCCTAACAGAGAGATTACTGTATTTTAGAATATAGTGCATTTTTTCCTTTTTTAAGAAATTTTAGTTATGCTTTGCAAATTTTGATAATGACTTGGTTATCATGTGGTCTATCTTTGAGTATCAACTTGTGAGGTTAAAACATGGGTTAGTGAAATGGTCTTGGTGTTCAAGTCTTGTCGAGCATCATGCAGGTCCAGGGATCACTGTACTGTACTGCAGTTAACTGTTTGTATTCTAGGGATCTGTAAAGGAACAAATTATTTCTGAATACAGTGCAGGGTATACTCCCACCCCCCTTTTAATGTATTTGGATGTACAGTACTGTACAGTATTCATAAAAGTGCATACTGTACTGAAAAGTGTATACTGTACTGTATTATTATTATTATTTCCTCCACTTTTTTTCAGGAACATCGTTGTTTACTGCAGAAGTAAAACTTCAGCTGAAAAGTTAAAAGTTGATCTGCAAAATTTCAATTCAGAGCATGGGTCAACATTCAACATTTATTCCAAATTCAACACTAAGCGTTTCATGTAAGCATTATATGTAACTGAAAAATATCTACAGGTAATTATATCTTTTCTAGTTGTATAGTGGAAGTGCATATCATGAGGAACTATCTGTACTTGATCAGCAAGGAAATACAGTGCAGTAAATAATTAAATTTATATTTGTACATAGAGTACTGTACTATCCCAGGAGTCGGTACCTATACTGTACAGTACATAAGGGGTTGCAGGTGCATGAAAGACTTGTGTTTAAAAAAAGGAGGGGTGTAACTGCAGCATGTTGTGGTACACTTGGGTAGCATATGGCCACTGTTTGGTATGAGAGGGCTTAAACTGGTTCACTACATAACTTGAGTTTCATTGCTTGTTATGTACACTCTTAAGACTAAAGTCGTGGACAGCCACACGGAATCTACACGAGTGACCTCCAGCAATGAGGAAAATCATAAGTTAAAATTTTTATATGCTATAAATAAAATAAGTTTAGTAAGTTTAAAAATTTAAATAAAATAAATTCAAACAATTTAAAAATCACATGTAATTAAGTAAGTACCCCTATTGCAGTTAAAAATTTCTGTATTACCAGAGGTCACTAATGTAGGTTCTGTGCAGCTGTCCAGAAATTTAGTCCTAGAGTGTATCTGTGCCAACAAATTTAAATATAATAGAAACCGTATTGATTACGAATTGCTACTCACAATCAGCTAGATCAAAACCAGTTCACAGAGGACAGAAAAAAAATATTTGAGTAAATTCAAATTATTAATGTAGTTTAACCCTTTAACTGCTATTCCCCAGACCAGACTGTTGCGGTTTACTGTAAACATTTGCGTTTTGGTAGTACGTACTGTACTTGCTATTCTTGCAGCATTTGTGGGCAAATTGTCTTAATTTTCCACTTCATTCTAGCATACTATGGGTGCTAAATATCTCCAGCCATAATAACTAACCTGGGAGGAACTTTCCATGCTCCCTCAAGGCCATAACTCTCACTTGCTCTTAGACAATGTCTGAATCAATACACTTATTACTGCTGTCCCAATTTTGGTGTAAGTTTATATCTGGGAAAATGTTTCAAGGATTTTAATTCTACTATTTACTAATAATTCTAGTATTTACTGATTAAGAAAGGAACAGTGTAAGTGCATAAAATAGAACATAAGAGAGACAATACAAATTTTTGAACTGAAATGTATTATTGTGTGTAAAAGTTGTTGGCAATGCTACAGTGCTGCCAGCCATAACTACGACAGTCTAGGCCAGCCATCACAAGTCTTTCTCCCATAAGTTTTTTTTCTTCATAATTTGTGTTTTTATATTACAGTATATGGAAGTAATCTAGAAATTTAAAAACAAAATCATATGCTTGTGGAGGGCACTTTTCCAGAGTACATTTAGCAGCTAGAAGGTTAATAAGTGTGTAGCGCATATCTAATTATTATTCTCTTATACTGTATTTATTAATGCTGATTTCTATGACTTTTCAGATTATATGTGACTGGCTTAGCATCAACTGTGACTGACAAAGACCTTATGAACTCTTTTGTCAAAGCCAAAAGTGTCCACATAGCACAAACTTATAAAGGAAACAAGCCATTCAGGTAAGAGTATTTACTGTTGTTCTTAGTGAGTGAATGCATTACCACAATAGCAGTTTGCAATTTATAAAACTCCTTGCCAATGTACTGTATATATCTTAAATGATGTGCACGCATCATGTGAAGCAAAGCAAAACAAAAATCATATGTTGGTCAACACTTCCACCAAAGATTATTTGTAAGTTATTGTAGTTTTGAACTATTTAAATATGCTAGAATACTTCACAGTTGCTGTGCCGTAGGCTATATGAATAGAAAAAATGGACAGCACAAATCTTTACCATTTTATTGCATGCCAAAGGTTGAAAAATGAAGATGTGTTGCTTGGATCACTTTCCCCCATTAGGGGGATTAGGCCCAAGCAAAATGCAGGGCCTAATTGAATGTCTAATTGAATGTTAAATCCTGGACATGACTCCACACAAAATAGTCATAAGCTTCAAGTGATTTGTAGGCTTCCATCTACTTTTTTGTAAACACACAAGGATTATCCACCAGATATTCAGTCACGTCTCTCCATGAAATGTTGAGAACCTTCGTGATATCTTTCTACCACTCCCTCTCAGAGATGGCGATTGGATTTGGCAACCTCTCTCCACTTTATTGCAGGATTAACTTTGATAAATAGTTCAATTTACCTGCATTCCCAAGGTTAAGACAATATTTACAATTTATTCAACTCAACTGCATTTATGACAGTGTATATCTTACAGTAACATGCTTTAGGCCACATTTTTTGCCTCACACAATGCATGTGCACATCGTTTACCTCCAGCTGTTACATCATGCAGCAACAGGTCTATAGCCTGATGCTTGGCTCAAGTGACTCAAGTATGGTTAGACAAGCCTACTGGTTGAAATACAGGTTTCTATAATTGTGGCTCTGGTACAAAGAATCATTTCTAAGTCAATCCCATTTGTTCCAGTCACCTTAAGGAAGGATGTGGGTTTGTCTAACATTGTGAATAACGTAACTTAGATACCAATGTACTGTATATTAACCAAACTTTGGTATGTCACAGAAAGAGCTTTGTGCACTTTTATAACCACCATAATGTAATCTGTTTTCATTATTCGGGGTTATGTTCCCTGAACTTTGATGTGAAGTGGATTTGGCAACCATGATTCGCAAACAGTTGTTGTTTATTCATAAAAATGTTTTGTTAAATAAGATGGAATATTTTGTAAAGGTGTTTTTTAAAAGCTATGTATATTAACAAACAACTCTCCAAATTATTATCATAAATAGTTTACTTTGAAAACAATGGGAAGAAAATTGTAAAAGTATCCTTCAAAAGGCTAATCCAGAATTGAATTAGCTACAAATACAGAAATATCTCCTATAGCTGGAATCTTCCATCCCTGGAACTTTCCAATATACAGTGAACCCTCACTTTACGCGGTTAATTCAACCCACGGCAGCCCGCGTAAAGTGAACAACATAACATATGGGATTAATTGAAATAGAGACCGGGCCGACCCCCAAACTCCACTTTTTCAGACACAATACCTACGTTGTAGTAAAAATAACTTCTTAATTTTTTGATGGTATGCACACACAATTAATAATTAAGAGAAATATCAATAATATTAGGTTTTTTAACACTTACATTCGTAGAAAAGATGGCTGGGCACACGGGGATGGGGGGTTGGTTCCGAGGCAGAGGGCAGATTATTGGCCTTCACCTGTATCACTTGTATCAATTGTATCACTATCCACCACAGGCTTGCAGGGCCTCTTTGTCAAACCCCTCAAAGTCCATATAAGTCCATATCCTCACTATCATTATCACTATCACTGACTTGGGCCGGCTGTGGTGGGTGGCGGGTGAAGAACTCGGTAATGTTTTGATGACTGGGTGACCTTGTGCGCACCCTGCTCGCGCCGCTTACACAACATGGTGGGAGGTTTGGATCCAAAAATAGCACAGCTCGCCAGCCGCTCGCCAGCCGCTCTCCGCGTAAAGGGGTACACGCACCGCGGAATGTGAGCATTCCAGTTTCGGCAGGGTACTGCGTAAACGTGGAAACACGGAATGTGGGACTGCGTAAATTCAACCAAAAAGGTAGAAAAGTACACTTACATTGAGGTGTGTATGTAGAAGGCTCCTGGATGATGATGATGGTAATTAGAATGGGGGTGGAGGAGAAGGAATAAGAGAAGGCATTGGGGTGGAAGAGAAGTCACCACATGGTGCCATTTCACCCATAAAATTTTAGTTCTCTTGGTGTAATTCAAGATTATTTTCTTTAAATCAACACTACACTGCATTATATATTGTCAATATGTAAAATAAATTTCAAAATGACCAATAATTTGCTTGCAAACAGAAAAAAAGCATTTAGTTGAAGAGAGTCTCAATCAAGATGTTACCTCCACTGAAAAGACACAAAGACTGACGCCTGTATGCTGTGTTGGCAGGCTGGATGGCGTGCCACAAACTAGTGACCCTACCTTCAATTATGTTCAATAATTGTTAAAATGACTAAAAAAATTAATATTAAACCTTTAAAATTTTTGATTAGTATAAACTTCTTGATATTTGCTAAAATGGTAAGGAATTTAAGCCCTAGAACCGATTACTGTATTGGCGGACTAATACTACAGCTGGTGGACCGCCAAATGCAAGCGAAAACATGTTCAGGTTGGCTCGTAAGAAACTCGTTAATCAAGGGATTGTTCGTTAACCGAAGTTAAGAATCTTATGGAAGGTAACTCGTTAACCGAGGGACCACTGTATTTTTTATTAAAATTTGTATTTACTGTGAATAATTATTATTATTACTATAACTATTACATTTTTGCCCCCCAGGCCCCGATGTGGTCAGTGACCTGTGCCCGGGTGGGCTAATACCCGTAAAAAAAAAGACCCACAAAACAAAATTTCAGTTTTCAGAGCTTTTCGGTTTTCGGATAAAGGGTTGTCAACCTGTACCAGCATACACTTAGGGTAACCTACAATAACATGGTAAACATCACTTGTATCACATACTAGTCATTTAGATGTGTTAATAGATGATAAGGATAATAAATTGGGGTAAATAATTACAAAAAGTAGAGAGAATTAATTACACACAGATATTGGCTGTTTAAAACTGAGGTGTAGGCCACCAAGGTGCGACTAAAAGCAAAACAAAGTGGTCAGTCAAACCTTCCAGTTTCTAAACTAATCGGGTTAAAAAATACCTGGTTTCCTGGAAGCCAGATAAATGTTCTGGTATCTATTGAGTGTTTTCAGTTTCAAGTACTGTACTGTACATTATACCATTCTTTTTTCAGAATTGGCCACATATTTTTTACTAATGAAGATGACGTTGATGAAGAATTGGCTGTGAAAAACCGTCGTATCAATGATGCATATGTCCATGTTACAAAAGATAGTTCTACAATCCGAAAGAGACCACTTGCCCAAGGTGTAGACAGTTCACCTGCAAAAAGAGCAAAAGTATGTACTGTAATGACTACTTTCTAGCTAAATCAGCTAGCCCTGTAACTACTAATACAGTACTCACTCCCAGAGAAAACTTTTCTAACTTGTGTTGACACGCGTAAGGTGTTAACCCCAAGATTTCCAGGAATCCTCACCTTAGGTGACTGAGCTATCTTCAAGAAATATTTACAGTAAAAATAGAAAGCCAGAGATGGTGTTCTGTTGTAGTTCAAATGTACTGGAGTCCCTATGAATAGAAGGTAACTGATGTAACCTGTTTTAGCTTATATCATGTACAGTAAATACAGTCTTTCTATTGAAACTTAGAATAGTAGTTAATAGAGGGGGCAGGATATACACTTAACTCCCCTTTAATTATAACTGGTCTTTTGTTTATTGAAAGTGCCAATTTTTTAATGAAATCACTAGCCCTCAAAACACTATAAAGTCAAGGACCTGAGAATAGGAAAATAAAAAATCACAAATACATCGTATATCCTTTAGTTGTAACACTTCCTAAACCCTGTAATTCTCCATCACCATATGTACAATCTGGGTATTGTATAGGAAAAGGATAAGGCAGCAAATGAACATTCCCATACTGCTCTAGGCTCCTCAAGGTGTGAGGGATCATCACTAGTACACTACTATGCAAAATCATTTCAGAATTGTGGTCAGAGGATTTAGTAGGTTGAACAAATACTTAGGATCATCAAACATAAGTGTCTTAAAAGTCATTAGATTAGTCAAAGTTTGAACTCTATCGTAGCTTTAATTGGTAGCCAGTGCAATTCGATCAAGAAGGGGTAGTGGGCGTCCTCGGTGGGAGAACTTTCTTCAGTAGATAATTAGGTAGGTGATCCATGAAAAGTTATCCAAGTGAATGCTAACAAATCCACCTATACCCTTTTTATCATGAAATTCCCACCAGTATGTGTGTATATGCAGTATATGATTTTGATATACAATATGTTGGTACAGTATATCTTTACATAATCTGTGTTTTTATTTGTCTCATATCTGTTGTTAACCTTAAAGCAAACATCATTTGATCCATTTCTTACAACTCCTAAGTGAGAAGGGTTACCCTAACCAAGGGCATCGATGTGACTTGTGGCTAACTCAAAAAGTCTTCTACAGCACAAAAACACTTCCAGTGTTGCCTGGCACAGCATTATTGTATCTAATTTACCTAATGGCCACCTCCACCTAGATGGAAAGAGGCTAGTGGCCTATGTAGGATCCCCCAGTTGTTCTTGATAGTCTTGTTAATGGCTATGAACCCATGTCACTAATTAAGAGGTCTAGAGCACTATCAAGTGGCACTGTGACACCTCTCGTCATTGTTATAAACATTGATTTGTATTTATACAATACAGTACTGTATATATGTATATTGTTTTTAATCTTTACAGCTTGATGTAGAGAAGAAAAAAGGGGGTGATGAAGAAGACAGTGATGAGGAAGAGAACAGTGATGATGACGAGAACAATGATGATGAAGAGGACAGTGATGATGAAGAGGACAGTGATGATGAAGAGGACAGTGATGATGAAGAGGACAATGATGATGAAGAGGATAGTGATGGTGAAGAAGACAGTGATGATGAAGAGGACAATGATGATGAAGAGGATAAGGATGTTTAAGAGGATGTTGGTGAGTGGGAATTTGTGCTGAAGAAGTAGATGATGAAGAGGACAATGAAAAATGTTGACCAAGATGTTGAGGCTAAAACTGAAAAAGGAAAAGTGAAAGATGACATTGAGGAGTTGATAATGAGATAAGAAAGGTAAAGGAAGAGAAGAGTGAAATGGATGAAAACAAAATTAATATGAGGTTCTGTTGCATTGTTTTGACATACTGGTGGACCCAGAACCTCAGTGACTTGAGGGACGAAAAAATAAGAATAAAAATAAAACAAAAATAAAAAGGGAAAAGGTTATATTAATCTACACCACAAAGATGCTGAAGTCTTTAAATGTACCCAAACCACCAAATGCATTAAAGTGAATGATGGTCAGAATAACAATAAATGCGAAATACATGTCTTGGGTTATAATGGTATTAATAACCCCCAAAATTTGTACACTAGACTTGGTGATGAAAGTGCTAAAAGAAGGGTGTTCAACAATTTTGATCAATTTGTATATTGGATAGTTTATCAACCACTTTACATATACAGTACTGTACTTTTAAAATAACTCCAAATATATTCAGGTCAAAGTTAAAAGATATAAAAAACAAGTAACTTTTACAAGATTCATATTACATTATAAGATAATTTCGTAAACAAAGTTTCATGAGTTGAAATGTCTCGGTTCTACCAGTTTAGAATCGCTGCTTCTTTTTCCGATCAAAGAACTTGAGCAATGTTTGGTGTGATAAGTACTTGGATGGGTAACTGACTGGCCCTAAGAACACCAGGTGCTGCTGGCATATGGTAGTTTTACCTTAAATGGATATACTTAGCTACATGTTTTACTTTTCTTGGCTGGACAAATGGTCATAAAACATTGATCAGGAGTCATCTTGATATTTATTTTCATCCCATTGGGTTAGGTTTAGTTAGATTGGTTAGGTTAACTTCATCCACCCTAACCTAATCCAACCTTATCAGCCTACCTGAACCTAATCTGCTAGAGGAAAAAATAAACATAGTATGTCATGTGACTCACAACTGGCAATTATAAATTCTAAATAAAAAAAATAGTTCCACCCCTTTGGCCCTTAGTCTGGTGTTTGCTAAGAGACTTCTCTGAAAATAATTACTTATTTGCGATGCTACTTTCTTAGCTATTTAAATGGTTGATTTTGATTCAGGGAACTGTATTAATAATGGTGTCACATTCACTCGGTATAGGTTTTTCAACTGAATTTAAAAACAGAAAGTGGTTGCATGTTTCATAACTATTACAGTGTGCAGTTAAGTTAGCATATATCAGACTGAAACATATTGGCATCACTTTTTTGACAAGTAGATGTCCTCTGGAACTGTCTTTGTTAAAAATGAGAGGGTTTTCAAATCCAAGATCTGAATCACAATAGTGGGGAACAAACACCAAAACCACTGTATTCATCTAAACTAATAAGGAGTATGGTGGCCATGCTAGAACATTTAGCCCCTGCTTGCACCAGCCATCATAGGATGGTTGAGTTTGACCAGCATAGTGTGTTAGTACCAGAGAGCATTATATGCAATTTTATGAGGGGAACATATACTATGAAACAACCTTGCAAAGGAATGTCAACAAGGTTTTACATCGGGATGCTCTTGCTTACCGCAAGATCCAAGAGTGTGATGGCAATATTGATAATATACAGTATATCTATACTTTGTCAAGGCTTTTGCACTGTACCTCATAAAAGGGTGAAATTAAACTGGAACTATGAAATTTGGGGGAATCATCCTAGCATGGATCAGAGAATTTCTTGGTGAACGCAAGCAGTGTTGTGTGTGGTGATTAATGGTATGAAATCAGTACGTGTACCCATGACGTCTCCCTACAGTGAATTGCATGGACTTGTAACTGCAGTTGATCTCCTTCAGAGGAGATTAAATGATGTTATTATATGTGATTCTCAATCTGCCCTCCAGGTCCTCTCTTCTCCTAAGCCTAGATGTTTCCCTTTAATTCAACATATGTTATGTCTATTAGCATTACCCCATGAGAATTCTCCTGTCATACATTTTTTGTGGATTTCATTTCTTGTTGCAATAACAATCAGTGACACTGTTGACCTCGCTAAAAGTGCCCTCCCTGGTGCTGGGGCTACACCCTCCTTCCTCTGATACCGAAAGAGAATATGTTACCACTCTTCTCGCATTAGGTTAGGATACAGAATTATCTGGCAAGTATCTGAGGCGGGGGACGACCCACACTTCTCTTCCTGTCTGACAACTGACAAGCGCTATGCGCTGGGTCGGTTTGGTTGCAGCTATTAGGATACAATGACTGGCAACACCACCTCAGTTGGTTCCTCACTTAGTCAAGTGCCAGTGGCCCACCTTTAGAGTGCATTAGAACCTAGAGGTGGCTCATGTTAAATTATTGAAAATATACAAATTCACTCAACCCCATCCCTCCTTTAGCACTCACAGGTGCAGACGTCTTGACACTTGAGTCAAACACGGGCAGTTACAGTTTGGACAAAAGTGTAACGTAGTGGATTTTACATTGGAGAGTAGGTGATCATATGTGATTACAGGGTACCTGGTGCTTTATTTCACTGACTCTTAGACACTTTGCCATCTTTTCCAGCTTGTTGTTAAGTGTGTGAAGAGGATAAATTACTTTATAAAGTAAAGCAAAGAAGGGCAACTATATTGTCTGCACTAAGGCACCTCAGAGATCCAAAGAGATTAGAACACCTGCATCATGCTTGGCTTATACAGTAATATAAGTGGGCAAGGGGTTGACTTAAAAGAAGTTTTTAAGCACCTCGTAAGACAACTCGAGTGATCATACCTGGAAACAGTGGATGTTTGCCTCACTAGGGGTCACAGGTTCAGGATGAAGAAGCTACATGTTCATGGATGCAGAAAGGGGGGTGCTTCAGCACTCCAATATTTTTGGTATAAGGTGCTGTACACTGCAGCACAGAGTATCTAGGACACCCAGCTTAATATTCAGCACCCCTTGGTAGAATTTGGTTCCCACAGTACTATGCAGTACAAGTTCAGATAATCATCAGGGCAAACTGTTTTGGATTGAGAGTTGTGAACTTTTGGAGCAATCTGCCAGATGGTAATTTATGAGGAAACTGCTACCACCAGAAAAAGTTCATGGATTTCCTTTGTTTTTTAATTGTCGTTTTCCTATATCTAAGTTCATAAATAACTTGTTACTGGGCAGGGCATGAAAGAAGAGCGTACAGATACATTGGGGCCAGTGCAAGTGTGTGCCCACTGCCCATTACTTGCTAAAGAGTGCAAATTGTAATGTGACGGACACTCAAGTGGCTAACAGACCGATCAGTGGGAAGACAGGATAAAGTAAGTGTGAGTGTTGTACTGTGGTTTCATTGTACTGTATGTGTGTGTTTTTAAATGTGTGTGTTTGTGCATTGCACATTTTGTGTGACTTATTGGTGTGAATCCATCAGTGTGTGCTCCTACAGGGTAAACTACAATAATGAATACAGTGCTCCCCCTATTTACGCGGATTTTAACTGTGCGGAACCCAACTCCGCTCATTAATGCCATGCAACCAAAATTCTAAAGTACGTGGGGGCCCCAAGTACACGGACGTAAATTTCCGTGCAGCACGGCCGAGTGAGGAAGTGAACAGAGGAGATGGCTGTTGATTGGCTGAGTGGCCACTACCAACCAATAAGAGAGGTGCCCTCTGGTGAAGACGTGCTGGGTGAGTTGCAAGGGGTTACTTTTACTTTTATCCTCTTCACCACTGATCAGCTCGTTAGCCGCTTGTACTGTTCGCAAGTACTGGGCATGCACCGGCTCCTGAATGTGCCTGAACCTGCTCCAGTGTTGGTCAAGTCTTGTCTTGAAAGAGCTCACACTCGGTGCCGTCACAACACTTTCTGGTAGATTGTTCTAAGAGTTCACAACTCTCACTCCGAAAAAGTTTGCCCTCACAGTTTTCTGGACTTGCGGCTTCTTCAATCTTGAGCTGTGACCCCTTGTGCCCTTTTGGGGCGAGCGTCCGCCAGCTCCAAGTAAGGACACTCGACTGAGTAGTGCCCCTTGAGATGCTTATACACCTCATTTAGGCCACCCCTTGCCCGTCTGTAGTATAAGCTAGGCAAGTTCAGGTGCTCCAATCTCTCAGGGCAGCTGAGGTGCCGAAGGGCAGGCACCAGTCTGGTGGCCGTCCTTTGAACATTTTCAACCAACTGACAGTCCCTAGCATATCTCGGGGACCAGACGGGGTGACAGTACTCCAGATGGGGAAGCACTTCACTCTAGAACAGGGGTCACCAAACTACGGCCTGCGGGCCGGATCCCAAGTCCTTCCCCGGCTCGTGGTAGCTCCGCCTACGCTCTGACGTTACCAGAGCTTTCGTTCTGGCTTGCAAGTATTGAACAGAATGATTATGCGGCCCGCGCTCGTCATTCTTTCAGTTATCCAGCCCACTGTGAAAAAAGTTTGGTGACCCCTGCTCTAGAAGATCGTTACGAGGGACGGACCGTCTAGATATCTGAATGAACCAATACTTTATTTGCCTGATTTACCTTCTTGCAATGGCCCAAGAACTTCAGCTCATTGTCAACATACACACCTAGGTCCTTCTCACATTCAGTCTCAAATAGTTCAGTTTCTTCGTCCCGTTGGGACATATGATACGCCTCCTTACCGTTGGTACGCCCCAAGTGCATCCTCTTACTTTTCGTAACATTGAATCTCAGCAGCCACTTCTTCGACCATTCTTGGAGCCCACAGAGGTCCTTCTGCAGCTCTTCACAATGCGCTTGGTTCTTGATTTCCCGAAATAGCTTGGCGTCATCGGCAAACATTTGTATTGAGGAGTGTACAACGTCAGGCATGTCATTTATGAAACAAACAAACAACAGCGGGCCCTGTGGTACCCCGCTTGTGACAGGTACAGATGATGATTTCGTGGACGAAATGCTGGATGCTGGAGAAGCTGGGCCAACTGTTGCGGAGATTGTGGAAGAATTAGAGAGATTGGAGGACATCAAGGATAAAGAGGTGGAGGCACCAAGAGTTAATGCTCAAGGATGCAGCAAAGATCTTGGAAATAACCGAGACCCTCAGGGCAAAGTTAATGGAGGCCAACCCACACCTGGCAGAAAGTGAGTCACAGGTGCTGGCCTTAAATAGACCTCTACACAAGCCATATTAATCAGCTATGCCAGTCTACCATCACACGTTTCTTGGCCAGTCTACAGCTGCATCTCTGCAGCTTGCCAAGTCTCCCTGCAGCTTTGTCAAGCTCTCCTGCAGCTCCGGCAAGTCCTTCTGCAGCTTAACCTGGCCCCTCTGCAGTTAAGCCAGGCCCCTATGCGTCTGATGAGTTTGAGGGGTTTTAGCACAACCCCAAGCCTCGGAAACCGTCACTCAAGCTGGCCTTCCCACGACCACTAGGTATGTTTATTCTTATTTAAGGGCTTATTTCTGTTTTATTATTCACCTTATATAACTAAAGTACACATATTTAACGGGATAACGTTCATAGAGGTTATGTGCAGAAAAAGTGCTTTGAAAGACCAGTTTTGGGTTCATGGTGTGTATCTGGAGGGGTCCCGGAACCAATTGCGTTTTTTTGTTTCCATTAGTTTAAAGTACCCAAGTACTGTACACAGTTCCCAAGTACACACCGATCTATTGAGACCAATTACCCACGCACTTGGGGAGAGCACTGTAATAACATGCAAGTCCCACCGACCCTGATTTTGAAGCTACCACAATCTTAGTGGGAGTGGATCTGTTGATGGTTTTATAAACAGTTGGAGAAATCATTGTAAAAATACTCATAGAAATATTAATATTAAAATGAAACTTATCATCATTTTTCAATTCGTGTCACATTATGATAAGGGAAAACGAGCCATTACCTATGACGCCACCTGTGTATGACCGTCCTTTAGTTGTGAAGAAAACTCGGCCCAAGAGTTACGTGGTTTCAGTTTCACTTGAGATTTTGGTACTTATTTTTTCTGTACAGGCCTTGACACCTTGACTCAAGTAAGAGGTAAAGTGATTGACTGATTTCCTGAAGTGCCAGTGTGTCCAAATAAACAAGTGTTACAGTTATTTGTTATTGTTTTTTAGAAATTGAAAACGAAAGGCTATTGTATATTAAAGCTTTTAATTAGATATTAGTTGGATTATTGAATGTTGTTGACAGATTATAAGACATACAATGCTAGTTCGAGTTGATGAAGTAGAAGTAAAGTAAATGTAATTGCACATAATTATGGGAATTTCACTTATTGCCACTAAACGAATCTCGAGAGAATTTTATAGTTGCACTCGGCAATTTTGAAAATTCTAAGACACTTTTCTTCAATTACATTTCTGGCGCAAATTAAGTATAAGCGAGATATTTAACATTTTGTATATGAAAATTAACTTTGCACTTGTTGCCAGTAAACTAATCCCGTAAATTTTATAGTTGGAAATTATTAGTGACAATGTTATCTTTTGGGGAAGTGTTTTTTTTTATGACATGTACTATGCTAGTTTCGGCGAGCCATGTCAGAGGGAGTGCTTAGTGCACGGGTCGTCTGAATCGCATTACCATGACCCAACTCTGAAAAAAATAGCGTTTTCCCAATAGGGGGAATATGTTAAATACCTGTACTGACAACATTATATGACCACTTGGGGGGTGGGGGGGTTAGGTTAGGTTAAATAAGGAAAACATTATTTTTTATTTTTTCCCCAGAAAAAATTACCTCCAATAAAAAAAAGCAGCAAAATTCATGCCCCCCCCCAAAAAAAAATTTCTTTGCTGGCGAAATCGCTCACAGCACGTAAGAAAACGTTCACTGGAATCAGTAATTTTAACAATTCTACGATACTTTTCTTTAATGGCATTTCTGTTGCAAATTACGTTTAAGCGAGATAATAAAATTTGTATTATGTTCGTACATGGTGGTACACCCAGAACATCGAATGGATGTGGAGCTCCCCAGTTAGGTTAGGCTAAGTTAGGTAGGTTTGTGTGGTTAGGGTTTTGTTGTTCCGATGTGTTTGGAACACTTTTTTACCTTGATTTTTAGATTAATATTGATGACTGACCCGCGGACGAGTTATTTATTTTGCTGTTTATTTTCTTAATTTTTTTTCATCAGTTCTCTTATGATAACCATTTCTTGTGAAATGCTTTGTTTGGTAGATAATTAGGCCCTTGGCGCACAATACTTTGTCTTCTTGGTAATGCGGCGGTGACGTCTCATCCCAGGATGTTAATAGCTATAACAAGGTTGGTGGTCTACTTACTTTACTCAGTCGGGCGTTACAGTAGTCACTTAAAGGGATCACGTGATTTTAAAGATATTCCATCTGCTACTGGGGGCCCTTTGTTTTAATGTATTAGTTAGGAAGGGTAGTGGAAAGAGATATCTGCCCTTTAAAGTTTATTCAGCAAAGATGTGTAATGAAGTCACCTGTGCTCGTCCTACTTCTAACTACATACCGTGGGGGAAAAGGAAGCTCACTATACACCCGCAAAATTACAGGAAAACATTGGGTACACATTACCGAGCCTCCAGTATCGACGGTCGCCGGGCCACCCAGGAACCTCACACTAACACTTCCACAGCCAAACTGTCTGTCGTTTTCTAACACTGCCTATCTTCTTGTCAAACAGGCCTTTTCAGTCTCCAGAGTAGGGTTTTTTTCAAGGGTCCTTATGTTCTGTTACGGCACACTGTATGGGTGGGGCTGTCTCCATGGCACCCCATATAGGTTTTCATGTTATTCTTTGAGGCTGTAACTAATTGCAACCCTCCGGTCCTGACAAGTGCCATGAACATTGTAACGGTCGTTCACATGGGTGTATTGCCGGCCTGTGTGGTTGTCCTGTTTATTACACGGCCAATCATATTGACGTATTTCAAAACACTCCGCTTCCCGGGCTGGATCATTTCCAATGCACAGTGTATGTTATGAACCGTTCGGTATGGGGGGCTGCTCGCACATCCACAAAAAAAATTAAAATTACACCATATCATAGTAAGTTCTTTCTGTTTAATATACTGGGCCCCAGCTAGGAAGTTAGGCAAGGTTAGGTAGGCTTGTGTGGTTAGGTTGGTGAGGTCTTCTAACAATGCTTCTGCTGCTTGTTTTTCATATCAACTAAGGTTAGTGTTATCGCCGCCCTCGTATGCTGCTACCTCAGACCCCCATCTGGCCGTGCAACGTGTGATCTCGCCAGATGTTTGTGGACGCACAACAAGTTTTTCGTTGTCATGTCCACAGATAGGGGCTTGGGATGCCTCTGGCTGACAGTATCGTCCAGCCCCTTTGAGTGTACACATACTAGCTATAACCAGGATAAGCCCGCATACGTTTTGACCATATCAATCAATCAATAAACGTTAAATGAGTCCACATTGCAGGTTTTTCTCACCCTTAAGACCTGACGTCATCTAACTGTCGAACCAATCGGCAGTTAAAGTTAGGTTAGGTTTAATTTAGAAATAATCACTTTTCAACACGTTTGCACAAACTGTGACAGTGTCCATCTATAAAACACAGTGAGAGTAATCGCTTTCTACAAAAAAATTGGCCGTGGGTCAGTCGTCAATAATTCCCGAATTTTAAAGCAAATCTCTTGATTCTGAGATAGGAGGGTGGGAGCTTTTCTCAGAAACTATTGATTTGTGTCAGAAATGAAGGTCAAATTCGTTCATAATGCATCAAAAACCATAGGAAATACAGTATATAGTTTTTACTTTAATTTCGTATAGTGGATATTTTAACATAAGAACATAAGAAAATAAGGAGTCTGCAATAGGCCGGTTGGCCTGTGCATGGCAGCTCCTGTCGAGAGTTACTACCACTCTCTATTATCCATGAATCTATCTAGCCTCCTTTTGAAACTTTCCAGAGTTCCCGCACTTACTACAAAGTTGCTAAGCTTGTTCCACTCGTCCACCACCCTATTTGTGAACCAGTTTCTTCCTATCTCCCTCCTAAACCTAAACTTATCCAACTTGAATGCGTTGCTAGTCTTGCTCGTATATTATAAGAACTTTATCTATATCCCCTTTATTGATTCCTTTCACCCACTTAAATACTTCTATCATATCTCCCGCACTCTTCGTCTTTCTAGGGAATGCAAGTTAAGTTTCTTTAACCTATCCTGATATGGAAGGTTTCTAAGTCCCGGAATCATTTTTGTCATTCTTCGCTGCACCGACTCTAGTGAATTTATATCCATTCTATAATAGGGGCACCAGAACTGAACCGCATAATCGAGGTGCGGCCTGACTAGCACAAGATATAGTTGCAATAAGACCTCTGCACTCTTGTTCCTTACACTTCTAGATATAAAACCCAATACTCTGTTTGCCTTATTTCGAACATTAACGCACTGTTTTCTAGGCCGTAGGTCCGGGCTTACAAGTACCCCTAGGTCTCTTTCACAAGTCGACTTCTCTAGGTTGATGTTGTTAAGGCTGTATACATTATAAGTATTTGTTCTTCCAATATTAAGTACTGTGACTGGCTAAGTTCCTACTAATGCGATTGGTAATTATTCATGACTAACCCACGGCAGATATTGATAGAAAACGATTTCAGAAACTCCGGATTTTCATTTTTTTTTTAATAGTGGACACTTGTAGTTTGTGCATATGTGTTAAAAAATGGTTATTTCTAAAATAAACATAACCTAACCTTTGTGGGTATGAAAAACAGACCTAACCAACCTAGCCAAACAAACCTACCTAACTTTACAGCCTCCCAGACTGCCCGGTATATTAAACAGAAAGAACTTACTCTGATATGGTGTAATTTGAGGCTATTTCTGGACGTGAGATCATGCAGTTGCATTGGCGCTTATGCTGCCTCAGCAGCAGAGTGATTTATTGTGATGGCGGGAAATGCCGAGCCACTGCATTGAGGAAGTAATGAACAAATTTCTTTACAGTCTGAAAGTTACAGGGTTTCCCGCAGTGTGCACAGTCTCTATTTTAAGGAACAATGGTGTGGTCTTTGAACTTTTGAAGGGTCTCGCAAATTACATCCATATAAGATCGGCGACAACCTTCACACGTCATGCTGAAAATGAAACCGCCTCGGGCGCGGGGAAAAGCGCCGCAGCAGGGCACAGGGAAAAGTGCCGCAGCAGGGCGCGGCCTTGTTACCGCCGGGAAGACAAATTAGTGTGAGCCTAGGCGCCTAATTATCTAGAAAACGAAACATTTGCACAAGAAATGATTAACATATCAGAACTCACTGAAGAAAATGAATTAAGAAAATAAACAGTAATACAAGTAACTTGTCTGTGGGTTATATATTAACCATGCTATTTTACCATGAGTGTGCTCTGATTGGCTAAGTACTTTCTGTTTAATATGATGGGGTGTTGCCCTCCCTGGCTAGCAAGTTGGGTAAGGTTAGGTAGGTTTTTTGGTAGGTAAGGTCAGGTTCTAGTATATGTTGCCTCTTTTATAAAGATAAGCTTCCATGCACAACAGAAATATGGTAAGGTATGTTTATAGCTACACAATGATCGACTCGTGGCAAAATAAATGCCAAATGCCACCAGTCACTGTCAGATATAGTTCTCGCGTTGTTTGCTGGTAATGGACAATCAGCCAATCAGAATTTACTCACTGTAAAATAGAGTATTATTTTAGTTATGTACAACCATCTCATTCGGGGATTTTAGCATTTGCAATCTATAGATCTAATAATTCTATGAATTTTCTTCTATGACACTTACCTCGTAAATGTAAAAAAAAAATAGAGATATTGAATGTGTTTTATTCTCTTGTTATTATCATATACAGAAGCTCCTGGCACCACCACGTTTGCAAGATTTGTTTACAACCGACCCACTCGACCCGAGCATACTCTTGCTTCTACAAAAAAATAAATAAATAATAAATAAATAAACTAAAAAATTAAAATTACACCTTGACACTTCAGCAAAGTTGCTTTCACTGGCACCATATATCAAAATAAGTACTTTCTCTTTAATATGGCATAAGGTTAGCACCCAAACCAGGAAGCTAGGTAAGATTTGGTTGGTTAAGTAAGGTTTTCTTAGGTTCATTATTATTCACTTGTGACAGAAGTGTATAGAATGAAAGTTAGTCGGAATGCTAAGATATATCGATTGCATATGTTAAAAATCCCAGATTCCTTGATTGTATGAAACTAAAATTTTCTGAAAATAATGTTAGTTGGAACTTAGCCAGTCATAGGAAAAAAAATTGATGAAGTAGAAGTAAATACTACATGTAATAACACAGAATGGTTGTTTTCAGGAAAAAAAATTACCCCGGTAATACTGTATTCGTTTAATGGCTGCGACAAGATTTTTGTATTTAGTTATTCTAGGATTAATAAAAAAAAAACAGTTTAGGTTTGGTTAGGTTAAGTTTCAAAAGTGATTTGGAAGTTGAAAGTGTTCAAAGAATATTTTTTTTATTGTGTGTGTGTGTGTGTGTTTTATTAAAATCTGACCTTCATTTCAGGTGCAAATGAGTGAATGTGGTAAAAAAATAATAATAATTTTTTACAGAATTCGCTCATTTGCCCCCAAAATTAAGGTAATACAATATATGAATAAAACACACCTAAATACACCAACCATAAACCTATTCATAACAAAAAGGAGCCACAGCCATTTAACGAATGTTTCCCCAAAAAGGGGTTTGTTAAATTGATAATTTGGCTAAAGATGAAGGAGATGGTTATCACCAAAAGAAACTTTTCAAAATTTTACCCAAATTTCTGGAGATGTTATTTGCATGGTACTAAAGAAAAGTTGTGATAATGGTGGAGGAGACGGCTAACAACAGAAGCAGTTGTTAAATTTTGTAACTTTTATCCACAGATGTTGTTTGGGTGATGTTAAGTAATAAAAACTCTGACAATGCACAGAACCTGATAGAACATGACCTAACTGGGGGGCTGTGCCCTTGGACCCTCTGGCATATTCAGCAGAAGGAACTTATCTTAATATTGAAGTGGATAGAGTGCATTGATGGCACCCAGGAAGTGGTAATATCCCTCTTCTTTCATGCTCAGCCCATTACAGGTAATGTATGATTGAAGCTGTGAAAGCAACTGTGTTGAAGTGTCATGGTGTAATTTACATTTTTTGTGGAGGTAAGAGTGTGCTTGGACTGAGCAGGTCATTTGTAGTGTAGGGTTTCGTGATATTATGTTGTCTAGCACTCAGGATGGATGGAAACTCTAAGGTGGTTTTCTTGTATAATATAAGTTATATGATAGACAGTCTGGTGCTGGAGGTGCCGTGTGGTGAGGAGCTGCTCAGAGAAGGACAGCTGGTGGGTCGCCATGCTCGCCGGCAGGAGCGAGGACCGCCAGGCAGGCGGAGGAGAAGCGAGGGCCGCCAGGCAGCGGCGGAGGAGGAGGAGGAGGTGTTGCGTGTTCAAGTAGAGAGGCCAGAATGAATCTCAATGGAGAGACAGAGCTTATATACACAGCAGCCGTGAGTCATCTGTGAGTCATGGTGGGAAAACCCGGGAAGTAGCCGGTCTTTTGGCTCTGTTGCTAGGATACTGTGGCATCTGGTGATGCCCCTTGGGCCGCTAGTTTGGTTGCTAGGGAAGACGTAGCAGGTGGGATGCAGCTACGCAGTTGTAGGGGAGACGTCCACTACAGTAGACAAACAGAGCAGACAATAACACACGCTGATTTAACAGATTTTTTGAAGAACTATTTATGGTAAAAAATTAGTTTCTTCGCATACAAAGCATGTAAAGATATGATTTTAGTGTCCTCTGATTAGTTTTCAATGTGTTTTACCCTGCATTTTTTCTCATCCTTCATGACCTGCCCAATACTGGTAATTTATGATTGTAAATAGAAAAAAAAATACTTGTAATTAAAATAAAAAGTTGTAACCTTTTTTAAAACACTTATTATAATGATAAGAACATTTGTTGAAAAAATGAACGAAATCGAACAACTCCTTCTGGTGGCAGCAGTGTTATCATAAATTACCAAATACAGTACAGTTGGCCCTTAACATACGCGGGGGTTAGGTAACAGAGATACCCGTGAATGTTAAGAATCCGCATATTTTTGCTGCCCCTCCCCCCAAAAAAACCCCTGGCCCCCCCATGTCCTTATTTACCGTATATACCTGTGTGTAGTTCGAGTTTTTAAGACCAAATTTTTTGGCAAAAAATTGGGGGTCGACCTCTAAACGGGTAATAGTTTCGTTAGGTTGAAAAATATTTACCAGTAACTACCAGTAAACAATGGAAACGACGCACCACCAGCTGTGAGTGTTGGTACAGTTGCCAGGGCAGATCTCTTGCGTCATCATAGCAAGCCCAAAGTAACCAAATGCATGGTATGGTAGCACAGGACGATGTAAAACATAAAGTATTCATTTTTTAAAGTTTATTTATTGATACATAAATTTTTTTTCATTATATTTGAAACATCAATCTTTGTTAATTAAATTTGAAACAAAAGAAAACTACGATACCGTATTTCTAAATACCGGGTATTTTCATTAAAATATTACATCACAAGTGTATTTTACCTTAACTGTGACTGAATGAATATATTCTCAGAAATAAATATGGAAATGTAATATTTTTGCTGGAATGACATACGTATTACAGTGGAAAGTGGGATAAAATCATGACGAAAACAATGACTTAAGCTTTCTTTCGTTGTTCAAAAGATTTTAGCCCACCCGGGAACAGGTCACTGACCCACATCGGGGCCTGGGGGGTGAAAATGTAATAGTAGTAATAATAATAATAATAATAATAATAATAATAATAATAATAATAATAATAATAATAAAGAACCATAAAGAAATACAAAAATGAAAAAAGATCAAAAGTGAGAAACAAAATATGTATGTTGTGATGTCAATAGTAAGAGAAACAATTGAGACCCTGCAATTGTGTGTAAATGAGGCAGAAAGTCAGATCAGTAACCTGAGACTTGGTCACAATTTTTGTGATGCTATATGGCAGCAGGGTCCACCATTAGACAACACATTATGCTTCCAATATCTTCCAAGACGGTAGTACCTCCCTATTTGGTAGCTGTCTACTACCTACAGTAAATTAATTATTTCTTCGCCTACAAAATACGTAGAGATGTGAAATTACTGCCATATAATCACTTCGGTGTATTTTTACCCCATAATTTCCTTCTCTCATGCCCTGCCCACTACAGGTGATGTAGTTATTTGATTGAAGGTAGAGAAGAAAAACTATTCCCTCCACTTTATCCGAACTGTACAGTAATTTATTTAGAACCAAGAATTTTGGTAAATATGTGATATAAGCTCTGCCTTGGCATTAGTGATTAATTTTGCACCATATTTTTTGGGGGGTTATAGTCTAGGACAGGGGTGGCCAGACTTAGTGAGTTGTGAACTACTTTTTCTACAGTCACCCTAGTCCCTAACAGTAACAAGGTCCACCATCCCAGCCCTCACCGTCCAATAAGAAAATTGGGTGAAGATTCGTTTTATGCCTTAACGACAAATTGATTAGCTACTAAAATATGTTTTTCTTCAGTATTTTTTCTTGGTGTAAATGAATATGACCTTCATTTTTATGGGAAATGTATGTTTATGGAGATATTACTTGTTTAACATAAGTAACGGCAATGAATTTTCCAAAGTGGGTAGGACGTTGAAGATAAAGGATTAAGAAAACACTGAAAACCCTACCTATTTTACCTCAAATCTTACCTTATTTATGTGTTGGATACACAAAAACTGAATCGTTGTACAGTACCTGGTTTCATATTTCTAACCTTTGATCTAAGTTCTGCAGAATTATATGCCTTCATTCTCACATACAGTTGGGTCTGTTGAAAAAAACTTTTGGTTTTTGGAGTGAATCAGTTTCCAGAATTTTGGATAAAGGTCCCGATCTGTATCAACCATATTTTGTACCTTTTTCTTTTACCAAAATGTTAATACAGTAGTTGAATATGATGTTTCATGCTTGCCATACCCTTTTTTGACAATTATTTTCATTTACAGGAAAGGAGCGGATCCATTAATGAATCAACAAAAAGGACGCTGGAGGCACAAGTAACTATCGGAAAAAAAATGTCTCAAGCTAAGAGGGGATCATGGAAACCACTATTCAAAAAAGCAAAAATAACACACAAAGCTATTAACGATGACAGGCCTCTCATTCAGAGGTGGAATTTATTGGTAATTTTGCCAAAGAAGAAAGCAGCCTTTTCTCTAAGGGATCCTGATATTATAAAGTTAATGGATTTTCTGAAGGAAGATGCCAGTGAAATAAACATTAATAGGTATGATTTATTTGATGTTATGTAGCAGGTACACTAAAGGCTTGCAAAAGTGTAAAAGAATATAGGATTTAATGATGGGTATCAAACCTTAATATGTAGTACAGTACAGTACCAGGCAGTCTCCTGCTTACGAACATAATTGGTTCCAGAGGTCTGTTCACGAGTCCAAATTCACCTCTATTGCTTGCAAATGATGTGTTAAATATGAAAAATACTGTATGTACAGCACACCCACAGCACAGTACTCTATCATACATCATTGATATTTGTTCTCCAAACACAAAAGTTGTTCCGTATCATCATGCAATTTTCCTCTTTTCTTACTTTTGATGGTCGATTGCATAACCATGGAATGCTTTACATGCTCTGTAATTTTTTCTTTGTCTTTTAAAGTCGTATTAACAGTCAAACGATCAGTTCGAAAGCACATGCTACATTTGTCACCTGTATTGTATCACCTCTTTCCTCCACTTGCTTTAATCGCCACTTTTGTTTCCATGAATTTTTCTGAATTTCAGAAAAAACACAAAAAAAACAGGGGGATGTGTTCCAGAAAATGTGACAGGGAAAAATTTTATGAGGAATTTCTCCTAAATAGAATTTATATAATTAGGGGTATATGCATTCGAACATGTACAGTAATGTCCCTTGGAAGTTCAGGATCTGTTCCTAGAGAGGGAGCTTTCAGCAAATGAGCTGTAATTTTGTTCTTGCAAATTTTTGTCCAGGCTCTAACAGGTACAGCCATGGAATTATCACTGTTTTCCAAAGACATTCCATACCCTTCTGAAATCGTGTGACTTCGGACATCTATAAATCTTCTTATGATGTTTGCTGGATTTCTGATGACACGCATGAACAGCCCATTAGCTCATGCTCCAATAGCATACAGTAAACCCTTGTTATTCACAGGGGTTAGGTTCCAAGGAATGCCGTGAAGAGACAAAACTGCGAATAGCAACTTATACTACCTTAATGCACTACTGTATACCCAGTGTTGTACGCGTCAACGAAAAAAATGGCGCCGCCAGCGTCAGCGTAAAAGGCCGAGAAATTTGATGCCGTCTGCGTAAACGATTTCATAAATTGACGCCGTTTGCATCAACGTCAACACCTAGCGTCAACACCTAGCGTCAGCAAGTTTTCAGTGACGTATTCATGCAGCCCCGAAACGCGTATTCTCCTGTGTATGGGACTAATATATGCAAAATAAAAATATACAGCTCCTCCCCGACTTACGACGGGGTTAGGGACCCAAATCCAGGTCATAAGTCGAAAATGCTTAAATAATACATAGAAAATTGAAAATAGGTGTCTCTCTTTCTTCTCAGCACCACAAAACTCTTTATTTTAAGCTTGCCAGCCATTTTAAAGTGAATTACAAACAAAAATTTTGTCAGTACACAGCGCAATCACTGACGTTGGGACTCGAAAATACATAATTTGACAAAATTTTGGTACAACTGAGGCAGGTCATAAGTGTGGGTGGTTGCAAGTCGAGTAGGTCATAAGTCGGGGAGGAGTTGTATTCATTCATTTTTAATCATTTATTATGATTTATATTATATCATTTTAATTATTCATTTGTTCCCCTGCAAGAATACTAGTATCTCAAAATGCTTGTCGCTCATTCTGCTGCGCTTGGGCCTCAAGACGTCCTTGCCCATGGAGAACATGCGCTCCACGGCAGCACTAGAGGGGATGGGGGTGTTGTATTTGATGAACAACTCCCTCATGGTCTTGTTGGGGAAGGTGTCTTTCTCGAAAGTTTTTTCAAAGGTTTCTCTCCCAGGAAACGCTTGGAAAGGTCGCTGTCTTTCTCATTCCTGCGGGAGGTCTCGTACGGGGCCTGGAACAATTCGTCCTCCATGTCATGGTCTTTGTCGTCTCCCTCACTGCTGCTGCTGCTCTCAGTCTTGTGCACGGACTTCTCCACCAACCTGGACAGCTGGTTGGTAGCCTTTTTCCTGACGAACAAATTGACACTTGATGCTCCTCTCGGGTGAAAAGTTGACTGCGTCACCTGTAGCGTCACCTGCCCAAAAAATTTATGGCGTCAGCGTTAACAAAAAGTTGACGGCGTTAAATTAACAGTGTCAACATATAACACCGACCACCCGCAGCAGCACTCATTCCCTTTTTTAACTTGTCTAATAATTCAACTTACTTTGTCAGGGTCATCACTGACTTCTTCCTTTTACATCTCACTCCACTAGCATCACTAGCACTGACACTCGGTAGTCTTATAGGGGCCACTTTCACATAGAAACACTCAATGTTTTGAGAGTACAACACGAGATGCTGCGGGAAGAAGCTCGTAAGCTAACCACCATAGCCACCATTTGCTTACTTTGAATATTTGAAATTGTGAATTGAAAACCTGCGAATGGCAAGGGTCTTCTGTACTTAACATATGCATTTATTTAACCTACAAAATTAAACTGCAGCTTAAAAAAACATCAAACACACTCTGAAATCACCCTATCTTTCAGTGTTGTATCGTACACTGTAAACACAAAAATATATACGTCTACAGAAAGCAATAATAATGTAGTACAGTTGTTGCATATTTTCTGGGATTTATTGTACAGTACGTATACCATCTTATAATTTAATAATTTCTTGCACCCATATACTGTATGTTGTAAGTTCTTGTTCTCAGTTATACTCTTTGTTTTTCAGGTATGTCACTGTGTCATGTCGATCTGAAGCAGAGGCAAATATTATAAAAGATGAGCTAAATAACTTTGAAATGGAGGGAGAGAAGATCATTCTTTCAGATGTAAATAGAGCTGTGGTTGCAACAAGAACACAGCTTTACCCGTAAGTGTCAACCTAACTAATATGGTGTTCCTCAGGTTATATAATAATAATTATTCTTAGTGAACTTACCTGGCTGTAGGCCAAGGCATGCTTATTTGATCAGTCTGTGTCCATTGTCCTTATTGGTGACTCCTGACCTCGGGTTTTTGTGATTTTTCAAGGGATTGAATCCATGTACATTTGGGGCAGAACCCCATATTCCACAAAATATCATTCATTGTATCATACCCTAATTTTTAATTTGAGGAGATGTTGTGTGGTGTGTAAATCCTTTAGATCTTGGTGCTGGTTCTCCTGCTGGGCTCTGCTACTTCAAAGACATGATAGACTTTAATTCTAGTTGGTACCATAGTCGATGCCTTCACTGTGGTCACCTTTGTCGACTCATGGTGTCCTAAGAGGTTAAGATAGGTAATAGACCCCTTAGTCCCCTTAGTTGCTTGTAGGAAGGTTGAAATCCAAAATAGCATCTACCCTCAGCTGCACTCATGATGAGTGTGTGCACTGGTTGCTTCTATCCTATATTTATTCCACAGATTCTTGTCATTTGTTCTACTTGCTGCCAGCCAGAATATCATAATCATGTTAAGTTATAGTCACATAAGTGTTGGCAATACATAAATGGGAGGGAGTTTCTTGAAACTCAAATGAGTATTTGTACTTTATTTGTGGTAACACAACACTTAATATATGTGTGTACAGATACAGTGGTCCTTCGATTAACGAACGGTTCAATTAATGAAATTTCGGTTAACGAATTAGCTCCCATAAGGATTTTGTTTCATTAACGAACAAAACTTTGATTAACGAGAAACACGCTTTGTTGTGCACATCAGCTGATCGGCTGGTCCGCCAATACAGAAATCGGTTCTATATTTACATTCGTTTCCAGTGGAGTAAATATCAAGAAAGTTGTGGTCTTGAATATTTTTGCATTTTTTATATTAAAATTATTGGTCATTCTGAAATTTAGTTAACATATTGGTAATATATACAATACAGGGAACAGTTTTTGTGTGTCCTCCAGCTGATCAAATCACCCACCAACACTTCTCAGTTTAACTTTGCTTACAGGGGAGTGAACATGGAGTTTGTTGGTCTCTTGAATATTTTTGCATTTTTACATTAAAATTATTGGTCATTCTGAAATTTAGTTAACATATTGATAATATACAGTGCAGAAATTATTAAGAAATACAAAGAAGGCATTAGAACCAATGCACTCTGTAAAGAATATGGCATGTCATTATTGACTGCTTCTACAATCATTTGTTTGCTATGTAAATAAAGCTGACGGGAATACGACATACGCACCTCAAAGTAAGTTAAAATACAGTATTCTATTGTTTTTTATTTATTATTGTACAGTACTGTATTTAGTTTATATTTAATGTTTTGTTAATTCTATTACCGGTATACAGTACTTTGTATGTACAGTATACTTTTTCTGTGAGTTGGAACCAATTACCCAATATCCCATTGAAATAATAGATTCACTTAGCAAAATTTTTGGTTAACAACCGACTCTGTGGAACCAATTGTGTTCATTATTCGAGGGACCACTGTACAATATATGCACTTGGTAACAGTAACTGTGTGCTCCCATTTGTATGAAAGGAGGTGCATTCTTGTATGAGGCCAGATTCTAACTGCCCTCAGTAGCCTGCACCCAGCCTGACAACCGTGAGAACAATACTATGTCATCATGTTTGTAATCAAACAGATTACCTTTGCCCTGCTCTGAGCGAGGGGTTACTAAGTAGTGAAATATTACAGTATACAGATGTCCTCATGAAATACAATAATAGTAAAATAACATGTAGGGGTATTTGTTATACAGCTACCGGTACTCCTCGACTTACAACATACTTGACCTACGACCACCCGGACATATGACTGCCTCAGTCGTACCAAAATTTTGTAAAATTACGTATTTTCGAATCCCAACGTCAGTGATTGTGCTGTGTACTGACAAATTGTAATTCACTTTAAAATGGCTGGCAAGCTTAAAAGTGAGAGTTTTGTGGTGCTGGGAAGAAAAAGAGACACCCATTTTAGATTTTCTATCTATTATTTAAGCATTTTCGACTTGCGACCAATTCGACTTACGACCTGGATTTGGCTCCCTAACCCCATCGTAAGTCGGGGAGCAGCTGTACATACATAATGGTGCTGGAATAGCCAGAGACAGTATACTGTGTTGTTTTTCATGTCAGCTTATCTCTGCATATAATGTACAGTATTCTTCTTTCTATTTTATCTTTCTTCTCCCTTGTTCTCCTTTCAAACAACCTTAAGGGTTAGATGGGTAACAAAACAAAAAATTACAGCTCCCCAGTATAAACAGGTCTTCAAAACTTAACCCATTCTCACATCTTCAGATAATGTCTTTTATTAATTAATTATTATTATTATTATTTTTGTATACTGCATCCATTAGTACTGAGCTACAGGGCAGTATTTGACGATGAGCATTTTCTTTATTTTATAACACTGGTATTTGCCCCTTATGTGAATGGCCCTGGGATTGATTCCTTATGGGAGTGGAGGACTAGTCTGTTGACTCGAACTTGACAACTTAGGTCTTGGATCAGTTTTCAACATAGCAGCTGATTAGCTGGTGGACAGACACCCTAAGAGGTCCAACAGTTCTTGAGTATTTATATTCTGATATTATAAGGGATTCAAATTTTTCTTTGTTGATCTCTGATAATTCTCTCCACCCACTAACCTTCTAGAGGAAGATGCCTCCCTCCCCGCCACCCACTAACCTTCTATACCTTTTACAAACAAGGCTAAGCCAACACAAGTAGCAGCCCTCTTTATTTTTGGTAAGTACCCCTGTACAGTGCACTAAAACAATATGTAATCTTTATTTGCTTAGGTTTTAAGCTAAAAATTCTTTGACCTGGACATGTTTAAATTTATACCTTAGGGTTTTGAGTCGAACACTTTTTTTGCTGGAATGTATCTCGGCTTTTAACATGGTATCCTATGGGAAAAGGGGTCCCATGGAACAATAACTCGCTTAACGCGGACTCTTTCAGGAATGCACATTACTCGTTAAGTGGGACCTTACTGTTAGCTAAGTATTACACTGAGTTATAGAATAATAGAAAAGATATTGAAAATTTTTTTTTCTGTTCCAGGTTGTATGTAGGAAACACTGATGCTAAAAAAATGAAGAGGAAGAGATTACTGGGCATCTTCCCCACTGCAAAGAAAATTACTCTGCAGAAGTTATCTGGTGGTGTAAGGTAAGGTATGGGGGATTTTTTTCAGTGTTTGAGAGATGAAAATCAGGTGTATTTTCTGGAACTTCCGAGAAAATTTTTCTGTTACCCCGAAAATTCCGGGGATGAGAGATCTTTTCCCGCTTTGAGAGAGTCGTCTCGTTACCCGGAAATATCTCATTCCCGGAAGTGCTCCGCACCAATCGTTCCGGCTAACGGAGATATCACTTTATATCAAATTTGAATCTCGGCTTTGGCAGGGTGCTATTGAAGAATAAGTCAAGTGTGGTTAGGGGAATTTTAAGGCATAAAACAAAAATAGTGCTTCTTTAATTCTATGAAATTAATTACTTCTCCAGCCAACACTCTGGCCGATCATTTCCTGTAGTCAGACAGAGCCAGCTGTAGGCTTTAGGGGCCCTAGGCAGGACCGGATTTGTGCTCCCCTTTATCTCACGGAAAAATGGCCCGCTACCGCCCCTCCTGGCCTCCCCTCCTCAAAGGGAAAGCAAATCAATATTAACCATTTGTTGTTGTTGCAATTTATTATTACTTCAGTAATTTATATCATTAATATTTCTAAAATCTGGAATCTAGAATTTTTGCTTTCTGGCTTTCTTTGAAGCAAAATCGTTTATACTGTAATGTCATCATATGACACTTGTTTCCCCGGCATTATTTATGCTAATGACAGCAAGCCCAGTAAGCCAATCCTGATTCATCGTAGATCTTAGGTATTTTTTGATAAACTTAAGCTTTGAGAAGCTCCTCTCTGTTGAAGCTACAGTTACAGGCAAAATGACTGCTATCCTCAGGGCTGTCAACATGTTTGGAAAAAACTCTTTTGTCTGCTTTTCATATACGTATATATTTAATAAGCTCCAATGCTGTCATATTATCAGAGGGTAAGTCTGGTAGATTTCTCATCTCAAAGGCCAGTTCTTTTCCATTAATATCTGACTCCACCATAGCTCAGGGTTCTTTGAAGTGAAAGAGAACTCCAAATTTGTCTCTAACTTCTCCCAGGCTCTGGAATCTTTCGCTGAATTTTGTGATGATTGAGTCTACCACCGTATTGATAAAAGACACTTCTAATCTTCCCAAAGCATCAGAAATTGGCTCATCTAGAGCTTCATATTCAAAGGGTCTCTTTGTCATTTGAAGTCTCTCTTATTTTTAATCTTCCTCTTTCCTACGTTTTCTTTTCTCGGCACCTGATAAATACTTTCATTTGGACGTCATTGAAATTTACAGACAGTGGTATGATGGTATCGCCCTCAGTCTCACTCAGTGTGATTGAGTCAGTAACCACTCCACGACTGAAGGGTACTGCATTTGATCGCTGACTGTAGCTTCATCTTTCATCTCACCGGATAGAAATATTCTACACCTGTCAAAACTCAAAAGAAAAGAAAATGTGAAGGACTGTGGTTATAGCCTTTTAGGTAATTCAGCCTTATGCCTGTGTGTTTAAGGTCAAACTATTATTTTTGGTGGATGGGCCCAGGGAGTTAAAGGTGTCCCAGTGCCCGACATGGTGCCGGTGGTGTCGTAATGTGTATGATGGACTGAAGTGTGATATTGCCTAGGATGGGAAATTGTCAGGAAATAAACTAAAACAGCAGAACAAGAATTAATTATGTTATTGTACGTAGAAAATATCAAGAAAGCAGTAATAATTAATGTATTGTAATGCTTTTTAAGGTTAAAATTTTCATTAAAAGGGTTCCTAACTTGGCAGATAACTTTTCACTCTCGGCCAACCTCGGAGATTTTGAACTAAATTCCTGAAGGGGGCATCAGGGGCCCCCTTATGGGCTGGGAGCCCAAGGCGGCTGCCTAGTCCACCTATGCCTTGAGCTGGCCCTGAGGACAGACTTTCAAGTGTCAGAAATAGTTTTAGTTGGCTAATCTACAAATATTATGGTTAAGTAAAATATGCAAGATATTGTATGATTAATGGCAAATAATTTACAGATTACTAACCCACACACTGAGGAATACTTGACATATAACATACTAGTCTGCAATCACACATGTGCACCATCTGCTTATAAGCAAAGAGACTAATTTGACTGGGGAACCTTACCAAAATTCTTCATCGGGGGTTACAGAACACAAGGATTGGTGAGTGTAACCTAATTTTTTTTCTTTGTCTGTACCTCCCATATCTACTGCTCTGATGCTCTGAACACAGAGGCCAAAACTTCTCATCTGCCTACATGCACCCAGTTGACATGTTAATTGCAAAATTAAGATTAATTCCTTACAAAAGTTTCAGTGGTTAAAACTCTTTTTGAACTTATTGGGACAGATCAGTTCAGTTTTTATCGAACAATGTTTATTTTTTTTATTCCAATAAAGAATAAAAACATCAGAATATAAAAAAAGATTCATTGATTACTATTGCTACCAAAACATTGTGTTGATTACCGGAAGATAAAATTAATACAGGTTGACAATCGCTTATCTGAAATCCTTGGGGCCAGATGTGTTTTGGATTTCAGAATGGTTAGTTTTGGTTATTTATTTATTTATTTATTTTATTTTATTTTTTTATTTTTAACAGGGATTAGCCCACCCGGGCACAGGTCACTGACCCACATTAGGGTCTGGGGGGTGAAAATGTAATAATAATAATTCACAGGTCTAGGTCTTGTTTCTCACTTTTGATATTTTTTCATTCTTGTATTTCTTTATTATTTTTATTATTATTATTATTACCGGGTATTATTGGTATCATTAATATTTTATTTTTGTGTATTTATTATATAGTTTATTTACTATGAATTATTATTATTATTATTATTATTATTATTATTATTATTATTATTATTATTATTATTATTATTATTATTATTATTATTATTATTATTATTATTATTATTATTATTGCTACATTTTTGCCCCCCGGGCCCTGATGTGGGTCAGTGGCCTGTGCCCGGGTGGGCTAATCCCTGTTAAAAATAAATAAATAAATAAATATGTATGTTTTGCTCCACTAAAAACCTTTCAGTTTTCAAAGGTGTTCAGTTATTGGAATTTCGGATAAGGGGTTGTCAACCTGTAGTGAATTTTAATGCCACTTTTGAGTTAGGGAGACATAAATCTTATCTGAAATTTATATTTCATGTTCTCTTCCTCTGATTTCAGGCTTTATTTTGTGTATTTTGAGACTCCAGAAGAAGCTCAGAGGGTTTTAGAAGCTCAGCCATATTGCATTAATGGGCAAACATTGGTTCTCAATAATCCAAAACTTGTAAAAAAAAATGGATCCGAAGAAACTGAAGATGAGGTGAGTTTACTGATTTATTTGGAAATACTATAAAGTAATATGTATTTAATTGGGATTCATGTTCTTAAATTCCTGTGAAGTTGTCTTCTCTTGGTGTGGGTGGGGATAAGACTGCTTGGGAAGGGAATAGCATCTACAAACTCACCTGACAAAGACTTGATTAACTAGCTGAGGTAATGTATAACAAACTTTTTACAAAAGATATGTCTTTCATCAGTAGATATATTGTACATGTATAATATCAACAAGAATTTCTTTATAATTTTTAATTTTATATCACAATTCTGTTAAGTCTTAGTAGTTGGTTGTTTTGTCATTACTGCAGTCACTAGGGTAGATGGAGTCTAGGCCTAGTGGACCCCAGGCAGCCCCTGGATGCCAGACCCCAGATCTTGTGGGGTAGCTTGTACTGCTGACTGTGCAGGTTTTTAGTAGTGTAGTAATTGAAAGCACAGTTTTATTCCTCCACCCCACTTGGCCTCTTTGATTAATTCATCCTGTGCCTCTTGACATCTGAGTGTTATGTATTCACCAAACTCATACTTACTCATAGATAGGACATTGTAGAACACGTACATTTACTGTGCATGATTTACAAGAAAGAGCGATTTTATATGTTTTTACTGTTTTAGTCAACAAGGTTAATCCAAGATGGAGGAGTTGAGAGAGAAAATCAGGTTAGGTGGGTAATCTTTTATTAATTCAGGGAGTAGTAGTGATCCTGCCTTGCTAGATAAAAGGGCACCTGGAAGTCCTACATATAATGTCCAGTTCCCAGTCTGTAAAAGTGGGATGGTGATAGGAAGGGCATCCAACCTTGAAACTTGCTTCAGATGTGTTTGATGGCAACTGGGACACCATGCCATCTGGTACTCATGGCTAAACCATGTAAACATGGAAAATATCCATAAATCAATGGTGGTGGTGATGATGATGGGGAGTTTATACTTTTGATTCCAGCCAACTGGTATCATAGCAGGAAGGGTCATGCATGAGTGGGGAGGGGGGTGAACTAGAAATCTGGGACTGAATGTTTTTTAATTTATTTTGACTGAATAGTATTGGTAACATTACTTTCAGTCCTTTTAAGATTGTGAAATACTCAATAAATTTAAGGACAGATGCACTCTTATGTTTTCATTAATCATTAAATCAAAATTATTGATTTTTGTTTATAGAATAATCCGAGTAATTAATTTACATACTATTCAGGATTTAGCCAAAGGAGACAAAGTGTGTTCTGAAAACATTGCTCAAACAGCAGAAGATGAAGAAGCTAGCATGCAACCAACCGTTCATTCAGATGATTCAGATGAAGAGCTTGAAGATAACCAAGCAGTTGAACTGTCTACAGTGAAAAATGATGACATACATGAAGTACATTTTTGTCTCCCAAAGTCTAAAAAATCATTGAAGAATCCTGATATATTAAGGCTGCTAACAATACTGGAGAAGGCTGCTGATATCAAGATTCATAGGTATGTATATCAGAATATAAACATATACTGTACAGGTGTTTCCAGTCACAAATGGGGCTCATTCCTCAGATGAAAAAGGATTCTTCAATCCTGCAACATACATGTTCAGAAGTTGTTTACTGTGACTTAATTATATACAGTACCAGGTATATCTGGATTATTCCCACATATTGCTCTCTGCAATAAGGTAATACATTTCTTTGTGTTTTTAATTGTATAATTGCATTAGTGGGTGTTATTGTGATTGTCAGTCTGTTTCTGCAGAAAACTGTATTGGTGTATCAGCTTTAACCTCTCTAACCATGTATTTATGTGTATCTACAGAAATAGTTCATGTATTGTATTAAGCACAACAGTGATATTGGGAATATATTTTGTTATTTCCTATCAGTAATCAGAGTTTGATATTTCACTTAATCAAAATTTAATGGTGTCGTATGATTAGTTTATTTACTAATTTATTGTTCTATTTTTTTTTCTTCCAGAGAGTTTCATGTGCTGTGTCCAACAGAAGATGTTGCACAAAACATAAAGATTGCAATAGAGAACTTTGTTGTACATGGGGAGAATATCAAAGTTATCAGCAAGTATAAATCCTACAGAGAGCCTGTTGTTGACCCAAAGTGGTATGCATGAGTTAATATTTCAGTGCTCTTTTTTTATTTTGTGTGAGTGATTTCAGAATCAACCCCTCCTATTTATGACAGGTGGCATAACTTCAGAGATAACTGGCATGAGAGCTATAGGGAACTGGTTGGAGGAAGAGGAAGAATCACCTCTTGGTAATAAGCTAGACCTAAAGTTATAGCCAACTGTATCCTTTCCAATATTCATCTTTATTTATTTCTTTGGCTTGTACTAATTTCTTTTTGGTTTTAATTTTTCATATATTCATATCCTCTCTTTCTTTTGTTTGTTGATATTGATGCATATAACTGTATTATTTTGAAAACAACTTTGCTCTGTAAGTGGAATTTGAAGCTGTTAAACAAAGAATCACCCTTGTTACAGGTCTGGATAAAATTATTACTCTTATGAAGTACAATCACCAAGTACTTGAGTCTCATGGGCCATCGGCATCCTCAAAATGAATCTTTCAACTACTGTATACCATTTCTTTGCATAATTTCATTGAAGGTGTGAAAATAGTAGGGAACAAAATATTTGTAGAAGGGGGTACATATTTCTAACTCAAATAATGGAGGGAATGAAAAGTACTGTATATAGAAGGAAAGAGTAAAATTGGAAGAGGATAAACTGTATCCATGATATTATTTTGTATATATTTCTAGCTTGCACATTGGAGGCCTCCCTGCAGGGACTACAACTGAGGATGTGACGAAACTTTTTCCTGCGGCAGAAAGAGTTGAACAGAGAAGTCCTGGTAATAATGATAGAAATATAAACAATGAGTAAGAATTTTTATTTATTTTTTTATTTAGTTCTTAAAAGTTGATTGTTAGTTGCTGATGTGTAGCACCTCTCTAGCCCAGACTTGTACTCTACCTGAGAACCTCCGTTGGTCGTAATGGAAAAAATCTAGAGAATTGTTTCAAGTTAATACAGTACATACCTCAGGGCTCAGACAGTTAAAATATACTAAACCTGGTTATAGTAAGAGGTATGGGACCTTCCAACACTTGAGCTGAATTCAACATCGGTTCACTTTGGCTATGCAGTACTTGTGCCAACACAGGAGTGCTGTCCCCAAAAGAGACCTGTTATTTGTGTATGTTTATAAATGTTTGATGTCTGAATTCATTCATAATTTGAACATTGAATTTCTTATGAGCTTGTTTAACTGGACAAGTAACATCTCCGTTAGCCGAATCCCTCTTAACCGGAACTCTCCGATAGCCCGAATTGAAATTAGCTCTGAATTTTCCAGAAAATTCAGGGTTTGGGAAAGGGTTTCTGACGGGCACAATTTCTGCAAAATTCTGATAAAATTTTCCTGGTACCCGGAAAATTCCGGGATGGGGGATTTTATCCAGGTTTTAGCAAATCATCTCATGACCCAGAAATGTCTCATTCCCGGAATTGCTCTGCACCCATTATTCTAGCTAAAAGAGTTAACAATACTATTTTTGTAGCTATACCGTAAAATATGGTACCTCCGTACAGTGCATAATTTGTTCTTACAATACTGTATATTTCGGCATACAAGGTCATGGGGTGTATAAGACGACCCCCCAAAATTTCCATTTAAAATGTAGGTTTTGAGCTATACTCGGTGTAAACGCAAATCTGACACTTACCACTGGGAGCTTACTGCCCCAGTAGTCCTTTACCAACCATCCCACTGACCAGTGGAGTGATGTTGTCAAACATACTGCTAAGCAACGCATCCTTGGTTATTTAAAATAAGGCCATTTCACAAAAAAATCACTCTAAAGGGCATAAATAAACAAATATATACTTTACCAGACCTTCGGGGTCAACTGTCAAATGTGTCACTCACCTCACCTCCCCCCACCCCCTCTCTCCCTCCCTCCCTCCCTCTCCCCCTCCCTCCCTCCCTCTCCCCCATCTTCTCAGCCAGGGTTTGGCTATTTAAAGACGGGGTTTGTTAAAGACGGCTGTTTATTTACTTCGGCGGCAGTTGCAAATGGCGGGCGGTGCATGATGATACCTGCGTTTATTATTTTATGGTATGTTAGACAGATTTATAATATATTTTTATTATTTTAATAAACACACTAAACCACAGGATGTAGAGGTTCGGATTTTACACCCAGCGTTTAAGACGACCCCTAATTTGGGGCTGATTTTTTTAAGGTTCAAATTCCGTCTTATACGCCGACATATACGGTATTCTAATGAAACATTGTTTTAGTATTTAATTTTTTTCCCTACCATTTGTATTCCACCTTGAAAAAATAAAAACAAAAATAAAGTGAGTGTTAGTTGCCAGATACTACTTTTTGATTGAAAGCTTCTGGACATGGTGACTTCATTTATTTGGCCGATTATACATATACAGTACAGCACTGTACTGTAGTATGAATTATTGTAATGTAATTTTTCTATAATTGTTTGCATCAGCAGGTGTACAGTATGTGTATGTCACTGTATGTGGGGATACCTACTAGATGTGTATTGTAATTTCATAAAAATCCAATTTTTTTTTTTCTTATGTCTAAGTTCCATAATTATTCCAAGCTCAAGAGGTGTTACTAAAGCACTAGTAATTTTATTTTCTTCATAGATATTGGTTCATCTAATTTGTTTTAATGTCAACACTCATTATTTTATGATTTACATGAAAGATCCCATTTAGGGACAAGATTGATGTTTGTGTACTAAAGAATTTTTGTGATGGATTAATAGTGATTTAAAAAATTTATATTTTTCTAGGTCCTGCTTTGTATACTTTAATAACGAGTCAGATGTTAAGAATGCAATACAGTCCAAACCATTTTACATCGATGGTAAAGAGGTGTGTGTAGATGAAGCCGTACCACATATTAAAAAAAGACCAAGACCAAAGTTTCAGAAAAGGAAATTCAAGAGAGTAAGTATCAATTTTTTTTTTGTACTTGTTTAACGAAATAAAAGTACATTCGTGTTTACACTTGTCTGTGTATATAGTATTGTGTGTGAATGTAAAGTACAATACATAATAAAAAAATGGGGGGGGGGGACTACATGAGATCAGGACCCTCATAGTCTCTGAGGTTGGGATTTTGTGTTTTATCTATCACCAGGGACAGGTGTAGATGGGTACTAGGTGCTGCACAGTTATGGAAGTCCCAAAAGTGAAATACTGTAGTAATGAGTTGTTTTGTTGAGGGTGCATGAATATAGTTTTTATGAGGCCTTCCCATTTCTACCACTTATCTTAATTGTGATTGCTGAAATGCATGTATTAATACAAGCAAGAGAATAGATGAAAGAGAGTAACAAAAAAGGGGAGGTGAAAGAAAAATGGTAGGGTAGAGAGAGTTGTGAATGAATGAAAGGAAAGGGTAGATGTATTGGGGGAGAAGTAGAAGGGAAAGGATTGAAGGAAAGAGAGGGAAGGAAGATAGAGCAAGGGAGAAAAGAGAATAGTATTAAGGTGATGGTAAGGAGAGAAAGGATGAATCATCCTATCAGTGTGATTGAGGGGAAATTCAGGAAAAAGAAATGAAAACAAAAACATTTGAGATGGTATCAGGAAATGCCCAATTTTTTGGAGAGAGTTAATATCAGGAGTGAACAAAGAAAGAGATAAGGGAAATTAGAGCTAAGAATATGGCAATTAGAATGTACCTGTATATAAATGTGAAGCTTTACAGGCTGTTGCCAACTTCAAGGTTTTGTAAAAAAAAATTTGGTTGCATTTCTTATTCACATACTGTAGTTGTATTTAGTCTCAAGAATTTATGCAATGGTGCATTGAATCTCCATTTGAAACATTTTTAATATTATTGATTTATCTGCTAAGACTTTTATTATGACATCTTTAATGTTTTTATATATGTACAGTACAGGTACTGTATATGGTTAATGTGATAAGCTTTGTCTTTGCAGAGATTTTATGTAATTTGTTTTGTGAATCTGCTTAGTTTTAGAAATTATAGAAATCAGCTGTACAGCGTGCCCTTAAAATTTGCGGGGGTTAGGTTCTCAAAATGGTTGCGAATAGCCAAATACGCAAATAACATTTGCTGACCCGGGGAGGGGGGTAATTTTTACTCGTGTGCAAAGAAATGTACTGCATATTCCCTTTATGTGTTTGCTCTTAGGACAATTATTTCTTTTATCTGTACAGTAATATCTCCGTTTGCCGGAATCCCTCAAACCCGGAAATCTCTGATAGCCGTAATTGAAATTTGCTCGGAAAATCAGTCCCTAAACCGGAGTTTTCCCAAAATTTTTGCCTTTAGCAAAAAAAATTCCAAGGTTGAAAATCGAGAGAATTTTCTGAAAATGTCATGAATAAAGTTGAAAGTTAAAGTATTTTTGGGGGGGACGTAACCTGACTCAGTGTCAGGTGTAGGTAGGGCGAGGGATTTGTGGTCTTATATTACTGACCTGATGGAATGTCAGGTCACCCTTTCTTGGCCGGGAGATTAGTGGGTCTCACAACCTGAAGATGTCTTGAATAAACACAAAACCTAAGTATTGTTTGGGAGATTGTGATAAGTATAAGTATAAATGAGCAAAGTTGTATCCCTTCAACATTACATTACCTAACATTTTAAAATATAGAGTGAGAAGGCAGAAAGATGTGGGTGATTAGAGAGATGGAGTGGTAACATGCACCAGTGTTGCCAAGCGATAAGTTCCTCAACAGCTGATCTTTTAATTCGCCCCGTGCAGTCACACAACAAGACCCTCACTGTATGCTTGTTGTCTTAATTCCTGTGTGTGTGTGTGTGTGTGTTTTGAGCTTACCAAGCACATTGTAGAATTTGAAGAAGTTGATGAAGAGTTTGTACAGGAGCCAGGTGGTGAGGTGACATGCCAAGACACTTACACAGCACACACATTAAGAGCACTACTAAACCATTGTCTTATAATATTTTACATTTTAATTTCTAATTAAAATTAATTGATAGCTCAACAGAGCTACTCTTGCACTTGGACAACTGATCAATGAATAAGCCAGGGCATATGGAGACTCATACAATAGTAATGTCAAAGCTTTGAAACTGCAACCACATAAATTATCACAACCTATGCTCAAATGTACTAAGTTAATTAATAAAATTATTATGTATGGTGCAAAATAAGGGATGTTTATACTCAAATTAATCACTATCTTACAAGAATTCCAGCAATGCAAGTTATATTATCCTAAGCCAAGTCAGTGGCTTTTTATAAGCAAAAAAATAAAACACCTCTGCCTTTCATAATCAGAATATGCGTTAATCTCCCCACCTTCCCCCTCCTCCCAGCTGAAGGGAGAAGGGTCTATTGGGGGGTAAAAGTGATCCCCCTCCTCTAAAGGCGTCGCCTCACTGTCTGTCTACTGTACTGACTCATTCATGATACAATAATGTTTATTTGTTTTTCATTAATTAGTACAGATATGTTACTGTAATAATCTGTGCTTATTTAATACATATACCCACCCAACACTGGGTGACTTGACGTTGCATCAGTTCAGGTTAGTAACGTGACCCAATAGTCTCCCACCTAATCTTCATCGCAAGTGTTAAGACATGATTAGTTATGTGTTACAGTCAATTGAGTGAAGTGTGCAACAGAGACGTGACCGATCGCCTAAGCGACTAACGAGCCGATTACTGGTGAAGAGGATAAAAGTAACCGCTATATTCACGCCCGTAACATATAGAGCTTTTGGTTTTTAAATATATTTATTAAACCAAACTTTTAGATAAAGTATATGTAATGATTGTTTATCAGACCACAGCTTACAGCCCAGAGAAATACGATGCATATAACAGTAAGTAGATACCCACGTGGTAACCCACATAGGTTGACACACCCTACAGTGGCAGTAAGACCTGACCCAGGAGAGATCACGGACAAGGTACCCGAGTTAACCCGACATTATGACCGTGTTACTCAAAAAACTACACCTGGACAAGCTGTCCAGACCTGACCCAAGATAGGTCAGTCTCATTGACCCAGAGTTCTCACCGCCACGTGATTAGCTTAACCCGGCGACATAACCATGTTACTCAAGAAGCTACCCTCCAGCGAGCACACCTGTCACCTGACTAGACACACACAGATTAATGACATCTTCCGGCTCACGCCAATATAAAGTCCCTGCAGCTCCTTCACGGGGCATTACTTGCACATCACTATCGACAGAAGACGGAGTCACGCTCGTCACTAGTCGAGGTCGGGAGGGAGACTTCCCTCCCCAGCACGGAGTTTCCAGCTAGCAGAGTCTCCCACAGGAGACAGAGTCCAGCAGCACCTACAGATATCCCCCAGCCACTGGGCCTCCCTCAGGTCACACACGAGTTATTTGTTAGAGCGATCCAAGGGCGAGTTACTTACGGTGCGAAGTGTATCCAGTTCATGTTTGTGTCCCGACGACCAGGTCGTAAGTCGAAAATAATACATAGAAATTCTAAAATGGGTGTCTCTTTTTCTTCTCAGCACCACGAGAACTCTCACTTTTATGCTTGCCAGCCATTTTAAAGGGAATTACCAAAAAAAATTTTGTCAGTACACAGCGCGATCACTAACGTCGGGACTCGAAAATACGTAACGTGAAAAATATTTTATACGACCATAGCCGTCGTATGTCCGGGTTGTTGTAAGTCGAATATGACGCAAGTCGAGGTGAGACTGTATATTAATGTGACAAATTTGCGTGTGTGTGAGTGCGAGTTAAATATCAGCTGTTGAGTGCTTGGCAATACTCATTTCCACTCCATCTCTCTAATTACCCACACCTTTCTGCTTTCTTACTCCATATTTTTAAATGTTATGTATTGTAATGTAATGCTCATTTACACTTATACTTATCACTATCTCTCTAAAAATACTTTGGGTTTCATGTTTATTCAAGACATCTTCAGATCGTGAGACCCACTAATCCCCCAGCCAAGAAAGGGTGACCTGACATTCCATCAGAAGGTCAGTAATATGAGACCACTAAACCCCCACCCTATCTCGACCTGACATTGCGTCAGGTTAGATACACGAGACCCACTAATCCCCCACAGCTCCATGGGAGTGGAAAATACCAGTCTTTGCTGTAAAACATAGCTTCATTCATGCCCATATCATATAGAAATTTTAATTTTCAAATATATTTATTTTACCATACTTTTAGATAAACTATTGTGGATTATTATAGTAAAGAAGTGGAGTTTCTAACTTAATTAGAACTGCATTTACAGACTCCGGTAGTTTAGACTTGAGGAAAACATCCCCAGCACCCAGAAACATTCTGGGGAAGTTGGCTAGTGTCTGTGTGGGCAAGATGCCTAGCTTAGACACTCGGAAACTTTTCCCAGTAACCGGAAAAGATTCCGGGGATAAGGGATTTTTCCGGGTTTGAAAAAGTCGTCCGGTTAGCTGGAAATCTCTTATCCCTGGAAATGCTCTGCACCAATTGTTCTGGCTAACAGGGATATCACTGTATTGTATATTTGTGTGTGTGTGTGTAGATGCACACACACAAAACACATACATATAAATAATAATTGGAAAATCCTCTCACAAATAATTAGAAAGAAATGTATTAAAAATGTGAGTCTACCCTCACATTAATAACAAAGCACAGAGTGGACTTGAGGGTAGACTCTCTTATTTTTGATACATTGGTTCTGATTATTTGTGAGAGGATTTTCCCATTATTATTTATTTGTATATGTGTGTCTACACACACACACTCATACATGCAATACAGGTAAAATGAATTACTGTCCCTAGAACGAATGGGTCCCAGTCGCGGCTGCAAAAATTCCAGCAGTTTTAAAACTATCCTTGGATATTCTTTGGTACATCCAGGGTGTCATCCTCGAATAATCAAAGTCCGCAAATTGTCAGGGCATGCTGTACTGTATTTCCATATGACCGATTAACTTTTGACAACACCTTCAGAATAAACGTTTTTGTCACCGAGCCAATGACTATCATGATTTCTACCAGAGCAACGAGCAGCACTACCGCCAAGATAAGTATCAAAACCCCCATCGCAACTATCGTGATGAGCAGAAACCAACAACAAGTAACAAAACATCACTTAGCAGATATGAACAATTTACTGCATACAACTGGTACGTTGAAAATTTATTTTAAATTCTGAGTGTGTGTACATATGTACAGGTAAATGTTAGTGCTGTAAGTGTGAATCAATCAGCTAAAAACAGAAATGCATATGGTTATGAAACAAAATAGTTTATGGAAATAAATACTGTATGAACATTCCTATAGCAAATTAGGGCTATTTATTTCTATTGTTAATATATCTATTAAGCAGAGTGTAGGAGGGTTAGGCAGTGGAGGTGAGAGTGGTGGAGGAGGCCTAGATAGAGGGAGTTGACGAGTACTTCACCTTTCCCCCACTACAATGAAAAAATCTGAATTGATGAGAAAACGGGAATTTTCAAACTGGATTACAGGGACCACGAGATACAGACAAAGGAAAAATAAATAAGAAAATGGATAAGGGAATCCACAATAGTTTATACTAGAAGGCATATAGTTTATATGACCCCAGTAAACAGTTGGGGTGGAGGTGAGCGAGGGGAGTAGGTGAGCAAACCCTCCTACGCTCCTGAGATGTGAGATAGAGGCTGATGGGGAGGGAGACACAGGGATGATAGTGGGGACTTTGGGGAAGGGCCACTAGCTTAGCTTAACCCCTTGACCCATATACCAAAAGTGAAAAATAAAACATATTAAAGTAAAATTTATATAAAACATAATAAAATACAATTAATTACATATATTATGTTTACAAAAATTAGCTCCTTCTCCGCTCAAATCATTCTCTGGGTGATGCAACACAGTTTAGTCAGGCAGTCACTCAGCTGACTCAAAGATTAGGGGAGGCAGTGCGACTGGGTTGGTGATGCAGTTATAGTCTACTGCCTCCTCACATACAAACCCATGCTCTTCATTTTTTTTCATTTTATAGTTTTATTTTATATTTTCTTTATTTCTATATCACCTTAGCATATTGTAATGATTTTTCCACTGGTTGCAATATATGACATGTAACAATGGCAACATGTGTAGCCATCTAGCAGTTCACCTCATCCTACATCAGTCTATAAAAACCAGCCTGTATTGATAAATACAGTAATACCCCATTTAGCGCTCAGGATACTTTCCTGGATAATAGAGTGCTATTTTTTTACCTATGAGATATATACAGTATTGTATATGAAGGGTATAGGTATTAATAAATACATACAAATAAACAATATTGTATTATGAATGACAGTCACTTGATGAATAGTAATGAAGTAGTAGACTGGGTGGGAGGGAGGGAGTAGGGAGACAGTGGATATTGTATGGCTCTGCTCTGGTTAAAGCTAATCCATCTCTGCATCACTGAAATTATGATTTAGGTGGTGATAATAGAGGTAGTGGTATGATGTTGGGGTTGGTGATAATAGTGGTGGTGGTGAGGAAGATGTGGTAAATGGCGAGGTGATGCATTTATTGGTTTCTTTGGTAACACTGTACCCGCAGATGCTATTGAACAGAGAGAGCCGAGAGGGTCAGTGTTTTGAGTGTTTCTTGATATGTGGAGTAGGAGGGGGAGAGAATAATCTTGCATGCACTTTTTTTTAGGTGTTTCCATTTTGTGGCATTAAAGAGGAAGACCAGGCAGGGGAGGCATAGGTGATCTTGGGAAGTATGAGTGTTGACTGAGGAGCTCGGGCGCAGGAACTCCGGGGAATTTAAGTCAGCGGAGGAGGTGGAGAAGAAACTGGAGGATTTGACAGTTGTACTCACCCAGGTTATGCTGACATATCCTTCTTAAACTGACACCTAGTCACCTGCAGGCATAACTAAGAGAAATAGTTTTACAGTAGAGTTGTTCCTTAGTTATAGTTCAAGATTTAATGCAATTTTTAGGTTGGATTAGACATGGTTTTATATTTGTGTTCTTTTCATTACACTTTGTATTTACTCAGTGTATTGACAGAACATAAGGGGTGCCATTGCAGTTAATAGTAATAGAAAAGGGAAAAAAGTGAAACTGTGTGGATGGAAGGTAATCAAATACTGTACAGCATGATAACAATTGACTATTTGAGTCATCTTCGGACTTGCAATTTGTGTCTTTATTAATATGAATTTTGGCTGGTGACACTATGACTTTGTGGGCCAAAAAAAAATATTATTACAGCCTGCAACATATGATGGAAAGCATTTTGAAAATATGTGTTGATGGAAATAAACTTGTAAAATCCCTCACTATTTTAACCAATTGTGCTTTTTGTAATAAAAGCACCAAATTTGGCACACATGTTGACTTATAGTGAACAGATCTGGATATGGTCCCACCGCAGATTTAGGTGCCGGCGGTCGTTGCAGCCATTATCCAAAATGGCCACCAACAATAACTGATATTTTGCTTAATTGCCCTGCTGGGTGTGACTGTATGTTGGGAGTGGAGTTTAATTCACTGCAAAAGAACTAAAACTACTAAGCGAATTATTATATTCGTATAGAAATAATAGAGTAATTAAACTAATTAGTGCTGCGGCACTGTATATTCTACAGAAACGTGCCTATGATTGCTTCTGCTTGCGAGAAGTTGACCAAACCAAATATCTGCCCAAGTTCAATGCCTAATGCAAGAAGAGAGAAGACACCTCCTTGTCCCAGTACTGGGCAACAGTGCTAGAACTAGAGCTGTCTATACTGGTGTATGTGCGTTCTCTGTGCCAATCCTCGTTCACCGTGTATCTTGATGCACTGACGGGACTGGTTCCATGCCCTAGACCACACTAACTATGCAAGGTGGGTCCCTGTTAACCTAAGGGACTTGACAGAACTTGAAAAAAAGCACCCAGATGTAGTCAGAGAGTTCAATGCAGGCAACTTCACGGTGCAGAAGACGAGGAAGGTATTCTCATCAATCTCGATTGATCAGGCTCAAGAACAGAACAACGCCTGCATCAAAGGAGATGGAGGAGCTGTGGGCCTGACAAACAATCCCAGTGCCCTGCGGTGTTGGATGGCTTCGGGTCCAGAAGTTGCGAGAGTGGTAGAAGAGTTCAAAGGCGAGCACCGGTACTGGAGCAGGCAAAGAGACACTCACCGTCATAACCAGATTCCCGGTGTGCAAACCCTTTTGAGGAGGAAAGCCTGAATCTGGTGGCCCTTCACACCAAGGAGATTGCCAGTCCTTCTGCAGCAGAGACTGTCAGAAATGCGAAGAGCATTGGCCAAGACCAGTTCCAGACCTTCACCAGAGAACGTCTGATGGAAGGAACCAAGCCCGCCGATGCTATTCTTCATCGAAGCAAGCTGAAGGTGTTCAGTGCTTTCATCTCAAGTAAGGGAAGCAAAGGAAAGGAGCAGCTGGCCTCTCTCAAGCACGATGTGAGCTTTTCTCGTGGCTGTATATTGGCTGCGAGACAAGGGATGGAAACCTCGAAGAATTCTTTCGTCACGAAGATCAAGCGTGTCCTCCTGCGCTCTCTGATGGAAGTAGCATCTGTCGATGTATGAAGAGTGACCTCCTTGCATGCTTAGGGGATCTCACTGTTGCCCAGACAGAAGCTCCTCCTGCCACCAGTGTAGTTCTTGATGGAGCAGCTGTTCTCCAGATGCTCAAACCAGCAGCAGCCAAGAACTTTTAAGAATATGCCCAGGAGGTCATCATCCCATACATGTCAACAAAGCTTCAAATTGCGTCACGGCTTGACCTGGTGTTTGACAGGTATGTTGCCGATTGACTGAAATGTACAGCGAGAGCAAAACTTGGACAAGGAGTCTGCAAACTTGTGTTGGGTTCAGCTACCATACAAGGAAACTGGCAGAACTTCCTCAGGGTGGACAGCAACAAGACGGAGCTGTTCAAGTTCCTGTCAGACGCCCACCTCACGTGGTTTGACAAGGAAAATAAGCAGCTTGTCATCACCGATGGACAGGCAGTCCTCAGCAAGCTAGTGCTCCCCGATTTGGCATCGATCGCCCCATGCAATCACGAAGAAGCAGACAGTCGCATGTTGCTGCATACATCCCATGCAGCCCAGAATGGCCACCAGCAGATACTGATCCTGACTGTGGACACAGATGTCGTGGTTTTGACTGTCTCGGTGGTCCAAGGGATGCATCAAGAAGATGAACTGCGGTTGGCATTTTGCACTGGCAAGAGTTTCCACTATCTCGCAGCCCATGAAATGGCAGCCTGTCTGGGACCCGAGAAGGTGTGGGCACTGCCTATGTTCCATGCCCTGACAGGGTGCGACACTGTGTCCAGTTTTTCTGGTCATGGTAAAAAGACTACCTGGGCAAATGGGCTGTCTACCCAGATCTGACAGAGGCACTGCTGAAGCTTTCTGCTGCATCAAAAGTCATACCTGAGGATGTCATGCACATCATCGAGAGGTTCGTTATCCTCCTGTATGACAGAACCAGCTCATGCATGGACATCAACAAGGCACGAAGGAAGCTATTCACCAAAAAGAACAACGTGCAGCTGATTCCACCAAGAAAGGCAGCCTTAGAGGAGCATGTCAAAAGGGCATGTTAGGGGCCAAACCCTGGTACCATCACCACAGCTGCCTCTACCAACCAGCTGGGGGTGGACAAAGAATGCAGAAGGCTTGTACACGCCGTTTTGGACGACACTACCTGGGGCTGCCCACACCTGTTATGAGCTAGTCTCTTGCAGATGCAAGAAGGGATGTGTGAAGGGTTGCTAGTGCAAAAAGGCTGAACTTGAATGCACAGTACTGTGTGTGTGTGTGTGTGTGTAAAGGACTGCTCCCATCATTGACTAACTAGATTGGTGAATACTGCTCCACAACTCGCTGTACTTGCAAATCCACATACTGTATTCACCAAAGACGTAATAAAACCATGTTTAATTTTGGTTTATCTCCTTTGTCCTTGTCTTTTAACACCTTAGAATGTCAACTGCGACTATTTTAGTCCCGCAATATGTCTTGAAGTGACTTTTCTGGATACCGCCATTTTGGAAAATGCCTGCCACGGCCGTCGGGAGCAAAATATGCAGTGGCACCATATCCAGATTTGTTCATTATCTAAAAGTCAATAGGTGAGCCAGATTTGGTACTTTTATCACAAAATGCACAATAGATTTGCTATGCCGCCCCACTATAGTATTATTTGGTAGTTACTAATGACAGAAATTAGAATAATTTGGAACAAAGTCATTTTATGTCCTAACATACTACAGAACAGGTATTACAGAGCATCAGTGTGTTATATGGAGAAAATTAAAGATGAATTTATTAATATTATTTTAAATGTTAGAAATCTTATCTGAAAAACACTTAATATTATTTTCTTTTTCAGGTAAATTTGTAAAATCAAACACTTTGCTGTTGGCAAAGAAGATACCATTAAGTAGCAAGATGGGGAAGAAAGTGGTGAAGTCTAATGTGTTGTAGATTCATTTATCTCAAACAAAATTAAGTGATGAGTATATAGGTGGTATATTGATTTTTCAGCAAGCTTGGGATTGAGAGCAAACTTGATACTGCAGTGAAATATCCCAAATTTTAGAAATAATAGGTCAAAGATTATACATGAATACCTGCATCAAATAAAGTAATGGAAAATATGCCAAATGCTATAGGATGCAATCTCTAGATGACCCCAAAATGATATATCTACAAGTTTTTGTTAGTAAAAAGCATGGAACCAAATTTTAAATTAAAGTGAATCATGTAATTGTTTTATAATACAGTAGCTATATTTACCAAAAAGATACTGGTAATATATTGCATTATGTACAGTGAGCAAAATGGTGGTCTTGGGGTGTATTAATTAACATAACATATACTGTACAGGCTTAAGTTTGTAAACTATAATGCAGCTCAATATGTACTGTGCAATGACAAAAAATACACAATGGTAAGGGTGTATATATTCATGCATGTATGTGTACATACTACTTGTGGATGTTTAGGAAGGTCTATTCTGCCATTGTCAAGTCAAACCATAGATGTAGTGGGTGTTGAACCAATTCCATTTTTAGAGGTTGTACATAAATTGGCTCTTTGACTTATAAGTATAGAAAGTGTTTAGAGCTAATTTCTTTGAAGTAAGAGTTGTGAACTCTTGATATAACTTGCCAGAGAATGGTGTGAAAGCACTAATTGTGAACCTTTAAGTCCAGACTTGACCTATACTGGCACATGTTCAGACATATTGAAGAGCCTGTACATAACCAATAACTGACAATCAAGCAGGCTAGTAAGTTGACCTGTGGTGAAGAGTATAAGGGCATATTCACACACAAATTTGTTTGTAGTCTCATCTGCATCCAGTTGCTGCACTATTTCTTGTCTTGCTTATTGGGAATGTAACTGTTTTTGAGTAGAAGATGCTGGAGGCATTTATTGATTATTATTTTTTAGATGCCATAGGTATCGTGGGTGCAGTTTTACTGCCATTTTTTTAAACACTCGGGGCAGCAAGCCCGTAGAGCAATCCCGAATGTCGGGTTACTGTTTGGTAACCCGTCAAATGGATTCGTCAAACTCGAATATCAATCCCGAAGATCGGGTTACTATTAAGTAACCCGAACGTCACAACTCGAGAGGGTTGGTATGCCTCATCCAAGATAAATATAAACAAACCAGGTCGATCTGCGTGCCAAAATTGAAGTAGAAACATGAGTTGTGGAGATAAAAGTTCATCTTCAAGGAAAAGGGCAGATTTCACAGCCAATTATGCCAGCGTCTGCACCAGCAGGAACACTTAGATCAACCGATCCAACATCAGGATCACCCGTGCCACCAACAGCAGCATCAACATCCAGTCACAGGGGGAAGAGAAGGAAGCAGGTGAACAAGAGGAATGAATGCTTCATTGCCATTATTAAGGACAGTACACAAGAACCGAATGGTGCTATATTGGAGGCTTTAAAGGCCTTCACTAGTATGTACAGTACATTATCAGCCCAGTCTGTGCGTAATGTATTTAGAGCAAGCATTAGAGTTGTTGACCAGTGGCATATGTCAAGAGTGCAGCCATAATTCCACCTCTGGCTGTGGGCAATCAAGTTAAATTGTGGAGACTTTGCCATCAGTGTCATAATTGATAATGTATAAACTGTGATTTTTTTCTATCTCTCTCTCTCTCTGTTTAAAATTTTTTCTTAGGTACTTAATGGAGAATATGAAATATTTTTTGTTTCAACACTCATGTTTTTTTTGTTTTTTTCTTTTGTGAAAACAAATAGATTCTTTCAACTTAATTTGTGATACAATGTCAGATACAATTAACAGTACTGTGATACTGTGTATTGTACACTCATACTTATTGGAGAAATTTAATTGTCTTTTTTTTTTATCTCTGTTTACTGGGTTTTTTTTGCACAGTGGAAATGAGAAATCATATTTTATATGATCAAATATTTGTTATGATTTTTTATTATTTTACTTCTTGTGAAACCAAAATAGATTCAACATAGTTTTTGCGAGAATTTCATATACTGTGATACTGTGTATTATACATTGGTCCCTCGTTTAACGAACACAATTCGTTCCAGAAGGTCGTTCGTTAACCGAAACCATTGTTTCAATGGGATTTTGGGTAATTGGTTCCAGCTCACTGAAAATTACATACAAACTAAAAATAAATGCAGTAAAGTACACTTACATTGAGGTGTGCATGTAGAAGGCTTCTGGTTGATGATGACGATGATGATTGGAATTAGAAGTGGGGGTGGAGGAGAAGAGAGAAGAGAAGGAAGTGGAGGTGGAAGAGAAATCACCCTATGCTTCATGCCGCCATTTCACCCATAAAATTTTAAGTTCACTAGGTGTAATTCAAGATTATTTTCTTTAAATCAACACTGCACTGCACTATATATTGTCAATATGTAAAATAAATTTCAGAATGACCACTAATTGTACTGTAGAAACGTATAAATAGTTTATGTTCAAGAGAGTGTAGGGGTATCGAGATATACTGTAAATGTTGTCTAGCACTCGGGATGGATGGAAACTCTAAGGTGGTTTTCTTGTATAATATAAGTTATATGATAGACAGTCTGGTGCTGGAGGTGCCGTGTGGTGAGGGGCTGCTCAGTAGAGACGTTCGGTGAGTAGCGTGTTGAAGGAGGTAGATGTGCAGGAGCTTCGTTAGAAAAGATGTTGCCTGTTGCTGGCCTCCTGGTTGAATGAATGCTGACAGCGTGGAGCTTGTTGGAGGAGGTGTTGCTTGTTCAGGAAGATGGGCAGAATGAGAGTTGGTTGGTGAGGAAGCTCAGAGAAGGACAGCTGGTGGGTCGCCATGCTCGCTGGCGGGAGCTAGGACCGCCAGGCAGCGAGGAGATGCGAGGGCCGCCAGGCAGCGGCGGAGGAGGTGTTGCTGCTTGTTGTAGAAGTGAGGCCGGAATGAATCTCAATGGAGAGACAGAGCTTATATACCCAGCAGCCGCGAGTCCTCTATGAGTCATGTTGGGAAAACCCGAGAAAGTCGCCGGTCTCTAGTTTCGTTGCTAGGTTACCATACCATCTGCTGTCGCCGCTCGCTTGGTTGCTAGGATACGGCGGCGCATCGGAATGCGATACGCAGTTGTAGGGGAGACGTCCACTACAAGAGTCTCAAGCAAGATGTTACCTCCACTGAGCAGAGACACAAACTGACGCCTGCTGGGTGAGTCAAGTGGCTGTTTGGCACACTAAAAACTAGTTTCCTGTACTTCAATTATGTTCAATAATTGTTAAAATTACTAAAAATTTTCATATTAAAGTTTTAAAATTATTGAATAGTACAACCTTCTTCATATTTACTCAAATGGGAACGAATTTAAGCCCTAGAACCAATTATTGTATTGGCGGACTAATATTCCAGCTGGTGAGCAAGCGAAAACATGTTGAGAAGAATTCGTAAGAAATTTATTAACCGATTTTTTTTTCGTTAACCGAATTAAGACTCTTATGGAAGGTAATTCGTTAACCGAGGGACCACTGTATATTCATACCTATTTTGGAATTTTAATCATCCTTTTATTTCACATTTCTTTTGTACTTTAATTACAATTTCAATACAGGTACAGTACAGTACTTCTAAAATCTTTCAAGAATGATAATTGCTATAGCTATATTTGCAATTTCAAACTAAGTATGATTACTATTAATTTATATACAGGACTGTACAGGTACTGTGATCAATTTGGTTTTACTGCTTGTTCTTATTTAGAGGAACTAGAATTGTTATGGATTTGTCTGACACTTGCAAACTATTTCAGTACAGTATAGTACTTTGAAACCTTTAAAAATGTGTACATTTATTATTTCAAGAAAAATACTAAACTGTTTGAATGATATAATTTTACATACAGTGACCCCTCCTTTAACGAACTCAATCCGTTCCAGAAGGTCGTTCGTTAACCGAAAAGTTCGTTAACCAAAACCATCGTTTCAATGGGTTTTTGGGTACTGTAATTGGTTCCAGCTCACCGAAAATTTCCTAAATTCAACAAAAATGGTAGAAAAGTTCACTTACTTTGAGGTGTGTATGTAGAAGGCTCCTGGATGATGATGATGATGATGATGATGGGATTTAGAATGGGGGTGGAGGAGATGGAAGAAGAGAAGGCATTGGGGTGGAAGAGAAGTCACCCCATGGCGCCATTTCACCCATAAAATTTTAGTTCTCTGGTGTAATTCAAGATTATTTTCTTTAAATCAACACTGCACTGCATTATATATTATCATTATGTAAAATATATTTGAAAATGACCAATAATTTGCTTGGAAACACAGAAAAAAAGCGTTTAGTTGAAGAGAGTCTCAAGCAAGATGTTACCTCCAGTGAAAACAGAGAGAGACTAATTCCTGTTTGCTGTGTTAAGAGGCTGGATGCCGCGCATTAAACTAGTCACTTTACCTTCAATTATGTTCAATAATTGTTAAAATGACTAAAAAATTGAATATTAAACTTTTAAAATTATTGAATAGTATAAACTTCTTGATATTTACTAAAATAGTAAGGAATTTAAGCCCTAGAACCGATTAATGTATTGGCGGACTGATACTAAAGCTGGTTGCCCGGTCAGTGCAAGCGAAAACATGTTGAGGTCGGTTCGTAAGAACTTCGTTAACCGAATTTTTTTCGTTAACCGAATTGAAGATCCTTATGGATGGCAGTTCGTTCATCGAAATTACGTTAAACGAGGGGTCACTGTATACTGTACTGTACTGTACTGTACTGTACTATATTTTTCTTTAGTCATGCCAGTGTAATTCCTTTTTAATTTTGTTTGAATTTAAATACTGTTTCAAGTTGTACTATGATAATGTTTGGAGGAAATAAAATATGTTATTTAAAGCCAAAAAATTTATTGGAAAATAACCTTGATAATAAAATTATCTAAAACAATTTTTTTACCAAACCAATAATGCTTCCATTTGCCCTTACACTTGCTCTACTTTCAAACAAACTACATTATACAAATCAAAACCGTGTATCAATTACACCCCTTTACATCAATTTAGTTAAGCTGTGTTCCCTCCAGGGCTTCTAATAGGTATTTGAGACCCATCAATGCAGCCAAATGCACCAGACATCCCTGCAATGGTGTGAAATTCATCTACAAGTTTTTGAATGTTGTTTGATTCTGGAAAGTGGATGTAATCTTTTGCTGTAAGGGTCAAAATAGTTGCATAGCTTCTGACAAACTTTCATACTGATGACACAGAGATCTTCAAGCATTTTGCCATACTAATTTGGAAGCTGCCACTGCTAAAGTATCTCAATGCAGTTATGAGTTGCAGGTGTGCAGAATACTGTATCCTGTAGGATATATATATATATTTTTTTTTTTTTTACTGTTTTGTCTAACATTGCTTATCTTGATTATAGTAAACAACAGGTCTCCTATGATGATATATATTACTGTGTTACATTTTAAATTTTTCAGAGAATCGCCCTCCATAAAGTGCAACACACAGGTGATATCCCCGTTAGCCGGATTAATTGGTGCAGAGCTCTTCCAGGGATGAGAGACTTCCAGATAACAAGACTCTCAAACCATGAAAAATCGCCACATCCCTTGAATTTTTCCGGTTACGTTTAAAAGTCTCCAAGTTTAAACATTCTTTCATCCTCCGAGACCAAGGAAAAAACTCGGAGAGTTTCAGTAAGTTTTCATAAAAATTTCCAGAAATTGTGCCTGATATTTAACCTCGAAATTTGCTCCAAGGCCTGAAATCAAATTTAAGAGATTTTTTGGAATTAACCCCCTCCCCAAAAAAAAAACATTTTCAACCTTAAAAACTCATTCACAGACCCGAAATGTTGAAAATTTTCCTGGAAAAACTCGCAGCCAATTTCAATTCCGAGAACGTATTGGCGAATTCTGAGTAATGAATATATTACGGCACTGTAATTATGGCCTGGTGGTATTATTGTACATGGGAGGTGGGATTAGGGGTTTTCATGGGTGCCGAGTACTGTACAGGTACTCCCCGACTTAAGACTGACTCGACCTATGTCCATCTGCACATACGACCGCGCAGTCGGGACCAAAAAATTTTTCAAATGACGCGCACATTTTCTATACCGAAACGTTTCCATCCTGGACGAGACCGTGGCTTGGGTCACCGCGTGGGTACAGCTCCCACTCAGTAGAGCGCTTAGTTGGTGTTTGGCTGTCGTATCCTATACCGATCGCGCTGTGTACTTACGAAATTATCGTATTTAATTGACTTTATAATGACCGGAAAGCGTGCGAATGAGAGTGCTGGTGGTGCTCAGAAGAAAAGGAGACAGGTAAAACTGTAGCAACAATTTCACCCGACTTAGGCTTCTCGCACTCGACCATATCCACTATTCTGAAGGACAAGGAACGTATTCGTGATGTAGTGAAAGGAACAGCACCTATAAAGGGAACTATAATTACGAAGAAAAGACAAGACCCCATTCACGATATGGAAAAATTATTGGTGATATGGATAGAAGACCAAATATAGAAGCGTGTACCCTTAAGCCTTCTAACCTTACAGGCTAAAGCAAGAAGCCTGTTCCAAAGCCTGAAGGAGCAGGCAGGAGATGAGTGCAACCAAACCTTCACAGCAAGTCATGGGTGGTTTAACAGATTTAAGAACCGCTACAGTTTACATAATGTTAAGGTGAGTGGAGGGGCAGCTAGTGCTGATGTTGGTGCTCTGAGCATATGTGTGATGCATGTTATGGGAAATGGTGGTAAGGTGTGTTTAGTATTAACCCAGTCCAGGTGTGGAAACCGCGCTCCTCGCGGTTGATTTTCACACGTGAGACGTAAGAATTCCTATCCACAGTTGTGAAGGACTAGTCAGTGCCTTAAAAATACGGGTGCATTCAGAACCTATGTGAGATTGAGAAGCATGTTTTACGGGTATTGGTGGAGAAAAACATTCATGACTCCTGAGATCTAGAGAAAGTACTGACAACGACAGCGGAGCACCCGCCTGCCCGATGGGTCACGTGATTTTCTTGGGTTTCTTGTAAATGCCGGCCTCCTCGGCAGGCTAGTAGTTACACCCTTCGGGTTATTGGGCAGTTAGGATTGTAGTAGTTGTGGGTCATCCCAGACAGGCTATGATTGATCCATGTGTGTAGTTAATATTTCTTAATCTTATTTTTTATACC